ACTGTATTTCGCTAGTAAATGTTTCTTATAGTTCGTTGCACAATACACAATGCATGAAAAAAACAAAGGCTCAACATTTCTGAAAAAACTTAAAGTGCTTATATTACGAATTTTAGCCCGCCTTTTTTATGAGCTTAATTGAAAATTTGGATTATTTGAAGAACTATGACATGTCGCTGGACTTAAACAGATAAATATAAGTTCCTTAATTTTGCCTCTAAAGTCGGGTACTATTTGCGAATTTTTTACGACGCCATATTGATACTTGTAACGTAGATAGTTGAACACGTCTGTTTCCGTCAATATAATATTATATTATAGGAGGTGATTTTGTTGTCGTTTTTCTTGTCTTAAAATCAAATAATGACAGTACTTTCAATAAAATATTAAAAAACAAGTTTTCCGGAAAGTATGGCCACAAATCAGTGCTCAGATAATTCGAATTCGATGTCTGAATGCGTATCTGATTCGTGCTCGGAATCCGTGGGTTATGTCGAGCATTTAAACGACTTCGCATATGACGATGAACCGCTCGCAGGAGATGGTGATGAAGTGCATACTCCAGATGATCCCGATGGAATTCTCCCTGCGACATTAGAACAACGAAGTGATGGCGTAATTCCACTCGGTGAATGGTAAGTCGTTGTTTTCTCCTGTTTGTAATATACATAAAGTTACTTTATAAACCACAATGCTCTCACGTTTCAGGTGTAATAGTCAATGCAGTCATACCGATTTGTTAGAAGGCGCATTAGAGTACAGATGCTGTAAGGAAATAGGACCAGCTTTGCAGAAAATGACATTCGATGGCAGCAATGAGAAAATATCATGCATAACACATTAGTTCATGAGGCTGTCCTTGAAAACGTAGGGCCACTATTGAGAGATAGGAATGGACGTGCTTATCGCCGCCAAACATCACAATCATTAAATATGTAAGATTGTAAATTGTATGAGAAACAATGTTATCATCAACATTGTTTCATCAACAATAATTTGTCCAACCTTTTTATTTACTTCAGGTATTTGAGAGCTGTGGCATACAGATGGTTGATGCGATGGTTTTGTGGGTCTATGGGATGGGAGAATACTCAGCCTTTACCTGCTTGTGTTTACCACTTTATTCGGAAAGCATATCCAAGTGGTAACACAAAAGGTTAGATACCATCAGAGGGGCGATGATGCTAAGGTCTTTTAACTTGTGCACTGTAGAGACTGTTGACCTTCTTTGCTGAGTTTAGAATGGTCAGGAAATATGCCTAGATGAAAACCAAATAGGAGATACATGGATGCACTATATAAGTTGACATGCAGTTTAATGGTTTGAAACAAGAGTAAACAATAAAAACAAATTGGTGCAACTACTGAGAGGTTAAGCTGAAAGAGTTAAATGAAAGAAAATCTTTTCTTGAATGTCAGTCTGGGAAAAAAGACAAAAGAAAAAATATATGGAATTAAATCATAGCATAAATGTAAAAATGGAAATTAGCAAGCCGTTCAAATGGCGAATCGTTTGCTTCCCCAGTGCATACTTCAACATGCTCAGCTCCATCACTAGTAGATGGTAATTCCTCATCGAGAGAACATGTTTCCTTCAGCGATGGCTTATGGAGAGTATGTCGAATAATCTACAAAACTTATTTCGAATTTACATATGATAAAAGAAAAATTAACATAAACAAGCGTAAACTTACTTGTCTTTTGATGGGTTATTTCGTCCTGTAATGGTTCAGGAATCCCAGCCACGTCAATGGTTGGGATAGCGTCTTTCTTCAACCTTCTTTTGAGCTTGACTTGCACGCTCAAATTAAGGTCAAAACAAGAATCTTCAAAATGCGCAGAACACAGACACGAGGTAGAGGAAGCCTCAAAACCCGGTCTATGTTTAGCATACCGATCAAAAAGTTCGCAAAAAAAATGCTGAAAATCGTGACTTTGAACGTCCGTAAAATCACTTTCACCAATCCAATTCAATTATAATTGCAGATTTAAAATCACTGAAACAAGGTCTTTCAATTTAGCTAATAAAAAAAAGGGGGGGGGGGCTAAAATTCGTAATATAAACACTTTAATCCATGTGAGCAATATACTTCATTTTATATGGTAGCGGATCTAGGGGTAGTCACAGTGAGAAGCAGCGAGCAAAATAAATTAAAGCTGCTTAATTTTAAATTCAAAGTACTTTTAGAAAAGCACTATTGGTTTTGAAATTTGTTAAAAGAATCAGCGTGAATTGAAATGGTGAAAAAAGAAGGCAAATGCCTGTCAAACGGAAGCACTGAATGAAATTTTTTGTTGAAGTCATAGAATAGAGAATATATAGAAGGGCAACCATTGAGCTATATTATAGAACTCAATGAGGGCAACTCGCAGGTGAAACGCGTGGCATATTTCTGTGTGCATGCGTTAGGTCCGCCATTACTCTGGCCAGTAACTTGACGCTGGCGTACTATAAAATAATATTGGAAAAGTGCGATTTGGGGATAATAATCGCCTAAAACGCAAACTGTTTTGGAAGATCATGGAATTTTGTGACAAAACGTGAAAGAAATAAGGTGAGAGACCATTATTTAATTGCTGGCAAGTCCGTAAAGGTTTTTTATTGGTAAAAATTACATGTTTCAATGTAGGGTGTTTATTTTACTGCTGTAGAGTTGTCAGTATGTTAGGTGAATAGAAGTCCAGAAGTAAAATCTCTTGCGTTAGGTGAATAGAAGTCCAGAAGTAAAATCTCATTCTGAATTATAAATTTCAAACTTTTGAGGTGTTATTATAAATGTACTATTTAAAACACAAACTTGTCAGAGTTTTACTTGTACCAACGCTGTAATATTTCAGGTTGCAACATGCCAACTTGCTAAACTATAAATCAAGTTAATCAACCAGCTAACCAAGTAATCCAATAATGATTCATGATGCTTGTGTGAGAATTATAACTGATAATAATTTGCAACATTCAGTTTCAAACCATGGAGTGTTTGTTTATCATTTTAAGCATGAGTGAAATGTTAATATGTTAATAGTTGGGCATTTTTAATACCAAATGAAGTTTTAGTGAGGTATACACTCTGTTTGCCTTATTTATAAATTTTGCCTTGCTGTGATTTGTGCTCTATTAAATTTATTACCAATAGTTATGATTGATTTTCTGATATTTTTTTCTAGTTGTTATTTTGGCATTCAGTTCTCAAGTGAGGATTATGTTGCAAGTGTCCTGTGTTATGTAGTTTTAGTATGTTGAATTAGATTTTAGTGGCTACTTGTTGCAGTAGCATGTTAAACTTTGTTTATTAAATTATATTACGTTTTTATTATGATTGGGTGGTTTTTGTAAGGGTGCTCTATTAAACATTGATCACAATTTCTTCCGCTTAATTGTTTAGTATACCAATATTTATAGAGAAATTAGCATTTCTTCTGCACCCCCATCTAGCTTAAGCTAGGAGGGCTGCACACCCCTCTCTTATATCCATCTCTGAATAAAGTTGTCATTAAATTTTTTAAATGTAAATATGTGTACTGAATTGCTGTATTTTATTCTGTATATTCTATTGCATGAAATGCACACATTCTAAATTTAAATTGTTTTGTGTTAAAGATTCTTGTAACCATTAAGAAAATATAATATTTATTATATTGCTGTTATTTTGTACATATGTTTCACTCAGAAATGTCTTTATCAAAATAAGTTTCAAATGTTATTCAATTCTCAAATCACCTAAAGCATTATATATTGGGTTTGCTGTGGATCTTTCTCAGGTGTGCGTCTCTACTGCAACTTTTTGATTCGAGATTATAAAGTTGTACATTTTCCATTTTTGGTACTATTCGTCGCCAGGGAGGCAATAGTGATAACCCCACTCCAACCCAATTTATGAAAGCATTTAGAAAGCTTTTCTTCAGTTCCCTTCTAACCTGTTCATCTGGAAATTGTGACAACGACCTTGATTCTATGCTGGTTGAGTATTCCAAAAATGTTGCAAAGAATAAAGTCAGCTAGAAGAAATCGGTTCAAGTCTTTCCACCTCTGCAACCACAAATTTTAGCAATTGGTCCTACTGACTACAAGGAGCCAAATGTTGTTACTAACATAATGAGGGAAAATGCCATTGCATATGTGTCTGGTTTTCTTCTTATGAAGAGTTTCAAACTCCACTCTTGTCTGAAATGCACCAATGCTCTTTCATCTACAGAACTGGATGATAGCAGAAAGTTATTCTGCCACTTTAAAGCATTCGATGAAAAGAAATCTGATTTAGGAGGACTACAATCACCATCTTCTCCTTATCTGGAATACATCATCAAACTTGAAGACACATTTATTAAGACGTTTTCTGTCTACACAAATAGCGAAGGTGTTGGTCGAAGTATATTAGACACCGTCAAGTCCATACCAAAGGAATTTGATTGCTGTACGGAATTCCCATTTGAGTTCTTGCAGAAACTTTTTGTAAGAATACGCATTTATTACGCCATAAAATTTGCGAACCGCATACTCGCAACAACTAAAAAGAAAGACAGAAAGTACATTAAAGTCACACACCTTTGAGGGCTTTGTGCATATAATTTTTCGTCCTTTATAAAACTAAATTGAAAACAAAAGCTTTTTATATCACAATAATATATTTAAAATGTAATACATCCAAGTTCATTTAAGTCCTCAGGACTTGTGAACCTCAGAACCTGTTCAAGCTTTCCGACTGAATTTCGCTATAAATATATTAAATAAATGCATTTGTTACATGATATATACAAAATACTTGCCTTTTTATTTCAATTTCTTTCAAAAAGATGCCAAAAACAGCCAACAGCTCAAAAAATCTACATTTTAACCCACTTTACGGCTTCCACTCCATATATTTTCATAGTAAATGTTGTACACTTTACTGGCCAGAGTAATGGCGGCCGTCAAATTTCCGGTATGCGCGAAACAAACTGCGCGCCACGCTTACATCAAAGGTTACCGACGAGAGTTGCCCTTCTATATATTCTCTATTCTGTGTTGAAGTTTAAAAAGACAATAGAAACGTGGTTTTAGTCTAAAAAAATGTATTGGTGATTTTCAATCTGTGTTTGCTTTCTGTTCATTGTGATTTTATTATTACCATAATGCTTAAGACAAAAACATTTGTAAAAAAGACCCGTCGAGGAAATGTTATGAAAATCGTCCGAGAAAATTATCTGCGAGACGATGTCTGGTGTGGAATAACAGATTGTCAACTTTGCCCTCAAACCGCAGCTGTATTAAATGCAAAAACTACGAGCAGTTCTTCAAAATTTCATTTTTCTCATTTTCTGGTTCCAGACACAAACATTGCTCTTCATCAGGTAATTTTTAAACTTCTCATGGTCAATCGACAGTCTCTCAAACATGGGTATACAGGGTATCAATCATGATCCAGGTTTGCTTGATTGCCAATTTGAGCTCAATTTAATTTATTCCTGGTTCTGAAACATTAAATAACTACTTCAAAGAGATACAGGAAAGTTAAAGTGTTTGTCCCTGTAAAATACAATTCACTTTATTTTGAGTAGTGGATCACAAACTTGACATAAAATGATTAGCATGTAGTCAATGTATATTCAAAATCGCAAAATTTGTTCATGAGTGTCTCACGAGTGACCACCATGCTCAACTATTAAGTATTTTAAAAATACTATTCTTGTGTCTTTATAATTTTTAAAAACAAGTGGTTGACATAAGCCCTTTCCAAATGATAATTCAAACAAGTTTAAATGTTTAGCTTATGTTCATATGAAGATTTTTAAATCTTACCTGTAAATTATACATATAATAGACATAAAATGAATTATGGTGCATGTAGATAATTGTATATGAATAGTAAGGTATGGTAAATATACATAATAAGAATCCATGATGAAATATCTGAATAGGATACAGCGAGATCTTGCATGATACTACCGGGATCCTATAGAGATCCTGGAATATCCTGTGTGAGATAAAGTTTGAGACTTTGTAGGATCGTAGTTAAGATTTTTTCATGATCCCAAACTGTATCTTTTATGTAAACAATTTTCATCTGGGAGGAAATACATAGAAAGCTTATTTATAAAAAGCTAAAGCTTTTTTTATTGTTGAATGGTGTTAGAAATCAATCATTTGAACTCACAAGATCAAATAAGACTTGTAACCTAACACACAAAGTTTTAGTTCCTTACCTGATATCTCTATGTTCCTTTTTGATTTAATATTCTGTAATTATGTGTTCTTTATCTTATCACTCATTGTTTGATTGTTTACACCTGTGTACAGTTTTCAGATGCCATAATTCATTTCATATACATGGAAAAATGTATTTTAGGAGTTTGACAAGTATATTCTGCTATAAAAATATTTTTGTTTTCATTGTTTGTAAAAGCATTTTGTTGTTAAAATTGTATAGTGGTAATGAATTGAATGCAAATAACAAATTCCATGCCATGGTGACTGTTGGTAATTAATGATATAGGATTTTTACTATCATACAAGTGACAAGCCAACGACTGGCATAGTTTGCCCACTTGAAATAATTTTGCATGTGTACATAGTAAAGGATAAAGGCTGTCAAATTATGCTTAGATAAAACAGTGAAATGATTTTTTACAGATTGACATTTTGGAAGATCCTGCTATAACAAATGTTATTTTGGTTCAAACAGTATTAAATGAGGTGAGTGTGTACATTACGATATACCAGTTGCTCACTACACGTGTACTTAAGAGAAATTTTTGGATTATTGTGAACCAAAGATGCTTCAGTCATTTTACCTAACATTTGTCATTTTAAGTGTTTTGTTAGCCATTTCTATAGAAATCCTTTGTTATGTCTATTAAAATAAAACATGTCAATGAGCTGCTTTTTCAAGTGTGTTTGCCAAAATCAGAAAGCAAGAAAACAAGCATATTAATTAGTGAATTTGGAGACAACAAGACATATACGTATATGTCCCTAAATTTGACGCGTTATCTTTTATCATGACAACAGTTTTGTATTCTCATGCCAATATTTTGTTTGGTTATTCTCATGTTTCTAATTGATTTACTTCATTTTTTAAACTCGTGCGACTTTATGTTTCAGATCAAGCATTTGAACGCATCGGTGCATAAGAGAATACGAGACATCGTATCAACACCAGAGAAATGTTTCTATGTCTTCTCCAATGAACATTGCCGGTAGCTTTGAACTGTTACATTGTACTGTATATAATTACTTTCCCTCTTAAAGTTGCAATACTGTAGCTATGAAAGATGTGAGGGAGTGTAAAAATGTGAGGGAAAAAATAAAAAGGATAATCACTGTCTGCATAAATTTAAGGACCAATCCTTTTTTACACCCAGTGCAGTATGTAATGAGTTACTCATTAGGGAATTGCGCGCGTCATTTCTACCAGTCAGACTTTGATAAATATTTTTGTAGTGATACATTTATTGAGCGCGAAAAGGAAGAATCATCTAATGATCGAAATGACCGAGCAATACGTGCAACATGCAGGTTAGTTCTACTATTTTTTGTGTTTCATTTGCTTTTCGGTTCCTTATAAAATTCAATTTAAACATGCGTGCATGCATAGTGTTATGTAAGATGTTAACGTGAACATCACTTCTGCACTTTGCCATCAGCATGGCTTAACTATGTACGTACAGGCTGGCATGGGGAATTATCTGTTTCAATCTGCTTATGTAATCGTCGTGACATTTCGTCAAAGGGGTCAGTGATGAAAACTCCTCCACCAATACTGACCACAAACTAGCCTCAAACATCATTTCAAATAAAAAGGACACACTTTTAATTTGTGCACCAGCACTAACGATAACATGAATTTCGGTTGGCGTAAATTATTGGAAAATGAAAACGGTCAAATGAAAATAGTAAAATGAAAATAATGGTATTCTAATGTTTGCTGCACTTGACTGACAACCTTTTCCAGTTTGGTTTATGAATAAGAATTCCACCTAAGTTATCGGCTGTGCTTGATTTAATTTTGTTGGTTGATAACCCCATGACCCGATTCTTATATCGGAACCAGACATGGGTACGACGTTGGCGTGGAGGAGTTTGGTACGATGAATATGATGTTAGGTTCGTCTTAAATATGCACACGTTGATAATTGATTTTTACTTACTTTTTTGTGTTTTTGTATTTCAGATGGTATGACAGACATATCGCAAAGGGATTTGCCAATGATAAGTTGAGCAAATCATGTAGGGTTGTTTTATTGACAAATGATTTTGCGAATCGAACAAAAGCCGATAAGGAAAATTTGCTATCTTGTTCTGGTAAGTTTGTTCGAGGGAGTAGTAATTTAATGGTTTGACGTCTGCCTTTTCATTTTGGATTTTTATGAAGCGCACAACGAATCGATGTTACACATTTCATAGCAGAAAATTAAATCCTTGTGCTAGCATATTAGGTGTAAAAGTTGACTCAATTTCTATATTATTCAAAAGGACCTACAAATTGCTTTATGTTTTGTAATACTTCTTTTTCTAATACATATCAACAATTTTTTTAATTACCACCGTTTTCTTTTACATTTTATCATTTTTTTTTGTGCAAATAACATCATGTATTATTTTCGGCTTTCTATTGTTTTGCTTTTTGCACGATTTACTGTCGGACTAGCCTTGCCTAGAATTGCATTAAAACGCCCCCAAACAAGCCACCGAAATCAAAACCAAATTATTCTGACTAAGTGATATCTTATAAAAACTAGAGCAACCCCCTTGTTTCTTCCGTGATGGAAGTTACGTGCCTGTTTTCCAGTTTCTGCACTTTTCTTAAAGTGGTTCTATGACGAAAACTTAACGTTAAAAAAGCATCGATTTTAGCATTCAATAGTTTAAACACATATCAATTATTGCTTTTGTAAAATGTAAGCAAAAATAATAATATAACGAGGGAGTTATGAACATTTGAAATGTCTAATTTTCATGTCCGCCATTAAAATCGGCCATTTTGAATATTTGCAATTAGCAAAGGTCTGTGACGTCATAGTCTTAACACGGCAGAAGCGCGAATGGGAAAGTATACAAAGTAATACATAAATAGAGCAAAAAATGTCAAATTCATCGAGATCTAGCTCGCTTTCTGAGTCTTCGATCGAGACAAACGCATCGATTTCTTCATCGGAATTCATGACGGCAAATTCGGACGAATCTAATTCGGAAATTTAGACATTTGCCGATAATATTGAACCCCTTGCTTCGCCCGATGAAATTGCTGAGTACGAAGCTGCAGTTGCAGAAGAACGGCGGGTTGAAAACATGCTGCAAGATCGTTTTTGATGCCCGTGTTGATGTTACTTCATGGTAAGATGTCATTCATAGTGTGTTACTTTGATCTGAATCGTCTGCCGTTAGCTATAATAACTTTATGGAAACATACAATTTGGCCAATATTAAAGGTGTGAATGTGGCCATTGTTCGTTGGATCTTGTTGTCAACCCTCAAGAGTGCCGATGCTGCATGGAAATAGAGCAATGCTGTGGTAAAATGTATCAGTTCGAAATCGATGAAAGGAAATGCAATTTGGATCACCCTTGCTTTATCGAAGTTTGCCTGAACGAATTTGCTCTTCAAGCAGCTTCGTTAGGTTTAAAAACCAAAGGTCATCGCAGTTATGCAACCGTTTTTCGAGATGGTCAAAAGACCAGAGAGGAGTAAGCCTTTTTCTTTGTGAAAATTCTAAAAATATTAATTTGTGCGCCTGCATCTATGTTTACTTTTTGAAATTTATTAGACTTATTACTACAATCTTGCACGACACGTCGTGTTGAAGGCATGTTAAAAAATTGAGTTATACAACCTTTTAAATCTCTATTAGTATATAGTGTTATATTATAAACAGCCGCGAGTTAAGACTATGACGTCACAAGCACCTTCCTACATGACAATTCAAATATGGCGCCTTTTAATGGCGGCTCTTGAAGTTCAAGTTTTATCGCTACGTAACTCGAGCAGCATGAAATACATTGCGCTAAAATTTCGCCAGAAGACATTTTTTTACATGCACTATCAATCTATGAAAAACAAAGGAGAGGCAAAATTTTCGTCATAGTACCACTTTAAAGAAGTGGGAATTCAAATTGTTCAAAATATAATGTTAATGTGTTAGTTTATGTCGAGTCTCACAATTGCTCAAGCTTTATCAAAAAAATTATTGAAGATAATATACTGAAAATGTTAAAATAGAGGCTAGTTCTTCTCGTTTTCGAGAAAAATGCCATACTGACTATTCAAATGGCAATTTGCGTGATGTAGTACTTCTACGTAATCAAGTTATTGAAAACTTTACACGCACTTTTATAACATTGTCTGTTTTAGTACAAGAGTATATAAATTCACTTGAAAATAATGGAGAACTTCTTGACAAGCTTGCAGTTGATTCTACCTATAACTCTGGTGATCTGACTGTGGAAACATCGAGAAGTTTTTTATATATGGAGCATTTACCACTGGCAAAATTGCAATTGGGTCTCAAATGCGAAAAATACCTACAGGTTTGTTGATTTTTCGGATAACTTTAAAAGTTATTTTTACATGTTTTTGTTTGTAATGCAGGCTTCAAATAATTATTTTTCTGTGTGTATTTTTGTTTTGACTTAGGGAACATTCATTTACTAAAATTTTGTCATTATGCTTATGAAATTGCCATCTCGTTCTTTGTCTTTGTAATACTGCTTGTTATTAAGCTTGTTTCTCGAATGCTCATTTTATTGATGGCTCAAAAACTACCCTGAAGTGGCTTGCTTGCATCACTATTTTCTTCAACAGCACTATATACGCATTTTGAATATAAGCAATGAACATGAATATTGCTCAAAAATAAAATGGCTGCTTAGCGTTGCTTTTGCAGATTCCTTAACCAATTGAATTGGCATAATTCAACCCCTAACTTTACTTATTAAGCTTGTCATTTATCAAGTCAATTGGGAACATTCATATAACACTGTTTTTTGTCAACTTTAGGGAAAGTTTTCTGCTAGCAGGTAGGAATTTTATTTGAGTTGTACTTAAAATACTTTTTAGAAATACAGAGCTGCATGTTTTTTAGTTTGTGTATACGCTATGTTAACGTATGGTCAAAATTTATTTTAGCCGAGATTGAAACAGCAAACATCACTCATATGAGACAACGAAGGATAGATTTGCTTAATAAATACAGTCAAACCTATATTAAGCGATCCTGCATTAAGCGGACACCCTTTATTGAACGGTTACTCTATAAAGTGCCGAATTAAATCTCGTATAATTCCTAGTAGTGAAACCTCCATCAAGCGGACCCCTCTATTAAGCGGCCGTGGACACCAAAATTGTAAAATAATAACTCAAAGACCTGTGTTTAACGGACAATTTTTTCAAAATATTTCATGTTATTTACAGACATAATGTTTGTCACAAAGATATAGTTACAACAATTATGAAGATATTTGTCATAATGCAAGTGCGTTGAAGATTAAATGCTTGGAGTGATTAAATGCAAGTGCGTTGAAGATTAAATGCAAGTGCGTTGAAGAATAAAAACATGAAGTTGTTAACAAATTATCAATAAAAATAACTTGTCAATGTCAAATGTAGCTTGTCATTGTCTAAAAGACTTACACGAGATCACATTTCAGCAACATCATCATTCAGCCACTTATTATTTACTATATGTATTACTAAATACTTCTAAAAATATTTCTCAGTTTTGTTATTATTAACTGAAGTTATTTCTTAATATATCGGTGCCGTTTAGTTGTTGATTTAACCATTTATGTTATTTTTAACCAAGAGAGGCCTGGTGACGAGAACCGCTGTTAAACGGATACCTTCATTTAAGCAGACGCCAGTCCATTCCCCGAGGGAGTCTGCTTAATGCAGGTTTGACTGTACAGTGTTTACTGATGATGATATTTGTGATAGATAACAACACGATGTACACTTTTTACAGTTTTCCTTGTCTCCACAACGACCTTTTAAATGAGGTGTATCTATACTGTATCGGTGTGTATATACATAAGTCTTAAGGGCATAGTCGCCGTTTTTGAAATTTTCTGGGTTCTTTATTCGATGCATGTAGCTTGGCAAAGTAGCTTGGCAAATAGTTGTTGATGTTCTTACTGTGTTAGTGGTACAACTTAAGTATGGATGTTTCGAATTTGTGGCACAACTTGAAATGTTTTAACATTATAAATGAATGCTCTGACTCAACGGAAGTTTATTCTGATTCTGTTTATTTAATGTGCTTTTTTGTTTTTCATTGTTTTAATTCATTTATTTGCTTTTAGAGATAACTATTTGGAAGCAAAGGTTTCGCTTCACGACAAGAATGAACAGGTATGTGCAGAAAGAGATAATAAAGCCAAATAGCTATGTTTGGATGTGGGATACCTATGTATGGTTCGTATACATATATGATGTTCTTAAAGATATTTGTACAAGGAATAATGAATATCAATCGTGCTGTCAACGAGGATATTGTGTGTGTCGAAATTTTACCTAAAGAAAGTTGGACTGCGCCATCTTCAATTGTAGTTGATGAAGAAGATGCTGACGAAAGTGAAGAATCTACGACCGAACAGGTTCGTTAAAGAAGTGTTTTACGTCTTAATTTACGTTTGAAATATTGCTATATTTTGCAAAATGTGTACGCATGTACAGCATTTAGGATCAGAGTTGAATAGACGTTTAAAAAGCTACATACTTCGACTTGCAAACTAAAAATTTATAACTAATAATTTATGAATTATACTAAATCAGGGGCGTAGCTAGCATTGATAATTGGTGGGTGTGGTGGAGATATTCATACATGCATGTTACAATCCGCAGAAAACAATGGATTTCAAAGGAACTTAATACGATAGAACATGAATAATATGAATCTCTCAATCATCGAGCTAGCTAAACATGCCATCGTTCGAAATGTGAAAATGATTGCAGTATGAACATATGTTTTATCCAAAATAATATTTTATCCTATGACGTAAAACACATTATGGCGCGAAAAGGCATGCATCTAGTTGTCCTTGAACAGTCTCACTAACCTTCCATAGATCATCAATAGTGTTCTTCAGGCTATAATTTTTTGAAGGTTAAAGTTGAAAAAAAGGAGAAAACAGAGAAATGTGGAAGAGTAAGTGTATTATTGTTCACTTTCATGTGTTGATTTCGCCGTTTTTGCGTCAAGACATATCGCGTAAGGCGAGTCTGAGGAATTTACGGCATTTGCACATCATTAGCGAAGATGTGGAATATTTAATTCAACGTTTTGACTTAACGATGGCACTGTAGAATTTATTCATTAACACGAAGGAGCCACGGTCGACATTGAATTTTGCACGTATCATACTGAAAAATAATTTGGAATATTCAAGTACCAATTACGTGCATTCAATAAAAATAATGATTCTTCCTTTGATTTTATTGAATTCATGTTAATGCTGCTAGAACATTCGCAATTTCTGTGCAGTATAAATAAATGCTATTTATTGTCAAATGGCCATCTTGATTTTTATGTTGTGTCAATAAATGTTCTTCAGCACTATTGATGAATCAAAGCGTGTAGTTTAATGCCCAACGTCCTCTAATGATGGGCAAATGGTACGATAATACCATAATAATATCAACAAGAAGAACTGTAATGATAGGGGAGGGGGGCGAATATTCCTATGTTCTTCGTGATAGTTCGTATAAAACAATTGATTTCAAAAGAAAGTAATCAAGCCAAACGCGTATATGTGAATATCCCCCCCCGATTATCGACGTTCCGGCATCCCTCATAATGATCTTACACGAATTTAACGAGCAACAAATTTCATGTTTTGTTATTTATTTTTATATTAGGTTGTTGGAATAATTAGAAGAAACTGGCGACCGTATTGTGGTGTATTATCTTTGTCATCCAATCCGCAGGTGTGATGTTTAAGAAGTTTATAAACCTAATCATACATTGTCACACGTGACACAATTCTCAATGTTCGTTCCTACTTGTCTATTACGCATGCCTGTCTTTTATGTTTTCGTTTGTGGATTTTAGTGCGAAGTTTAATATTTATTGCTTGACTGAAAATTTTATGTTTGTATTTTACTTGGGGATGCTTAATCGCGTGGTTTGTTGTTTTAGGCGAGAAAGCATCTTTTTGTTGCTGCTGACAAAAGAATACCTAGAATTCGTATTGAAACGAGACAGGCGGAAAGCTTAAAGGGACAAAAGATTGTCGTGAATATTGACTCGTGGCCGAGAAATTCGAAATATCCCGTTGTAAGTATTTTACTATATTTAGCTTGTGTCGGTTATAATTGATCCAATTACGGCAAAAAGAAGACTTTTGAAAAATTCATTCAACGCCTAAACGAAGCTTAAAAAGCTGAATACCTAAATACCATGCAAAATCTTAAAGGAAAAATCTTTAGTTGCCTTTTAGAAATATGTTAAACTAATTACCCGATTTTCACACCCATAGCGTTTCGGTCCAACTAAAGGGCACATCAATAAGGTTTTTATAAACGCAGCATATGTAGCTATGTCTGTTCAACACATATAAAAGTTCAAAATTTCATTTTAGGGTCATTATGTAAAGAAACTTGGTGCCATTGGTGATAAAGAAACAGAAAATGAACTGTTACTCTTGGAACATGAAATACCTCATTTACCTTTTTCGACTGTCGTTCTAAATGACCTTCCTGCTGGAGATTGGAAAATCTGTGATGAGGTAAAGTTATATAATATTATGTATATTCTCTGATGATGGCTTGGAATAAAATCGAAACACAGCGCCATCGAGAAAACTGCTATCGTGCAGAGAATCTCTCGTCCATACGCAGTTTAAAAAAGATTTGATTTGTCTCCAATCCCCGTGGGTTTGGTAGCTCTACAGATAGAGCGGCGGACTAGTACCCGAAGGTGCGAGCTCAAATCTCATCAATTCACATGTTTTTCATGTGAATATAAAAAAAACCGTATTATGATTAATACTAGGTAAAGTTATCATTCGTGGAATGTTTTTGTAACTGTCACATCTATCGTATTCATTGTTTATTTTGTGTTAATGATTGCAATCATCTCTTACATGCTCATTGTTTTTTGCCAACCTGTAACAACAACTTCTTGTTCGTCCTAGGAGATAAAAAAGCGCCGAGATCTTCGAGATATCCCAATTTGTAGTGTTGATCCACCTGGTTGCACTGATATCGACGATGCTTTGCACTGCAGATTATTACCGAATGGAAATTATGAGGTACATGATTGAAACAACATGATATAATTTTGCTTTGTACCTAAGAAATTGGAAATATTTTCCGAGTTTCATAAGAGTTATAAAGAAAATTTGTGAGAAACGCTAAATTGTGTGGCAAGCACAAAGTGCAAGTGTTTCAAGGCAATTTCCAGTTTCTCCCAAGTTTTCACAAGTGTTTGTTTAAGTCAATAGAAACATGTAAATATGTGACTATTTCATTTATATAATAGCCTTTTAAAAACAACCATAAAAGGATTATATTTTTACCTTTTCTACTTCTCGCGCAAACGCGCAACCTGCGAGGCTGGAATTTGTATGTTTTTATAGAGTAGAAACACGGGGTTTTTCGAGCATTCAACCAATCAGCGGCCATGTTATTAAAGAGCTACATATTTTATAACTTCATACTTTCTGTAAGAGATCGTGGACATCCAGTTCAACACCGTTGAGTAAATGGCAGCAAATTTATAGAGTTCAATGCATATTTATAAGGCATGTGTTACTGTTTTTTTCGAACATTGAAGGGAGTGGAGGGTTATGAATTAAATTTGGATCGAGTCGTTATGGCGCAGTTGCGTCTTGTGTAATTAAATGTTGTGTGATTATGTAGCTATAATTTACATGTTGTGTAAATTTGATCTGCTTTGGAACGAAAAACAATGTTTATGTCATTGATATGTTATATTGTGGAAAGAGCTCATGACTTGAAAAAAATTTGTCGTTTGTAATTCGTCTGTGTAAAGTTTTTCACTTGCATAGGTCGGAGTTCACATTGCGGACGTGACTTTCTTTATTCATCCGGGAAGTGCAATCGATAAAGAGGCAATGAATCGTGGTACTACCGTGTATTTAACGGACAGACGTATAGATATGGTTCCTGAATTATTGAGTTCCAACTTATGTTCTTTGAAATCCAATGTGGACAGGTATTTTTAAAGTAAGACTATTTATAACTTTTGTTTTGTAATTTAATCATTTCTTTACGTATTATTTTATACTATCAGATTAGCGTTCTCTTGCGTATGGGAAATGACATCTGAAGCTCAGATAGTAAATACAGAATTTTTTAAGAGTATCATATGCTCAAAGGTAATTGTATTTCAAATCATGGGCGGAGCTTTCAATATATTTTTTACCTTTGTGTATATCTATCTGTCGTGTTCAAGCAATCAAAATGTAAATGCATTACATAAAGTGTACAAACAGAAAAATCAATTAGTCGGACATTTTATAATGTGAATGGATTTGTAGTTCCTTGAAGTTTTGTCTTTGCAAGATAAGCGATTGTCAGCCCTTGAAGACAGCTCTCAGCTACAACATTTTAATATATTTCATGATTTATCTTCATCGACAAATTATGCCGTTCATACCAGAAACATAAGTTTTAGTTCTAACATCGAAATTGTATAGCAAAATCCTCAAAATATTTCAAGGAACAAAATAAGTTAGATGCAGTGCACTGTTTTAGGTACAACATTGAAGTTTTGTAAAGTGTTCATACGAAATTTAGAAATCTGTATATCCCTAGTCTTTCGTAAAGCCCGGTTCTCATATAGTCGTTTCAGTCGTGCGAAAATTTCATAGACGACCCGTGCGATTATATGAGAACATATCAGAGGCGACTAGGATGACCTCCAATAACTCACACGACTAAAACGACTAGGGTCGCTTGGATAAAACTTTGCTCTATCCGGACGACCGAAACGACAGTTGAGAAATGCAAGCGACATTTTTATAGCGCAAAACGATTTTAAGAAGCAAATAACTAGCTAAAGCTGCTGCATGGTTCTCATTAAGTCGCTCGAGTCTTCCGAGTCGTTGCGAGTTGTTTCGTTGTATTTCAAAACGACTGGGACGACTCAAGCTATTGTACTTCTTATATATTCGCTGCCAAGAGACTGTGCTTTAATTAATTTTTGCGCCAAACATTTAAAAATGGCGACTGCTGTTTATCAAAGACGAAGTCTTTTGGCTAGTTATTTGCTTTTTCAAATCGTTTTGCACCATTAAAGGTCGCCTTGCATTTCGCAACTGTGGTTTCGGTCGTCCAAATAGAGCAAAGTTCTATCAAAGCGACCATGGTCTTTTCGGTCGTGTGAATCATTTGAGGTCATCCCGGTCGCCTCTGAAATGTTCTTATACAGTTGCACGGGTCGTCTGTGAAATTTTGGCACGACTGAAACGACTCGGGCGACTATATGAAAACCAGGCTTTAATGAGAACCAGGCTGAAACGTTGTCAATTTTTTTATATTCTCAAGTCTTTTCCCGGCAACTAACCGTACGTATTTCTTTCACAGCATTCTTTTACCTACGCCGAAGCTCAACTTAGAATTGACGATAAAGCACAGAATGATAGCGTCACCCAGAGTCTGAGGACTCTCAATGACATTGCAAAAATACTAAAACAAAAAAGAATTGATAACGGGTAAGGTTTTGCGTCGATGTTTTTTCAGGTTTACAGTTTTGGCATGTGTTAAGGTTTTCCGAACATACGTTTTCATTTAGTCGAAAGACCTTGGAAAGTGAACATAGTAGCTACATCATATTTCAATTCATATTTACACATGTCATGTAAATCGTCTTCACAGTTATGCGTAAGTTGCGCACAAATCTTGTTAGCTGGTCTCATTTTAATATTTTGCTTGAAAAATTTGGGAATGCGATGCTCGGGTAGCGAAAGAAGTCATTAAGAGAATTCTATAAAATATCAACTTAATTGAATATATTGTTAAAAGTTTGTCTTTAACGGCTCACAACAATTTTTTTCCTTGGCAAGTCTTTAATGGCGTCGTTCATATTTCTTATGAGTTTTTTTTCTAATATGGCTGCCGGTAAATATCTAATGAAAACAGAGTGAAAAAATTTTTTTGTGTGAATCAATACTTCATTAGCTAAATAGACTTTCCCCCTAATTTATCTTTGTTTATAACTTGCAGTGCATTAACATTGTCGTCGCCTGAAATACGTTTCCAAATAGACAACGAAACCTACGATCCAATTGATGTTGAAACTAAACAACTGAGGTTTGTTTTTATTTTCCCTAGAAAAGTATTTGGCACGTAAAGTATTTAAAATACGGCTCTGTCTGTCTAAAAATCCTTTCCGGCAATTATCTGTGTGCTCGTTTGACCCGGCTTGACTTGTGTTTGAATATATTTATCAAAATATTTATTTGATATCGATTTTTATTTATTTTAATGTTGTAATTATAATTTTCATTTAATTTTATTAGAATTTTTGATTTTTTAGCTTAAGAAATTGGTTGCAAATTGTTTTTAGCTCTATAAATCGCAAAATTAAATTACTTAAAACCCGCATGACTATAAAGCTAGTTGCAAACGCGCTCAACATTCTGACTCAATATGCACTCAACATTGTCTTGCTCTTTGTTGTGTGATGTGTGCAAACGCTCTCAACATGTTGAGCAATGTTGAGCCTATGAGAGCCAATGTTGAGCCTATATTCCACTCTGCCTAGCAACGACAAACGTGACAACGGCTGTTAGATATCTTGAGGATTGGGTATATATCATTGGTACATACATATCACTGATCTCGAAATAAGACTGGATCAAGCATCTAACACAAAAGTTGAAGACAAAAATTAAGGAGCACCGCCATTACTAAGGGACCAACTTTCGAAAATAAGGAATAAATATATTTTGGATTTGTTCAAGAATAATTAAGAATTTTCAACATATAACTACATGAACATAATTAAGAGATAAATCAGTTTATGAAAGAGCTAAAAATACGATGAAATATGATGAAATATGATCAAAATGCAACGATTTTTGTCATCGATAACTCTACTGTAGTATGGAACAACAATGGAAAATAGCCCACAACTGCATGAAAATACCTAAAATTGTTGGAATCGTAGTTCAGAACAACAAACTGGTTAAATAATCTTATTTACGATCATAAACTGATTAATGCTTTAAAATTACAAGCCTTTTTTTACGAGTGATTCGTAGTGAAACTTGTATGCGTTTTGTTTTATACGGCCGATTATTCTTTCTGACTCACTTTACTATCGCCACAAAGGTTGTTTTTCATCTTCTGCGTTTCCTTAAAGCATAATTTGACCATGTGTTGCTATATTTTCCTTAGTTTGTTAAAAAATCTTTCGATGTGTTGTCCCTTACTAACACCTGCGGTGGCTTCAAAATTTGTTTACTACAAATATAGAGTTGCTTGATCCAGTCTTATTTCGAGATCAGTGATACATATACAGTTCAGTGACGCAATTTTTACAATAATATACACCGCACAGTGCGCATGCGTTAGCTCAACATTTTTGAGTGAGCTGTGCAAACGCACTAAACAGTGTTTAGACACGCATCAATGAGTGCAGAACAAGGAAAATGTTGAACGCTGTTGAGTCGAATGTTTGAACAAGTCCAAACTTCTCTCAAAAATGCTCAATACCTCTCAACACCAATCAACAGGCTGTGCAAATGCGCCCAACATGTTGAGTCTACAATGTTGAGTGAACATGTTGAGCGCCTTTGCACGTAGCTTAACACTTCAATGTATTTATCATCGCCTTTAAAATGTTTTGCATGGCAGCCATTTTGAATAGGCAATGTCTGTTAATACTTAATATGTTTAGCTAGTATATGATTAAATCGAACTGGAAAAAAGTATGTACCGTAAATGCTCGAATAAGCGCCCGGGGCGCTTATTTAATTTTTGGAGGCGAGAGGGGGGCGCTAATTCGAAGGGGGGCGCTTATTGGAAGGGGGGCGCTTATTTCATTTTCGGATTTTTGACGTGAAAATGACACTGGTATTTTTATTTCTTGTGACCTTAACTGTAACATAAGTATGAAAATTTAGCAAAACCCGTCTTTTCTCGAGGGGGGGGGGCGCTTATTGGAAGGGGGGCGCTTATTTCAAAATTTGAGTCCTAGGGGGCGCTAATTCGAAGCGGGCGCTTATTGGAAGCTGGGCGCTTATTCGAGCATTTACGGTATACTTTAACCCTTAGAACTTTTGTAAGACATTTAAAGGCTCGTTCACACGATCCAATTTGTCGGATCTGATTGTGTATTTTTTGGGTGGGATATTTTAGGAGATATTTATAGTCGTGGGAGCAGCTATTTGTGTTATCCAGTACATCTATCGATATATTTTGCGTATTTGTTGTTGTTGTTTCCAAGTCTTTTTCTAGTCCATTTTTTGCGCCAAATCAAATATGGGAAGCATAGAGAGTGAGAAGTCTGGCACTAGTAGGCTTTCTTTGATCTTGTTGGCTAAAAATGTAGCAAGTTCTATTTCCGATTATTCAGACTGACGGACCCTCTGTCGTAGGCTCGCTTTATATGAATTCACATGATCCGTTTTTAGGATCCGACAAAATCGGATCGTGTTAGCGGGCCATAACATTACAACATTTTTACTATCAAATTTTTTTTAGATGCTTTCCTTTCTTCATTAGCTATATCGATGATTTGTTTTGTTAAATTTTTAAGGGAGACAAATTCTCTCGTCGAAGAATTTATGTTGCTTGCAAATATTTCGGTAGCGAAGAAGATTTTTAATCACTATAGCGAATATGCCGTGCTCAGGAGGCATCCTGCACCACCACTTTCAAATTATGATTGCCTTATTAAAGCTGCTGGATCAAAGGTATGTTTTTTTACATTCTTTAATTTTGAATTTATGTAATACTCTAACACCATTGGTGAAGTGCAGTTTCATTTAACTTAAAATACGTCATATATCGGTGGAAAATGTCTAAATCACACTATACCAGTACTTAAATATTTTAAATATTCAAAAATATTTGCTTTTCTGTTTTACATATGTCTTTCCTTATGAGACCTTATCGTTCATTTTCTGTCTGTTCGGCCATAAATTCTTTTATTAATTAAGATTCATGTTTTTTCTAATATTTCAAGAGGGGTTTAAATAATTTCTATTGCAAGAGTACCCTTTGCATTGAGCATGCATGAATATCTTCACACTTTTAAAGTTGAAAATATGCACACACTTTGTATAGGCTCAGAAGTTGATGCTGTTAAAGAATTAATTGAGTACCCAAAAGCTTATATTGTATTTTGCTCATGATTATATAATTTGCTCCTTAGAACTTGACATGCTCTTGGCCTTGTGTCTTCATTGAAGTTGAAAATCCGCATTGTTATGTTTATTAATTTATGTTAATCTAATAGGATATTTACGTCATTAGTTAATGTTGATTCTGAGTTATCTTAAGTATATATAGAGGTTAACTTGTACTACCTAGTTAGTTGGAAAATACTCTGCTGTGAAATATAGAACACAACAATTATAGCTTAGCCAACTTGGAAATTTAAATGTAAATTTTTCTCTGTAAAAACAATAGATTTCTACAGAAATGAATAATGATAATGTCTGAAATTTGCATATAGCGTGACAAAAACATGCGGGCTTGCTACCCTCTACTGTTGTTATCCTCTGCCATTATAAAGTACAAAGAATGTAGATTCGCAAGAGCAAGCCTTCGAATGTTTGAGTTAAACTGTCCAGCGTTCCTTCGGAGTATAATTAATTCTGTTTACGAACTAAGCATATTTGTTTTATTTTTAGAACTTAAATATTCAGGTGGATAGTGCAAAATCGTTGGCCGTTTCTTTAGAAAAAGCTACGCTGCCAGACTTTCCATATTTTAACACATTACTTCGTATACTTACGACGAGATGTATGATGCAAGCTGTTTATTTTTGCTCTGGAACATTACCAGAGGAAGATTATCTTCATTATGGCTTAGCAGCACCTATCTATACACATTTTACGTCACCTATTCGACGGCAAGTATTCATAACTTTAGCATATTTGAAGTGTCCTTTCAGCAAAAAAATTTATTTACGATATTAAATTTAGGCCTGATTTCTAACGTACGTATCAATGAAAAACGTTTTTATGTTGGTCAAATCGTTCCATTTTCATGGCTGCTTAACGTTGCCAAAAATTCTCCTTATAATGGACCTTGTCCGTTTTTCGAAAAGTCTGGAACGACTCACTCTAGTGACATCATGCAAGGGATTCCTCAATACATGATATACGTACCAACTACCTTGGATGACGTCAGTATTTGGCTTGACCCAGACTTCATGCCACGGCGGATGATTTGACCGAATTGATTTTTTTTTCACCGATATGTTAAACATTATACCTAGTTTTGATATCATAAATAAAAGTTTTTTGTTTATTTGGGCACTTTTTATTTCATTTCATTGCGTGCAAAGTAGATTTTACGTATTATGTCATTATGTTTAAGGTATTCGGACATTCTCGTTCATCGTCTTTTGGCCGTCACTATTGGGGCTATACCTTCATTTCCTGAAATGTTCAATAAAAAAAATACGCAGGTAAATCACCATGAATTTATGTTATTGAATGTAGGATGAGTTCACTATACAGTTGCCAACAATGGTGTTATACAATAGATCATTCCTCAACTTACAATGACAGTTACGTGTTTGTAAAGGCTGAAACACACTAGGCAGTCGCTTTAGTCGCGCGTCTAAAACTACCGCTTTGCGTGGTTACTAAGCTAGTAGCTTAGTCGCGTCAGCTAGTCGCTTTGAAAGTTCAACATGTTGAACTTTTGACTTTGGTCGCTTCAGTCGCTTTACACTGATTGGCCAATAGATACATTTTAACTTCCTAAATGTATATCATATTTCCTGTCATAAGCATCATACGAAATTTATAGATTATACCTTGGAAAACGAAGGCAATATATAGTGAATTCACACTGGAATCTTTCAGTTTTTTATATGACTTATCAAATAGGGACAATAGGAGCTACAAACTGGAACCCTAATGCACAACCTAAATGCACAGAATAAGATTATCCACGATATACGCGTAATGTGCTATGATCATATTGGCGTGTTTTAACTGGCTTGTTCTCTTTTCTCCACATAGTAGTTTGTACTGAGTAAATATTCATATATTAGTAGCTATAACAAAGGCCAAAATAAAAAAGTGTAAGTGATATCTGTGTCTGTAACAAACTAAAATCACCGCCATGTTCAATAGACGCCACGGTAAATGTCGCGATGGTCGCTGCATGTGTGTTTCTAGCGTTCAAGCGACTGACGCGTGCGCATCAATTCGCTTTGGACGCGCGACTGAAGCGACTGCCCAGTGTGTTTCAGCCTTAAATGATGATCGTCCAGGTTAATAAAGTCCTGAGAAGGACTGTTTTTGTTGTTGTTGACTGACGTTTCGACAACCTTAGCGGTAGTCATCTTCAGAGTCAAATGAGGAGTAAACGTCAGGTTAGCCGTATTTGTTGTCTGGTTCTTACGTCATTGTATTGTGTGTACAGGAAATGTGCAGGAAATGTGTATTGTCTTTATGGATTAGTGTGAAGTGAAATATTTTATTTTTAGTTGTGATGTGTGATTTAGGTGTGACGTTTTTAGTTGTAGTGTGTGGGTGTCAATTGTGTATTGTCATTGTGAATTAGTTTGAAGTGTAATGTTTTTAGTTGATCGTTTGTTTGTATTGTAAATAAGTCGTTTGTAAGGTGCCGGTAATTGCTGTGATCTGTTCAGGGGGGTTTGTTCCAAGTTGGTATACCAACTTTCTAATGTAAGCCGTTGTCTATAGTCAGTACTGTAAGTGATGCATTTTGCCGAGTCCCAGTCAATGTTGTGCTTTGTGATTCGGTGATGTTCGGCAATGTGATTAGTTTTGTCTTGTTTCTTAGTAGCTCGTTTGTGCTCAGTAAGTCTTATGTTTAAGTTCCTGCCAGTTTCCCCGATATAGGAGGCGTGGCAGTCGGAGCAGTTTATTTTGTAAACTGCACCTTGTCGTTCGTTGGGTTGTTCTTTGTCCTTTATGTTCGTTAGTACTTGTCGTAACGTTGTGATTGGTTTATGTGCGACACGTATGTTGTATGGTCGTAAGATACGCGAGGTAGTCTCAGACGTACCTTTGATGTAAGGTATCGTTGCTGTTGTCACTGAGTTGTTCGTTTCGTTGGGTTCGTTGGGTTTGTAAGTGTTGCGTTTGATAAAGTCAGAGTTATAGTTGTTTTTGTCAAAAACACGTTTGAGATAGTTGATTTCGTTTTGTAGAGCGTCCGGTGAATCACATATGATTTGTGCACGTCTTGTTAATGTTCTGATTGTGGTGGCTTTGTGTGATGTAGGGTTGTAAGATGATTGGTCTAGTAGTCGGTCAGTATGTGTTGGCTTGCGATAAACTGTTGTTCCTAGTTTTTGATTGTCATGTTTTACCAAACAGTCGAGAAAAGGAAGAGTTCCGTTTTCTTCGACATCTTTGGTAAATTGTATGTGGCTGTTCTGTTTGTTGATGTGAGTATGGAAGTCATCAATCTCGTCTGCATGTAGTGCTGTGATTGTGTCATCTACGTAGCGAAACCAAAAAGGTAGTGCATGTTTGTAAGTCATGAGTGCCCGTTCCTCTATAGATTGCATTACAATTTCAGCAACTACAACAGAAACGGGCGAGCCCATTGCTGTCCCATGTAATTGTTTGTAGTGTGTTCCTTTGTATTGGAAGTAAGTCGAGGTGAGGCAGAGCTCTAGTAACTCCATAATGTCTTCTGTCGGTAATGGCAGTACGTCCGTGGTAATGGCAGTACTTCTGTCGGTAATGGCAGTACGTCCGATCATTTGGACGACAGAGCGAACAACTTGCTAACGACTACATACGTTTTGCAAGCAACGTCAGACGCATACGCCAACAACTCTGGTTCAACCACCGCTCCAAGGATTTTGGTCTCGTTCCGGCAGGACTTAGAATTAAGTCTCCGTTGAACACACAAGAGGCTATTCAGATTGTCAAATCCACCAGCAGACGACTGATACGAGCACGGATTAACGACTGTCACAGACGAATCAACTATTACATCAAACAACAAGAACAAAGACTGAACAAACAGAAGGAACTCATACCAACGACAGTAAGTGATACTTTACTTTCTACCATACAAACTATTGCAGAGAAACGAGCAAACAAGACAGAGACACAACACCAAATCAAACAACAACAAAACTTGAACGTTTATAACAAACTAAAACACGTGCAAGACATAAACATGACGATAACTGGGTGAGGAATATTTCTTCCCGCCCATTAGACGAAACTGAAACGCGACTACTATCTTACGGACTAAAACATTCCATAACACCTAGACAAATCCCGACTGAGACGATAGTATCAAGTGTCGAGGCTGTCCTAGCTTATCAAAGAGACTTGTCAGAGACAACCAAAGACGAGATCAGAAGCAGGATAGCCTCCACTTTACAATCGTCCTCTATACGTGACAACAACTTGACAAAAGACGAACAACAAGCACTCAAACGACTAAAACACGACAACAACATCGTCATTTTACCACCAGACAAAGGACGCGTGACTGTGGTCATGGACAGGAATGATTACTTTAACAAAATGGACGCACTTGTTAACGACAGACAAACGTACGAACAACTCAAACGAGACCCAACACCATCACTAGTACGCAAACTTAACAGCAAGATCTTCTCTATGAGAAAATCTAACATTATATCTGAACGTATTTACTATCGACTCAGATGTTCAGTACCACGACCACCCAGACTATACGGACTACCAAAACTTCACAAACCACAAATACCCATGCGACCAATTGTATCATTCTGTGGTTCGCCTACTTACGAACTTTCAAAGTACTTGACTAACATACTGCAACCACTTACAAACAAATCAAAACACAAGCTACAATCCACTGAAACTTTCATTAAAAAACTGTGCACTATACAAATACCGGACAACTATATACTAGTGTCTTTTGATGTGAAATCACTGTTCACCAGTATTCCACTTAATCTGGCACTTACTTGTACAAAAACCCTCATTACAAACACCACGGACGTATTGCCATTACCGACAGAAGACATTATGGAGTTACTAGAGCTCTGCCTCACCTCGACTTACTTCCAATACAAAGGAACACACTACAAACAATTACATGGGACAGCAATGGGCTCGCCCGTTTCTGTTGTAGTTGCTGAAATTGTAATGCAATCTATAGAGGAACGGGCACTCATGACTTACAAACATGCACTACCTTTTTGGTTTCGCTACGTAGATGACACAATCACAGCACTACATGCAGACGAGATTGATGACTTCCATACTCACATCAACAAACAGAACAGCCACATACAATTTACCAAAGATGTCGAAGAAAACGGAACTCTTCCTTTTCTCGACTGTTTGGTAAAACATGACAATCAAAAACTAGGAACAACAGTTTATCGCAAGCCAACACATACTGACCGACTACTAGACCAATCATCTTACAACCCTACATCACACAAAGCCACCACAATCAGAACATTAACAAGACGTGCACAAATCATATGTGATTCACCGGACGCTCTACAAAACGAAATCAACTATCTCAAACGTGTTTTGACAAAACAACTATAACTCTGACTTTATCAAACGCAACACTTACAAACCCAACGAACCCAACGAAACGAACAACTCAGTGACAACAGCAACGATACCTTACATCAAAGGTACGTTTGAGACTATCTCGCGTATCTTACGACCATACAACATACGTGTCGCACATAAACCAATCACAACGTTACGACAAGTACTAACGAACATAAAGGACAAAGAACAACCCAACGAACGACAAGGTGCAGTTTAAAAATAAACTGCTCCGACTGCCACGCCTCCTATATCGGGGAAACTGGCAGGAACTTAAACATAAGACTTACTGAGCACAAACGAGCTACTAAGAAACAAGACAAAACTAATCACATTGCCGAACATCACCGAATCACAAAGCACAACATTGACTGGGACTCGGCAAAATGCATCACTTACAGTACTGACTATAGACAACGGCTTACATTAGAAAGTTGGTATACCAACTTGGAACAAACCCCCCTGAACAGATCACAGCAATTACCGGCACCTTACAAACGACTTATTCACAATACAAACAAACGATCAACTAAAAACATTACACTTCAAACTAATTCACAATGACAATACACAATTGACACCCACACACTACAACTAAAAACGTCACACCTAAATCACACATCACAACTAAAAATAAAATATTTCACTTCACACTAATCCATAAAGACAATACACATTTCCTGTACACACAATACAATGACGTAAGAACCAGACAACAAATACGGCTAACCTGACGTTTACTCCTCATTTGACTCTGAAGATGACTTCCGCTAAGGTTGTCGAAACGTCAGTCAACAACAACAAAAACAGTCCTTCTCAGGACTTTATTAACCTGGACGATCATCATTTACAAACATATAACGATACTCCCGGGTTCAAACCATTTACTTTAATGACAGTTACGATGAAAATAGTCAGTTGGTATGACTATGTGTTTCGTGGGGACTGATAAAGTACCTATTAAGTTTTGCTAAAAGAAATATTTAATTACGAAGCAGCAAACGCTATTTTGTATACAGTTTTTCAGTTTACTTTTTTAAGAGGAGATCTATAGCCAGTCATCAAAACGTCTTTTTCTTAAATGAATCTTGAAGAAATAAAGTGATCAGCAAATATTAACGTTAGGATATGCACGATCATTAAGTTTTTAAGAACTTTTATTTATACTTAATTTCGCGACTTCGTTCTAAAACGGACTCTTTCAGAAAAAGATTTATTCTCTATTTAAGGAGGGAAACCCGTTCATAAAACTATTTCATTCATAATGCAGCTTTCCGCAATACATCCTCGTTATTATTGAAAGAAGCAAGCACGTATAATTGATTCGTATTCATTTAACATCAAAAATAATACACAGAGATACCAAACGACAGCAAAAACAAGGACCAATAATCTTCTTCATAAAATTTTTTATACATCAGTTATCCGCTTTGAGAAGTTTTTTGAATTTTCATACGCACCAAATATGTCTCCACGGCTGTTTAAGAGATGGCCAAATTCAAAAAGTTTAGTTATAGAAAATATATTTAGAACTACCGGAACAAGATTTATTGGAGACATGTCTGCCTTAGGTGTGCTTTAGAGAGGTGTGCGCCTTTGAGAGTGTGCGCCTTAGAAAGGTATGCACCTTAGAAAGGAGTGCGCCTTAGGGTATGCGGTTGAGAGAGGTGTCTGCCTTAGAAATGTGTCCACCTTACAGGGCTGTCCAGCTTTGAAAGGTGTGAGCTTTAGAAATGTGTCCACTTTAAAGTGGTGTGTGCCTTAGAAATGTGTCCACCTTACAGTGCTTTCCACCTTAGAAAGGGTGAGCTTTAGAAGTGTGTCTACCTTACAGGGCTGTCCACCTTAGAGAGGTGTGTGCCTTAGAAATGTGTCCACCTTACAGTGCTGTTTACCTTAAAGAGGCGTGAGCTTTAGAAACGTTTTTGTTATAGAGAGGTGTGTTCCTTAGAGAGGTGTCTACCTTTGAGGTGAGTGTGCCCTAGAGATTTGCCCGCCATTGAGACGTGTACGCTTTGAGGAGTGTCTGCATTGAGAGGAAGAGACAACGTTTTGTTCGAACTCACTATTTTTTTGTAAAATATCTTTTGTCTTTGCAAACAGTCTAAAATTTATCTTGGCAAACAGTATTAAATGTGTCTTAGCGTACTGTATAAAGGATATTTTTCCTTAGGAAATGTGTAATTTGTTGAACAAACGTCATCACATGGCCCAGCTTGCGTCTCGCTCTTCTGTGGATCTTCATACTCAGGTCAATATCATATTATTCATGTTTTTATCATACACTTATTTTATTAAAGACCATATTTTCATGCTAAAATCCATGATTACGTAAAACATCAGTTAAGTCTGTCCTCATAGGATCTTATGAAAATTGTCCCACTTTGCTTTTAGTTACTTTAAGCATTTTCACATTATATAACTATTAAAACTATAGTTATCTAGTCATTTATAACTTATGCTTAACACAATTTTGGAAAAACTTTTACGGCTATGAATAGTTTATAGGCCGAACGTCTTACGGTCTTATTGCATGCTTATCGTTTCACATACTTAGTGGATATTTCTCGCATGTACTGTTGGATTAAAGCAACTTTTTTTTAATTATAGCTGTTCTTTAAAGATCGAGTAAGTATTGAAGAAGCCTTTGTATTGTTTGTGCGTAGAAATGCTCTTCAAGTTTTGATTCCAAAATATGGCGTCGAAGGAAACATATTTTTGCGGGAGACGACATCGCGAAGTAAATTCAATGAAGAAGTAAGTGACATATTGGTTGCTTTTTTTATTACAAAATCGTACATTTTACTTTGTGTTTTATATAGGAGATGTCAATAACCATTGGTGATGTGACGTTTAAAGTTTTTTCTAAGATTCGTGTGCAGATAAAAGTCGATACGTCTGCATCCAAAAATAGATTTGTCAATATAATGCTTATGGATCCTTACGTAAGTACATAGACATGTTCTGCTTTTTCTCCTTTTCTTATTTTAATGTTGTACATTAACTATGAATTGTCTTTGCTGTCATTACAACGATGTTTTTGTAGTTCAAAAACTTTTTCCCAGCCTTATGTTTCTTTATCAACCTAACCCATATAAACCTGTTTTTGGTTGAATTTACCCTGTAATTGTAGCTGCCTTCTCATGTGTTTGTTGAGTTTAACGACCAAAGTAAAGGTGTAGTGTTTAAAAATATGAATTAACTTAAATCGTGCGAATTGCAGGTCCCTGGCCTTAGTGTTGATGAAATTGATGATGCTAGCAGTGTAAACTCTTTACAACCAGAATTAAAAACTACGAACTGCTTGATGAATGAAAATGATAAAGGTTGCATTTGTCACTTTAATCCGGGGTTGTTGACGGAAAGTACTTCTCCACAGATACAGTCAATTATAGACATTAGCTAATGTATTTTATCGTTTTGAAAAGATTGTAGTTTTTCAATGCAAATGTATTTTAATTGAAATGATTTGTAAAACGTTGTAAATACGCGTAACTAATCTCTCTCACACTAAAGTATATGAAAACTTGTATAAATTTACGAATATCATGGACGCACAACAAACGAGCTAAATGAGTAATTTAATGATTTAGATGCTAATGTTTTAAAAAATCTGGAGATAAGACGTGGACATGGACTTTCTTAATCGATGGCAAAAATGAATTATTCAAGTGACTCTCACTTTACTGGTGAATCCACAAGGTAATATTTACGAGGTCATATTTTTCAAATAAAAACAGACTTTCTCAATACAGCTAATTGCAAATAAAAACATCCTTTACAAAGTATGAAGTGGACAGTTTTGTTAGGATATTGAACAAGTAGACGTGTAAACTAACGTCACACAAATATCAATATATAAATATAATTATACAAATAAAATTTCGAAATGAACGCGCTTCAAAACTTCAATCGTCCAGCTGACAAAGTAAGGCAACACCGCGTTTAATCCAATGACTTTCATGTTTATCAGTAGGTAAACACACAGGCATGACATAGTTGGTGGAATGTCCAGTAGTGGATAATGTACCACGTCTTTCACTTGTTTTATATACTGGACATCTGTACGTCTGACTGAAGATTATTTCCGCTGTTTTACCTGCAGCAAATATTTCAAATTGTAAGAATTTCGCTTATACGCGGTTAGCTGAACTTAGCTATTTCCTTAACCTGTATGTTTCGAAACAGGTAAAAAGGTGAAGTTGTGGACATTTGCTGGTAAGGCATGATTGTGAAATAAGACAAAACTGCACTACGCAAAATAACTTACGAGATTTCTTTAATGTACTTTTGTATCAATAAATATCCTCGTTTATAAAATAACCTTTCAAAAATACGGGCCCTGATTAGTCGAATGCTCGAAAAAACCATGTTGATATAACTCAATCATGCACCAGATTTCTATCTCGCAATAATCTCGCATGTTGCGTGGTTTGTGCGGGAAATTTTAATAACGACGCTATTTTATAACCGAATTAGAAAGCATATATTTATTGGAAGGGGGGCGCTTATTTCATTTTCGGATTTTTGACGTGAAAATGACACTGGTATTTTTATTTCTTGTGACCTTAACTGTAACATAAGTATGAAAATTTAGCAAACCCGTCTTTTCTCGAGGGCGCTTATTGGAAGGGGCGCTTATTTCAAAATTTGAGTCCTAGGGGGGGCGCTAATTCGAAGCGGGGCGCTTATTGGAAGCTGGGCGCTTATTCGAGCATTTACGGTATACTTTAACCCTTAGAACTTTTGTAAGACATTTAAAGGCTCGTTCACACGATCCAATTTGTCGGATCTGATTGTGTATTTTTTGGGTGGGATATTTTAGGAGATATTTATAGTCGTGGGAGCAGCTATTTGTGTTATCCAGTACATCTATCGATATATTTTGCGTATTTGTTGTTGTTGTTTCCAAGTCTTTTTCTAGTCCATTTTTTGCGCCAAATCAAATATGGGAAGCATAGAGAGTGAGAAGTCTGGCACTAGTAGGCTTTCTTTGATCTTGTTGGCTAAAAATGTAGCAAGTTCTATTTCCGATTATTCAGACTGACGGACCCTCTGTCGTAGGCTCGCTTTATATGAATTCACATGATCCGTTTTTAGGATCCGACAAAATCGGATCGTGTTAGCGGGCCATAACATTACAACATTTTTACTATCAAATTTTTTTTAGATGCTTTCCTTTCTTCATTAGCTATATCGATGATTTGTTTTGTTAAATTTTTAAGGGAGACAAATTCTCTCGTCGAAGAATTTATGTTGCTTGCAAATATTTCGGTAGCGAAGAAGATTTTTAATCACTATAGCGAATATGCCGTGCTCAGGAGGCATCCTGCACCACCACTTTCAAATTATGATTGCCTTATTAAAGCTGCTGGATCAAAGGTATGTTTTTTTACATTCTTTAATTTTGAATTTATGTAATACTCTAACACCATTGGTGAAGTGCAGTTTCATTTAACTTAAAATACGTCATATATCGGTGGAAAATGTCTAAATCACACTATACCAGTACTTAAATATTTTAAATATTCAAAAATATTTGCTTTTCTGTTTTACATATGTCTTTCCTTATGAGACCTTATCGTTCATTTTCTGTCTGTTCGGCCATAAATTCTTTTATTAATTAAGATTCATGTTTTTTCTAATATTTCAAGAGGGGTTTAAATAATTTCTATTGCAAGAGTACCCTTTGCATTGAGCATGCATGAATATCTTCACACTTTTAAAGTTGAAAATATGCACACACTTTGTATAGGCTCAGAAGTTGATGCTGTTAAAGAATTAATTGAGTACCCAAAAGCTTATATTGTATTTTGCTCATGATTATATAATTTGCTCCTTAGAACTTGACATGCTCTTGGCCTTGTGTCTTCATTGAAGTTGAAAATCCGCATTGTTATGTTTATTAATTTATGTTAATCTAATAGGATATTTACGTCATTAGTTAATGTTGATTCTGAGTTATCTTAAGTATATATAGAGGTTAACTTGTACTACCTAGTTAGTTGGAAAATACTCTGCTGTGAAATATAGAACACAACAATTATAGCTTAGCCAACTTGGAAATTTAAATGTAAATTTTTCTCTGTAAAACAATAGATTTCTACAGAAATGAATAATGATAATGTCTGAAATTTGCATATAGCGTGACAAAAACATGCGGGCTTGCTACCCTCTACTGTTGTTATCCTCTGCCATTATAAAGTACAAAGAATGTAGATTCGCAAGAGCAAGCCTTCGAATGTTTGAGTTAAACTGTCCAGCGTTCCTTCGGAGTATAATTAATTCTGTTTACGAACTAAGCATATTTGTTTTATTTTTAGAACTTAAATATTCAGGTGGATAGTGCAAAATCGTTGGCCGTTTCTTTAGAAAAAGCTACGCTGCCAGACTTTCCATATTTTAACACATTACTTCGTATACTTACGACGAGATGTATGATGCAAGCTGTTTATTTTTGCTCTGGAACATTACCAGAGGAAGATTATCTTCATTATGGCTTAGCAGCACCTATCTATACATTTTACGTCACCTATTCGACGGCAAGTATTCATAACTTTAGCATATTTGAAGTGTCCTTTCAGCAAAAAAATTTATTTACGATATTAAATTTAGGCCTGATTTCTAACGTACGTATCAATGAAAAACGTTTTTATGTTGGTCAAATCGTTCCATTTTCATGGCTGCTTAACGTTGCCAAAAATTCTCCTTATAATGGACCTTGTCCGTTTTTCGAAAAGTCTGGAACGACTCACTCTAGTGACATCATGCAAGGGATTCCTCAATACATGATATACGTACCAACTACCTTGGATGACGTCAGTATTTGGCTTGACCCAGACTTCATGCCACGGCGGATGATTTGACCGAATTGATTTTTTTTTCACCGATATGTTAAACATTATACCTAGTTTTGATATCATAAATAAAAGTTTTTTGTTTATTTGGGCACTTTTTATTTCATTTCATTGCGTGCAAAGTAGATTTTACGTATTATGTCATTATGTTTAAGGTATTCGGACATTCTCGTTCATCGTCTTTTGGCCGTCACTATTGGGGCTATACCTTCATTTCCTGAAATGTTCAATAAAAAAAATACGCAGGTAAATCACCATGAATTTATGTTATTGAATGTAGGATGAGTTCACTATACAGTTGCCAACAATGGTGTTATACAATAGATCATTCCTCAACTTACAATGACAGTTACGTGTTTGTAAAGGCTGAAACACACTAGGCAGTCGCTTTAGTCGCGCGTCTAAAACTACCGCTTTGCGTGGTTACTAAGCTAGTAGCTTAGTCGCGTCAGCTAGTCGCTTTGAAAGTTCAACATGTTGAACTTTTGACTTTAGTCGCTTCAGTCGCTTTACACTGATTGGCCAATAGATACATTTTAACTTCCTAAATGTATATCATATTTCCTGTCATAAGCATCATACGAAATTTATAGATTATACCTTGGAAAACGAAGGCAATATATAGTGAATTCACACTGGAATCTTTCAGTTTTTATATGACTTATCAAATAGGGACAATAGGAGCTACAAACTGGAACCCTAATGCACAACCTAAATGCACAGAATAAGATTATCCACGATATACGCGTAATGTGCTATGATCATATTGGCGTGTTTTAACTGGCTTGTTCTCTTTTCTCCACATAGTAGTTTGTACTGAGTAAATATTCATATATTAGTAGCTATAACAAAGGCCAAAATAAAAAGTGTAAGTGATATCTGTGTCTGTAACAAACTAAAATCACCGCCATGTTCAATAGACGCCACGGTAAATGTCGCGATGGTCGCTGCATGTGTGTTTCTAGCGTTCAAGCGACTGACGCGTGCGCATCAATTCGCTTTGGACGCGCGACTGAAGCGACTGCCCAGTGTGTTTCAGCCTTAAATGATGATCGTCCAGGTTAATAAAGTCCTGAGAAGGACTGTTTTTGTTGTTGTTGACTGACGTTTCGACAACCTTAGCGGTAGTCATCTTCAGAGTCAAATGAGGAGTAAACGTCAGGTTAGCCGTATTTGTTGTCTGGTTCTTACGTCATTGTATTGTGTGTACAGGAAATGTGCAGGAAATGTGTATTGTCTTTATGGATTAGTGTGAAGTGAAATATTTTATTTTTAGTTGTGATGTGTGATTTAGGTGTGACGTTTTTAGTTGTAGTGTGTGGGTGTCAATTGTGTATTGTCATTGTGAATTAGTTTGAAGTGTAATGTTTTTAGTTGATCGTTTGTTTGTATTGTAAATAAGTCGTTTGTAAGGTGCCGGTAATTGCTGTGATCTGTTCAGGGGGGGGTTTGTTCCAAGTTGGTATACCAACTTTCTAATGTAAGCCGTTGTCTATAGTCAGTACTGTAAGTGATGCATTTTGCCGAGTCCCAGTCAATGTTGTGCTTTGTGATTCGGTGATGTTCGGCAATGTGATTAGTTTTGTCTTGTTTCTTAGTAGCTCGTTTGTGCTCAGTAAGTCTTATGTTTAAGTTCCTGCCAGTTTCCCCGATATAGGAGGCGTGGCAGTCGGAGCAGTTTATTTTGTAAACTGCACCTTGTCGTTCGTTGGGTTGTTCTTTGTCCTTTATGTTCGTTAGTACTTGTCGTAACGTTGTGATTGGTTTATGTGCGACACGTATGTTGTATGGTCGTAAGATACGCGAGGTAGTCTCAGACGTACCTTTGATGTAAGGTATCGTTGCTGTTGTCACTGAGTTGTTCGTTTCGTTGGGTTCGTTGGGTTTGTAAGTGTTGCGTTTGATAAAGTCAGAGTTATAGTTGTTTTGTCAAAACACGTTTGAGATAGTTGATTTCGTTTTGTAGAGCGTCCGGTGAATCACATATGATTTGTGCACGTCTTGTTAATGTTCTGATTGTGGTGGCTTTGTGTGATGTAGGGTTGTAAGATGATTGGTCTAGTAGTCGGTCAGTATGTGTTGGCTTGCGATAAACTGTTGTTCCTAGTTTTGATTGTCATGTTTTACCAAACAGTCGAGAAAAGGAAGAGTTCCGTTTTCTTCGACATCTTTGGTAAATTGTATGTGGCTGTTCTGTTTGTTGATGTGAGTATGGAAGTCATCAATCTCGTCTGCATGTAGTGCTGTGATTGTGTCATCTACGTAGCGAAACCAAAAGGTAGTGCATGTTTGTAAGTCATGAGTGCCCGTTCCTCTATAGATTGCATTACAATTTCAGCAACTACAACAGAAACGGGCGAGCCATTGCTGTCCCATGTAATTGTTTGTAGTGTGTTCCTTTGTATTGGAAGTAAGTCGAGGTGAGGCAGAGCTCTAGTAACTCCATAATGTCTTCTGTCGGTAATGGCAGTACGTCCGTGGTAATGGCAGTACTTCTGTCGGTAATGGCAGTACGTCCGATCATTTGGACGACAGAGCGAACAACTTGCTAACGACTACATACGTTTTGCAAGCAACGTCAGACGCATACGCCAACAACTCTGGTTCAACCACCGCTCCAAGGATTTTGGTCTCGTTCCGGCAGGACTTAGAATTAAGTCTCCGTTGAACACACAAGAGGCTATTCAGATTGTCAAATCCACCAGCAGACGACTGATACGAGCACGGATTAACGACTGTCACAGACGAATCAACTATTACATCAAACAACAAGAACAAAGACTGAACAAACAGAAGGAACTCATACCAACGACAGTAAGTGATACTTTACTTTCTACCATACAAACTATTGCAGAGAAACGAGCAAACAAGACAGAGACACAACACCAAATCAAACAACAACAAAAACTTGAACGTTTATAACAAACTAAAACACGTGCAAGACATAAACATGACGATAACTGGGTGAGGAATATTTCTTCCCGCCCATTAGACGAAACTGAAACGCGACTACTATCTTACGGACTAAAACATTCCATAACACCTAGACAAATCCCGACTGAGACGATAGTATCAAGTGTCGAGGCTGTCCTAGCTTATCAAAGAGACTTGTCAGAGACAACCAAAGACGAGATCAGAAGCAGGATAGCCTCCACTTTACAATCGTCCTCTATACGTGACAACAACTTGACAAAAGACGAACAACAAGCACTCAAACGACTAAAACACGACAACAACATCGTCATTTTACCACCAGACAAAGGACGCGTGACTGTGGTCATGGACAGGAATGATTACTTTAACAAAATGGACGCACTTGTTAACGACAGACAAACGTACGAACAACTCAAACGAGACCCAACACCATCACTAGTACGCAAACTTAACAGCAAGATCTTCTCTATGAGAAAATCTAACATTATATCTGAACGTATTTACTATCGACTCAGATGTTCAGTACCACGACCACCCAGACTATACGGACTACCAAAACTTCACAAACCACAAATACCCATGCGACCAATTGCATCATTCTGTGGTTCGCCTACTTGCGAACTTTCAAAGTACTTGACTAACATACTGCAACCACTTACAAACAAATCAAAACACAAGCTACAATCCACTGAAACTTTCATTAAAAAACTGTGCACTATACAAGTACCGGACAACTATATACTAGTGTCTTTTGATGTGAAATCACTGTTCACCAGTATTCCACTTAATCTGGCACTTACTTGTACAAAAACCCTCATTACAAACACCACGGACGTATTGCCATTACCGACAGAAGACATTATGGAGTTACTAGAGCTCTGCCTCACCTCGACTTACTTCCAATACAAAGGAACACACTACAAACAATTACATGGGACAGCAATGGGCTCGCCCGTTTCTGTTGTAGTTGCTGAAATTGTAATGCAATCTATAGAGGAACGGGCACTCATGACTTACAAACATGCACTACCTTTTTGGTTTCGCTACGTAGATGACACAATCACAGCACTACATGCAGACGAGATTGATGACTTCCATACTCACATCAACAAACAGAACAGCCACATACAATTTACCAAAGATGTCGAAGAAAACGGAACTCTTCCTTTTCTCGACTGTTTGGTAAAACATGACAATCAAAACTAGGAACAACAGTTTATCGCAAGCCAACACATACTGACCGACTACTAGACCAATCATCTTACAACCCTACATCACACAAAGCCACCACAATCAGAACATTAACAAGACGTGCACAAATCATATGTGATTCACCGGACGCTCTACAAAACGAAATCAACTATCTCAAACGTGTTTTTGACAAAAACAACTATAACTCTGACTTTATCAAACGCAACACTTACAAACCCAACGAACCCAACGAAACGAACAACTCAGTGACAACAGCAACGATACCTTACATCAAAGGTACGTTTGAGACTATCTCGCGTATCTTACGACCATACAACATACGTGTCGCACATAAACCAATCACAACGTTACGACAAGTACTAACGAACATAAAGGACAAAGAACAACCCAACGAACGACAAGGTGCAGCTTAAAAAATAAACTGCTCCGACTGCCACGCCTCCTATATCGGGGAAACTGGCAGGAACTTAAACATAAGACTTACTGAGCACAAACGAGCTACTAAGAAACAAGACAAAACTAATCACATTGCCGAACATCACCGAATCACAAAGCACAACATTGACTGGGACTCGGCAAAATGCATCACTTACAGTACTGACTATAGACAACGGCTTACATTAGAAAGTTGGTATACCAACTTGGAACAAACCCTGAACAGATCACAGCAATTACCGGCACCTTACAAACGACTTATTCACAATACAAACAAACGATCAACTAAAAACATTACACTTCAAACTAATTCACAATGACAATACACAATTGACACCCACACACTACAACTAAAACGTCACACCTAAATCACACATCACAACTAAAAATAAAATATTTCACTTCACACTAATCCATAAAGACAATACACATTTCCTGTACACACAATACAATGACGTAAGAACCAGACAACAAATACGGCTAACCTGACGTTTACTCCTCATTTGACTCTGAAGATGACTTCCGCTAAGGTTGTCGAAACGTCAGTCAACAACAACAAAAACAGTCCTTCTCAGGACTTTATTAACCTGGACGATCATCATTTACAAACATATAACGATACTCCCGGGTTCAAACCATTTACTTTAATGACAGTTACGATGAAAATAGTCAGTTGGTATGACTATGTGTTTCGTGGGGACTGATAAAGTACCTATTAAGTTTTGCTAAAAGAAATATTTAATTACGAAGCAGCAAACGCTATTTTGTATACAGTTTTTCAGTTTACTTTTTTAAGAGGAGATCTATAGCCAGTCATCAAAACGTCTTTTTCTTAAATGAATCTTGAAGAAATAAAGTGATCAGCAAATATTAACGTTAGGATATGCACGATCATTAAGTTTTTAAGAACTTTTATTTATACTTAATTTCGCGACTTCGTTCTAAAACGGACTCTTTCAGAAAAAGATTTATTCTCTATTTAAGGAGGGAAACCCGTTCATAAAACTATTTCATTCATAATGCAGCTTTCCGCAATACATCCTCGTTATTATTGAAAGAAGCAAGCACGTATAATTGATTCGTATTCATTTAACATCAAAAATAATACACAGAGATACCAAACGACAGCAAAAACAAGGACCAATAATCTTCTTCATAAAATTTTTTATACATCAGTTATCCGCTTTGAGAAGTTTTTTGAATTTTCATACGCACCAAATATGTCTCCACGGCTGTTTAAGAGAGATGGCCAAATTCAAAAAAGTTTAGTTATAGAAAATATATTTAGAACTACCGGAACAAGATTTATTGGAGACATGTCTGCCTTAGGTGTGCTTTAGAGAGGTGTGCGCCTTTGAGAGTGTGCGCCTTAGAAAGGTATGCACCTTAGAAAGGAGTGCGCCTTAGGGTATGCGGTTGAGAGAGGTGTCTGCCTTAGAAATGTGTCCACCTTACAGGGCTGTCCAGCTTTGAAAGGTGTGAGCTTTAGAAATGTGTCCACTTTAAAGTGGTGTGTGCCTTAGAAATGTGTCCACCTTACAGTGCTTTCCACCTTAGAAAGGGGTGAGCTTTAGAAGTGTGTCTACCTTACAGGGCTGTCCACCTTAGAGAGGTGTGTGCCTTAGAAATGTGTCCACCTTACAGTGCTGTTTACCTTAAAGAGGCGTGAGCTTTAGAAACGTTTTTGTTATAGAGAGGTGTGTTCCTTAGAGAGGTGTCTACCTTTGAGGTGAGTGTGCCCTAGAGATTTGCCCGCCATTGAGACGTGTACGCTTTGAGGAGTGTCTGCATTGAGAGGAAGAGACAACGTTTTTGTTCGAACTCACTATTTTTTTGTAAAATATCTTTTGTCTTTGCAAACAGTCTAAAATTTATCTTGGCAAACAGTATTAAATGTGTCTTAGCGTACTGTATAAAGGATATTTTTCCTTAGGAAATGTGTAATTTGTTGAACAAACGTCATCACATGGCCCAGCTTGCGTCTCGCTCTTCTGTGGATCTTCATACTCAGGTCAATATCATATTATTCATGTTTTTATCATACACTTATTTTATTAAAGACCATATTTTCATGCTAAAATCCATGATTACGTAAAAACATCAGTTAAGTCTGTCCTCATAGGATCTTATGAAAATTGTCCCACTTTGCTTTTAGTTACTTTAAGCATTTTCACATTATATAACTATTAAAACTATAGTTATCTAGTCATTTATAACTTATGCTTAACACAATTTTGGAAAAACTTTTACGGCTATGAATAGTTTATAGGCCGAACGTCTTACGGTCTTATTGCATGCTTATCGTTTCACATACTTAGTGGATATTTCTCGCATGTACTGTTGGATTAAAGCAACTTTTTTTTAATTATAGCTGTTCTTTAAAGATCGAGTAAGTATTGAAGAAGCCTTTGTATTGTTTGTGCGTAGAAATGCTCTTCAAGTTTTGATTCCAAAATATGGCGTCGAAGGAAACATATTTTTGCGGGAGACGACATCGCGAAGTAAATTCAATGAAGAAGTAAGTGACATATTGGTTGCTTTTTTTTTATTACAAAATCGTACATTTTACTTTGTGTTTTATATAGGAGATGTCAATAACCATTGGTGATGTGACGTTTAAAGTTTTTTCTAAGATTCGTGTGCAGATAAAAGTCGATACGTCTGCATCCAAAAATAGATTTGTCAATATAATGCTTATGGATCCTTACGTAAGTACATAGACATGTTCTGCTTTTTCTCCTTTTCTTATTTTAATGTTGTACATTAACTATGAATTGTCTTTGCTGTCATTACAACGATGTTTTTGTAGTTCAAAAACTTTTTCCCAGCCTTATGTTTCTTTATCAACCTAACCCATATAAACCTGTTTTTGGTTGAATTTACCCTGTAATTGTAGCTGCCTTCTCATGTGTTTGTTGAGTTTAACGACCAAAGTAAAGGTGTAGTGTTTAAAAAAATATGAATTAACTTAAATCGTGCGAATTGCAGGTCCCTGGCCTTAGTGTTGATGAAATTGATGATGCTAGCAGTGTAAACTCTTTACAACCAGAATTAAAAAAACTACGAACTGCTTGATGAATGAAAATGATAAAGGTTGCATTTGTCACTTTAATCCGGGGTTGTTGACGGAAAGTACTTCTCCACAGATACAGTCAATTATAGACATTAGCTAATGTATTTTATCGTTTTGAAAAGATTGTAGTTTTTCAATGCAAATGTATTTTAATTGAAATGATTTGTAAAACGTTGTAAATACGCGTAACTAATCTCTCTCACACTAAAGTATATGAAAACTTGTATAAATTTACGAATATCATGGACGCACAACAAACGAGCTAAATGAGTAATTTAATGATTTAGATGCTAATGTTTTAAAAAATCTGGAGATAAGACGTGGACATGGACTTTCTTAATCGATGGCAAAAATGAATTATTCAAGTGACTCTCACTTTACTGGTGAATCCACAAGGTAATATTTACGAGGTCATATTTTTCAAATAAAAACAGACTTTCTCAATACAGCTAATTGCAAATAAAAACATCCTTTACAAAGTATGAAGTGGACAGTTTTGTTAGGATATTGAACAAGTAGACGTGTAAACTAACGTCACACAAATATCAATATATAAATATAATTATACAAATAAAATTTCGAAATGAACGCGCTTCAAAACTTCAATCGTCCAGCTGACAAAGTAAGGCAACACCGCGTTTAATCCAATGACTTTCATGTTTATCAGTAGGTAAACACACAGGCATGACATAGTTGGTGGAATGTCCAGTAGTGGATAATGTACCACGTCTTTCACTTGTTTTATATACTGGACATCTGTACGTCTGACTGAAGATTATTTCCGCTGTTTTACCTGCAGCAAATATTTCAAATTGTAAGAATTTCGCTTATACGCGGTTAGCTGAACTTAGCTATTTCCTTAACCTGTATGTTTCGAAACAGGTAAAAAGGTGAAGTTGTGGACATTTGCTGGTAAGGCATGATTGTGAAATAAGACAAAACTGCACTACGCAAAATAACTTACGAGATTTCTTTAATGTACTTTTGTATCAATAAATATCCTCGTTTATAAAATAACCTTTCAAAAATACGGGCCCTGATTAGTCGAATGCTCGAAAAAACCATGTTGATATAACTCAATCATGCACCAGATTTCTATCTCGCAATAATCTCGCATGTTGCGTGGTTTGTGCGGGAAATTTTAATAACGACGCTATTTTATAACCGAATTAGAAAGCATATATTTACGTGTTCCTATTTATTTATATAAACAATTGTGTAAGTTTGGAAGAAATTCAAAATTGCTTGAAAACACTTGCACTTCGTGCTCGTGCTTGCCACGCAATTTCTCGTTTCTCTCAAACTTTCCCACGTTTTTTTAATAACTATAGAAACTCGGAAAATGTTCTCTATTTCATTTAGGAAGAGACACATAATACGTAATATGGTAACCATGTAATCTTTTGAAGACACCAGGGGCCGGTTGCACGAAGCCTGGATAGCGTTGTCCTTGGATAGCACGTTTTTTAAACTTTTATAAAACCTTCTAAAAAGCAAAAATATAAGATTGGAATTGAACAATCACTGAAATAAAATATTACTTCGAAGATTACAAAACTTTGTCGTATGAAAAATATAAGCACCTTTTTTACAAGTTTGAAAATTTTTGCTATCCAATGGATAACGCTATCCAGGCTTCGTGCAACCGGCCCCTGTTGTTGCAGTGGGTCATTCTAGTGGTTAGTTGTTGCAGTGAGTCATTCTAGTGGTTAGTTGTTGCAGTAAGTCGTTCAAGTTATTTTTAGATGTCACAGCAAATCTCTTCAATGGTTAGATGTAGAGTGTTCAATAGTTGGTTATTTATATTCAAAGTGTAGATTCATATAGAAGTTGCATCAGAATTTTTCTGTTTGTTGTTCCACCTCAAAAACTTAATACTGTCAAACTTTGTTTTATATGAAAAATTCACGAGCTTGCTACATCCATTTTATTTCATTCAATAAAAGCAAAGGGATTCGGTATTTATGTCTAGCATTTAAAATTGCTAATATTTTTAATAAACTTCAGGAAATCTCAAGTTCAAAGATATTAAAACGCCGTACCTGGTTTTACCCATATTATTGGCATAGAGTCGTGAAGTATTTTTGGCAGAGACTCTCCAATGACACCTCTAAAAACATGTTAAACTTTCAGAAAGGCTACCAAGTGAAACAATTGCTTCGTTATAATTTACAATTAGACTTAAGAATTTCCTTAACTCTTAAGCCAACACGCTAGATTAATATCATGTATTTTTTTTAAATGCAAAATGACACAATCCTTTGAACAGCTTTGTGGCAACAAAAAATCTTTCCTCGAAAAAGGATTTTTGAGCAAACAATATCACCGTAAATTAATATTGAAACGTAGCTATATTGGTTTTGTTTGGACAGTACTTTGAGAGTAACATATAAAAAGCAATGCTTTCTGTGTTTGCAAGACGAATATGTTAACACGAAATTGGAGACAGCTCGGATTTTTCAAAAATCTTTAATGTAGTGGATATTTGTTTATGATATACATTTGACAACAACAAATGAAAAAAAACCCCTAATAAGTATATGTGCTTTTTTTATTGTAAAGATTAAAATGTATTAAGAGATTTGTTACTAGGATGTACTTAAGAAAAAATTTAAAGTTGTTGCTTTGATAACAATGATCCTCGATCTTTCTGAGGAGATGTAAATGGTGTTAATAAACATGAGTCTTATATCGTTGATGATTTACCACGAGTCCGCTTCATCCATTCTAAATCAGTTTCGACAGATAACACTGGTCAACAGCAAATTTGGTGTCTCAGTTTTGTAAACTGATTTTGGATAATTTTGATGTGCTGAGTCCAAAAATAACACTATTTTTGCTGGGTCAGGTCGAGATTTTAAACTATCGTTAATTTTCTATTTTTTAACTTTTAAATACCCGAGAAAGGTACAACAGAAGCACTAACCATTTACCTTTTAAAGTTCTATTATCTGAACAAATTTAAATTTTTTAGCACTAGCAATACAAAGAAGAAAGCATTTGAATAAGCAATTTTTGATTGAATTTCAATTAGGGAGTTTAGGTTTTGCGATTATTATGGGATATTTAAAGATAAAATAAGGCTTTATTTAGCCCATACTGAAATTCAATGGTAAAACTTGTTAAAACACACCAACATATTAATGTACGTAAAAATAATAAAAGTAGAAATAAGAAAAATAAGCCAGATGTTTTTTGCTATGTTTGTGGTGAATACACACTTGCACCAAATCGCAATACTGTCACTACCTTTATCAAGCGCGTTTACTATGCATATTTTGGCATGAAGCTCGGCGATCAAGACAAAAGTTGGGCACCTCACATGGTTTGCAAAAGATGGCACGCAAAAGTCCATGAACTTTGGCATCCCCATGATTTGGCGAGAGCCTTAAATCATGCAACCGATTGCTACTTTTGTGCTATCAATGTCATGGGAATTAACAGAAAAAATCGCACAACACTGGAGTATCCCAATCTACCGTCAGCTATGCGCCCTACTCCTTATAGTGAAGAAATTCCCGTACTTGTATTTGAAGATACAAGTATTGAAGAAAGCAGTAGTAGCCAGGATGAAACTCAAAGCATTGCCACTACCGTTGATGCATCCTTTCCACATGACTAAATTGTTTTCCCGATGGCAAAATTGTTTCCCAAAACGAACTAAACGATCTTGTTCGCGATTTAAATTTGCCAAAAGACTCTGCCGAACTTCTTGCATCTCGTTTAAAGGACAAGAACATGCTAAATGGTAAAGTTAAGGTACTTTTCTTCCGTACCAGGCACCAGGAATTTTTAAGATATTTTGCTCAAGAAAAAGAATTAGTCTATCGCAATGACATAGTAGAGCTACTGAAACATCTCGGCGTACCTGAATACAAATCAGAGGACTGGCGACTTTTTATCGACAGCAGCAAAAGGTCCTTGAAATGTGTGTTGTTACACAATGGAAATCAATTTGCATCTGTGCCATTGGCACATTCGACAACATTAAAAGAACAGCATGAAGCAATTAAGTACGTCCTAGAAAAAATTTCTTATGACCAACATAAATGGCTGATTTGCGTTGACTTTAAAATGGTCAACTTCTTGCTTGGTCAACAGTCTGGATTTGCCAAATACCCATACTTTTTATGCCTCTGGGATAGTAGGGATCGTACTCATCATTATCATCATTACGTGAAAAAAGAATGGCCAGTACGTGAAGAGCTTGCAAGTTGTAGAGCAAAAAATGTGATAAACAAGCCTCTAGTTGACAGGGGACGTATTTTATTTCCTCCACTGCACATAAAGTTCGGTTTGATAAGGCAATTCACTAAAACTTTGGATAAAGATGGACGGTGTTTTCAGTTTCGTTGTAAAACCTTCCCCAATTTGTCAACTGAAAAATTAAAAGCTGGTATTGATCCCGAAAATCTTGGCTCTTTAAGCGATGAGCAAGGAGAACGCTTTCACCATGACTTAAGAGAAAGGTGGGACATGGTGATGATGGCAGACTACTGTTGGAATTTAAAAAGAGATGTGCAAGCACCAAAACATTCGCGACAATCAAAAACGAAAATTTAGACCGTAATAATGCAAACATTAAGTTTTCATTTTAGTTACATGTACTGTACATGAAGTGTACATGATTCTTTCTTGGAATACTGCAATTTTATCATAAAAACTGACATTTTGTTTTGAAACATCTTGAAAACATGTACATCTTGAAAACATTGTTTTAAAAAAATATAACTAAAGTCGCATAATTTTAAATTCAAATTTGCAAAAAAATTTGACCTCCGAGAGCAAAATGAATGTTATTTCTAGATTTAGCATAGCAAAAATATAGTAAATCTGTCAAAAAATATCAGACACCTTTTAAAAAGTTTCTTTTTGTTGACCAGTGTAATTGAATCACTGTCAAGTGCAACCAGAAATGGTGATTTTATTGTTGCTGGGGGTTTTTTATTATATTTTTGACGGGCAGCAAATTCAGTAAGTTGAATACTCTATGATACTTAAATCATTGAGAACGTGTTATTGAATGTCGTGCTTCAGTTTATGTATAGCTTTTTTTGTGACGCACCTTTTGCGATCCCATCGAGCACCTTCCAAAAATAGACCATTGACGTAAACTCCATCATCTGGTGGCTTAACCACATTTTCTTCTGAGATGACCTGAACCGATCAAATACAATTGTTAGCTGTAAAAATATTTCAACATGCATCAAAGAGTATTTATACTTTTTTATTTCAAAAAACCCGTTTGTCAGTTACATAAAAATAGGCATGCAGAGCGTACAAAAGTGTACTTAAGCAAGTGAACACGTGACCAAAAAAGAATTTTAAGTTGACCGTAATGTTTTATAAGACGGAAAATCAAAGTAAAATAATACCTTAATGTTTTATAAGAAGGAAAATCAAAGAAATACATGGTAGTAGAATAAAAAGAAAGTAAGACAAAAGTGCAAACTATAAAAAACGAAAAAGCAAACGGCGAACGCAACGAAATAGGCAACAGAGCGAGAGCCTGCAGTGGACTAAATTTTAATCAAAACAACAGAATGAAAAGAATTTGGAAAAGAACGACGAACGAGAAGAATAAATCTGGAAGCAGACCAGTTAATAGGTTTGGTACAGAAGAACTAAGAAGTGATGTAGATGATGGCAAAATGAAAATGGGAAAGGCTCCTGGACCCTAGTTAGTACGCCTTGAAATGACACAGGCCAGTAGAGAAACCAAGATTTATCAATTATGTAATAGAAGGGGAAGAATAGAAAGGAAACGGTTCCAGAGTTTTGTTATTTAGGGAATAGAGTAAATACAGAAGCTGTTTTTTAGGAAACTGCAACAGCAAGAGTAGGAATTGGATGGTTGAAGTTAAGGAAGTGTAGGCAGCCGTTTAGTTCAAAATGTTTTTCTTAAGCTGAAAGGAATGGTGTTAGGAAAATAATATTAGTGTAAATCAGGAATATAATACTAATGTAAATTAAGAATATTAGTTAGGAATATAATATTAGTTAAATAATTATGCATGCTGCATATACTTAATTACTCTACTGTAGGACTGTTTCTTTTATGCTTTTTAAGTTACTCGTCAATTACATTTTCCAGCATGTTTTGTAATCCGTAGTTTTATACTATAATCTTAACAAGATATAGACCCAAACACGGTCGAGTAGATTGATGATATATATTGTTCATTAGATCGTGCTATAGTTTTATAAATTACAGAGGAGTAAAGGAAAAATACTGTGAGTCAATTTGACAGAAGTCATGAAAATTGGACTATTATATGGTGGTAATTACCAGACATGGAAATATAGCATGAAATCCGTCTTAATGGAACGTGGACTTTGGGGATTTATAGCAGGAAATGAAGAAGTAGCAGCTGATACCGCTACTGCTTCAATACAAAACGCGTATCCCCTTAGATCAGACAAAATACACTCGCTTAAAGCTTTGAATGTGGAGAAAATATTTCAAGTGGATGTATCCACAACTACTGACCAAAAGCTGCTTGGGAAATTTGAAGAAACAATTCCAGTACGTATCCATTTCCCAAGTAGTTCGACTAACTCTAAGATTTTACAACTTAACGATGAAGGAAGGACAAACATTTTAGAGCACTTAACGTATTATGACCATTTTATTTCAAGCTTAAATGTAAATATCGAAGAGTTAAAATGGGAAATTGTGAATGCAATTTTATTTGAAGAGCACTGGAAGAGAAACAACATATTAGCTAAGCAAAGTGAACTGTCTGACCAACACGAAGAATTATTTTCTAGAAGAGAGAATGGGACAGGCATTCGGAAGAGTAAATCACACAAGAATCGATATGGAGATAAGTCTCGTCAACAAAACCATCACATGCATAAAGAAATCAAATGCTAAAAAATGTGGGAAAATTGGTCATATTGTTCTGTATGCACCAGACATATCTAAGACTCTTTTATCAGTTCCAGCAATGACAACTAAAGGTTTTGTGTGAAAAAAAAGCTGTCATGTCACGAAAGAAGGGAAAACCAGAGAATGCTAATATTGTCTCCAGCAAAGGATCATTGGTAAAATGACATTGTCGATATGGTCATCTTAATCACAAATATATTAATCAATTAGTCACAAAGCAGATAGTTGATGTTATGAGTTATGTTTATAGTGAAAGAAGCCAACAATGTGAAGCATGTGCAAGAGCAAAGATGCACAAAGTGCATGTACCAAAAGTAAGTATATCAAGACCAATAATCCATTACAAGTTGTGCATAGTGACATTTGTGGACCAATGAATGTGAACTCGATTGGAGGAAGTAAATATGTATTGACCATCACAGATGATTACACTAAATATGTTACAGTGTATTACCTAAAGAATAAATCTGGCGCATTATCAAAATTTCAAGAATTTGTAAGCATGGCTGAGAACGCTGCTGGCTATAGAGTTCAAACGATCAGAACTGATAATGGAGGGGAATATGCAACTAATCAATTCAAACTGTTCTGAAAAAGGAAAGAAATTTTCCATTAGTACACTAACCCATACACTCCAGAAGAAAATGGTATTTCAGAGAAACTTAACAGAACACTAATTAAATCTTCTAAATCGATGTTTTTCTATGCAGAATTACCGCTGTACTTTTGGGCACAAGCAGTAAACACAGCGACCTATCTACATAATCGAAGTCTTACTACTTCCCTCCATGACAAGAGTCAATATGAGTGCTTGCACAAGAAAAACCTGACGTATTAAACTTGAAAGTGTCTGGATCAATTTGTTTCGTTCACTTTCCAAACAATATACGACAAAAACTCCATCCAAAACCATGAAAAGGAATCTTCGTAGGTCATCCATTCGAAACAAAAGGTTTCAAAGTCTACGATCTCGAAACGAAGCGTTTTATCCGAAGCAAGGATTCATTGTTTCATGAAAATACATTTTACAATTTTCAGCCGATTGTGAAGGAAAATGATGACGTATGGAAGCATGATATTGATAGATGATGAAATTGAGCCTACAATACCAGGCAAAAATGAGCCAGAAGAGTGTGCAGAGACGGCGGGAGCTATTTATCAAGGATCCACATACGAAGAAAACTTGATGAGGCAAGTAGAGAATATTGCTTCAACACGAAGAAGAGAACCTCCAAGGAGATTTAGGCGAGATGAGAGAAATGTTTCACAATCCTCGTATACAGATGACGAAGAAACAAGGTCCCTTAAAGAAACCATATTAGAAAAGAATGCTAGAAAATGGATGAAAGCTTTAGAGGAAGAATATGATTCGTTTATGAAGAATGACACATGGGACCTCGTTCCTCCACCGGATATCGCGGGTGTTGTATGTTCAAAATGGTTATTCAAAGTTAAACGCGACGCAAATGGAGAAATTGTCGCCTAAAGATATTCACAAACTTTCGGCATAGATTATGAAGAAGTCTTTTCACCTGTCGCTCGTTACTCTATATCTGGATCATGATATATACATGTATCAAATTAAAATAAGTTTATATGGCTTGAAGCAATCGACCAGATGTTGGAATCAAACTTTAGATCGTTTTTGGGAATGGTTATCGTGAAAGTGGTGCTGACAATTGTCTTTATGTTTAATCAATGAAGCAATGTAAAGGTGAAATTAAGTTTGTAATTCTAGCTGTGTATGTAGACGACATCATTCCTGTATCTAACAATCTAGACATGCTCGAAAACGAGAAAAAATGCAGCAGAAAGAATTTCAAATAGTCGATCAAGGGGAACTACATTTCGTGGTGGATAGGTCCGTTAGGAGGGATCGATCACGAAAATGTTGTCCAACAATCAAGAAATGTACTAGACCGTTGCAAATGTACTAGACCGTTTTGGAATGAAAGAATGCAACCCCATAGCAACACCCCTAGAAACGGGAAAACTTTTCATAAACGTACAAAAGAAGATGCACCCTGTACAAGGAATTATATCAACAAGCGATTGGTTATCTAACCTATGTCTCGACGGCTACACGACTAGATATTGCAGCAGCTGTGGGAATAATCTCATATACAATATATATATAAATATATATGCTACGATATAGAGATCAACGATGTACATAGATGAATGGAAGGAATTCACTGTTTTCAAGTATGACATCATGTTAGCTGCATACAGGCTAGCTTCAATTTGTTTTAATTTTGCTATTACTAATAAAAGCAAATAATTTAACGTGAAACGTGTATGCGTTAAACATAACAATTGGCTAATACTTACAAACAAAAACTGGAAAACAGTTTTCAAATGTAGAAAAGTCAAAGCCTAACTATCCAATTGTCGTTTATAATGGGTGTAAATTGACAAAAACCTTTAATTTCCGTGAATAAATTACCATGTAACAATACACTTATTTTCGCTATAATTGTTAATTTAGCTACCTTGAAGTCGAATCCAAGCAAGTCAATAGGAATGGTGTATTTCCGCGCGTAATTTTGCTTCGCTCCAGTTAAGAATGCCTGCAACAAATACCAATGGGATGAATGAAATACTGAAAACACTTACGGAATTTAAGTAGATTTAAATAATTTCCTTCACAGTGTTTGTGCACATGGCTATATAAAAATCTGTGCTTCCATTTCCAGTTCAATGAAAAATTTTCTTTTAAAAAGTACAACAAAAAAAATAACACAAACCTGTGTGAAGTAAAATCCAGATATCCAAAAGACAGCAGGCTTTCCATTGTCATACCATTCCTTCAAAACACGAAGACAACCTTTTCGTTAATTTTCATGACGTAAACACAATATTTAGTGATTACCTATTTCATGAATATGACAACAGGACTAACCTGTAAAAATTTCAAACGATTCAGCAGGTCCGTAACATAGCCTCCCAACGGTTTTAAACTAGGATATGATCTTTTCATCCACATAGCAGGAACCTGAGTCAAGATTAAAAAAACAAGTTAAAAAGTAGAATATCACATTGACACAAACGTTCCAGTCCTACATTTGCAAGTTATGGCATTATCATCTAGTCAGCAAAAGTTGAAGCTATAAACTGGGAGACCTCTTTAAATGACAAAACTTAGGCTAAACCCTGCATTTAACAACAAGCTTCTCTTGATGCTGGTTCAAAAGAGCAACGAAACTTACTAAAGTATGTTAAAAAAGAATCCAAAACTCGAAGCAGACGGCAAAAACATCATTTGTTTACTTCGTGTTTTAATACGGGACCTAAATTTGCCTCGCCCAATTCACGCATCGCCTAAAATCGTCATACAAAAGTTTCTCATCTTTTGTTACATAATTTTTATGAGACTTTAAACAAAAAAATGACACATGGATTTGAGAAGGAAAATTTGAAAATGTATTTATCACAGAGAATATTATTGAAATAAAACCTTAGCAATACATCTTCTCAAGTGAAAAACAAACATTGGTGGTAGTAAGCTCACTTAGCTATTTGTTCATGTAATTTTTCCATGGTTACTCATTGCAAAAATAATTATTTTCTAAAGACATAAAATGACGATAATGCTCAAAGAAATACAATTGCAGGTTGTCTAAGCTGTATTGACAATGACATCTTTATAGATTACAAACCTTGCCCACAAGAAGACTTGATGAAAGTTCTTCTAAAGCAGCGGACATGACCACTAAACCTTTGATAGCTTTTTGAAGGTTTGTGAGACTTGTACGAATAACTTGAATGAGACTATATAATGATATTTTCATACTTAAAAGAGCAACATGTTCGCATACGTATTATACTAAACTGCAATTACATAATATTAGATGAAATGTGATCTTATTCTCTAATATTCGACACATCAAGGAAAAAAATGCACATCAATATTTTCACTTGTCACACATTTGTAAATGTAGATAGTCCAGGTTAGTAGAGTCCTGAGAAGGACTTTTGGTGTTGATGTTGACTGTCGTTTCGACAACCTTAGCGGTAGTCATCTTTATAGTGAAATGTCGCTCTTATTCTGAAGATGAGTGTCGCTAAGGTTGTCGAAAGAAAAGCCAATGTACCTAATGCTTGACTAAAGCTTGGTCTATATCAATCTACCTTTTCACCAAAGACAAACATTTCATAGATATAAAACAAGTTACTTGTTGAATCGTTCCATTTCTTGCACTAAAACGGTGTTCATGCTTTCTTCGTATTTAACAGGATATTTCAACAACGCTGCCTCAAGATCAAAGTTCTTTGGTAACTAAAAATATGAAGAGAAAATGATAAGACATATTAAGGATTGTGAAGCAAAACATCCAACAGCAGAGCTTTATGACCATATAAAAGCATATAAAAGCACCAGCATAGCTAACAAAAACCAATGATTTATTTATTTGGCAATTTGTTATTATTAATGTGTGGTATAAGTATGAGTATTGTGTGAGATACAGAAAAACTGTGGTCATTCATTCTTCAGAGAAACCGGAATATTACAAATAATTTTGCTAATCGAGTAAAGTCAAACATTTTTCAGCAGACAAACTTCGAAAGACGAATATTTCACGAACATATTTCAAAAGTGATGGAAGCATACAAGCCATAAATATCACAATCCTCCAACTCGTAATCAATATTTTTAGTTCTCTATTAAAGCTCTTCTAATCCATGCATAATCTGGCAAATACTTAAATACATAAACGAAGTAGACTTAGTAAGAGAAAAAGAGTTCCTTCCAATTTTGTGGCGATAGTAGAGTGACAATCAATAATTTACCTTGCTTAAAATATCTTTTGCAATTTCCAGGAGAGCATCGTCGCCTTTCTTTCCGCCTCCACCAGATGATTGTTGTGATTGAGTCAACAAAACTGAGTTGAATAACTGTCTTGTTTCTTGAAGTTCTTTCGATATATCAACATTGTCATGCATTCCAAATATTTCTGGAGTCTGATTAGCAGGAAGCTCCTAAAAATAACAGGAGTTACATGGTAATATTGAACAGTATGTATTAAGACACAGAACTTTTTTACCCCACACCTCTGCACTGGGATTGACAATGTTAAACAACTTCAAATGATACTAATAAGAAAACGAATAATTACTTTGATAAATTCCACGTAACTTTCGTAAGTTCCTTTTGGTGGAGCGAAATATTTGCCGCTTTGTGAAAATTTGTACTTGTTGTCTTGGACGATTTCCGGTGTGAAGAAATCGGCCAAAATGCTCATTAAACAACGTCTAAAAATATATAACGGCATATCATGTACGGCTGAATCAATTATTATTAACTTGATGCGAGAATTTTCGTTTAATCGTCTTGTGCGTCGTTTCAAAGAGGCTCAATGAGACGCTCACCATTTACTCATGTTATACATTGATAACTTGCAAAGCAATCCTCTTTAAAAGTATTTACCGTATATATAATATATCCTGCACTAAATGAAGGAGTTTATTCCAAAGCCATCATCAGAGAATATACTTAATATTATTCCTAACACGGTTTTTATATGCACATTACTACAACTTTCGACTTTACATTCCTACTTTGAAATAAAGTCGAAACACGGTGCCATCCAGAAAACTGCTATCGTGGCGAAAATCTCTCTTTTATATGCACATGTTTTTCATGTGCATAGAAAAACCGTGTTAGGAATAATAATAAGTAAATAAAGGAGTCATTCACCATTAATATACGATGAAAGCAAAGAAATCACATGACACATATACATTGAGCGAACAAAGCATGTTACTTTGTTAGCTCCTTCTTTTATAAAACAAAAGTTCAATGTCAAAAACTTAGGGATTTCTATCTATGGTCAAGCTAGGGGATAGGCCTAAATTGACGTAGATTGTGTTGAACGAAAAAAGTGCATACCATCTTAAAATATGATTTCATACATAAGTACAATACTTGTTCATTCAGCTAATTAATCAACGCGAACCTTATTTTTGTGTAGTAAATAGCTACTGTACCTGTCATTGTCGTCTGTTACTCGACCACCATAGTTACATTCTCCAGTTAAATACGTCACAGCTTTGTAAGGAACTTGTTCGTATTCGTTGATAAACATCTGGAAAAATCAACCACAAGATATATTAAATACTGCTTTGCCTATCAACGTAAATTATACGAAAAAGGAATTTTTACCGTTTCGACACAAGCACGATTGACAAACTAATCAATCTGATATATTTATTAACCTGCTAATTTTTTTTTAGCAGTTATTGTTGCGAATTGGCAACTGCATGCACTGCAAAAAGTCCTGAGTAACTGTGGTGTTGCTGAAAATTACGAGTTGACGTTTTCAGTTTTTATTGCTTTACTCATACTAACGAGTGAGATGTTTTTAGTATAAAATTACATCCACTCAAAATGAGAAAATCTTACTCCCACACGTTTTACGCAAGATGCTCAATCAACTCAAATCTTGAGTAAAAAAAATTACTCATCTTTTTTTAGGATAATGTAATATTTTACTCATCTGTTGAGTAAAAATGTTTTTAATCTAATTCCTTAACAATCAATAGTTTACGTGTACTTATTATCAAGAGTTGACGAAAACTCACAATTTCAGGTAACTTATCATGCAGAAAAGATTTCAAACAAAAATAATCAAGATGCCAGTGATTGTCAGTTGTTGAATGCAGATGGTGGGAATTTTAGCTTTCAATAATGTTATAAAAAGCCCATCAATTTCCAATGCTTTTTTGATTTTTTGTAACAATCATCCAACACGAATTGAGCGTGCGTATCTTTAAGTGTACACTGCTTTAAAACTGCAAGCATTTCTAAGTGGTTGATATGATGTTGACTCTCGTCCAGTGTCCTCAAGTTTCAATGTTGTTTATGACACACCCCCAACACACAAAAAGATGTATCTGGACATAAGTAGATGTGGTTATCTTCTATAGATCGGATTGGTAGACATTTCTAAATTGTATATTTACTTTTGCTCTAGAGAATAACTGCATGGAGGTGTCAATTATGATTTCCTTTATGGTTCCCTTTAACATGTTTTAGGGCTTGAGCTTTCTCACCCTTTGTAATGGAAAGTACAAATTAAAAATAACAAAACCAATGACCTGGGAAACCTCTCTGATAGAAGATATTGTACAAGCGAGTATGTGCTTTATAAATGATTAACAGGTCATTTTAAAAGCTATTTTACCTGAAGTTGACGAACACTTATTCTCAAATCGGATTCATTGAAGCCATAAGAAATGTTCCAACCCAAAGGTCCAAATTTTCTTCTTTCTTGAATGTGAGCATGAAAAAAACAAAGTCCGAATAGAAGTTTTTCAAATACCTAAAATGCAAAGAAAACATGGAGATATTAAACCTTAACTAATCAGGTGATTTTGCACTTCCTAGAAGCATCGAGGAAAGAAAATGACGAGGTAAAACTTTCAATGAATCTTTCAAGTACATAATCAATAAAAGTAACTTTACAAGTTCAGTTTGTTGCTATTTTTATTTCCTGGCAATAACACGCTATAGCTACAATGCTCTGTTGTTACGATAATTTAAGGCAGATTGCAGGAAAGGGTTTCCTCTGATACAATCAATAACTTAAGGACCTGTTTATATGGAAGCCGAGCTGGCCCGCTTAACGAGATCTCCCTACGTAGTAGTCTAGAAGATATTATATTAAAAATCTCTTTGCGTTTATACGGCGATACGGGCTGGCGCGCTTAGTGAGATCTCACTTGGTACAGGCGAGATCTGCCGGGATGAAATTTTGGTCATGTACACACTCAACTGCCGAGATAGCTAAATTTTAACTATTTTAGAATGCGCATGATAACATAATAAAATGGCGGAATATGTGCACGTGCAAAAGAAAGCAAAATAGACTCGAGAATGGTTCAAAGAAAGAACTTTCGTTGCGATACATAGATGATGGAGCATTTGATTGATAATCTGTCTGATTATAAGTAAAAGATGCTTTATAAAAGGCTTGATTTCGACAGCGATGAATATATCTCGTAAACTCGATGATATATTTCTCCATTAACAAAGATATATGACAAAATCGGTTTGATAAAATAACTAAGTAAGATTCTTGATGAGAAAAGTTTTATCATGTACATACTCCTTGTTTTCCAGAACATCCATTAAAGAAACTTTCGTCAGATATAGGATCGGAAATGTAGGACTGAAGTAAATTCTGTCGCAGTCCAGTTGGTGGCTCATTCGTCATCTTTACGCTGTTTTGTAACACCGTCACTGGAAACTATACGAAATAAAATAATTGTCAAATTGCATAAAGTATTTCCACGAATCGTTGAATAAGCGATGGAGTGTTCTTGGTTTACATCTTCACACTAAAACCATATTACATATAAATAAATTGTAAGAAATCATTAAAATATTTTATAAAACATTTGAAATTATATTCACTGCTCTAGTGAATCATAACTGGAAGCGGTTGCACAATAGTCGAATAGCGCTATCGACCAGATAGAAATAATTTTTAACGCTTCAAAAGTCTGTCTATTTGAACGATTCAAAAATCCACTATTTGAAATAGACCCTCAATGAAATACAGTATCGGTTCTAGAATTTAATTTCCTTATATCGCAAAGAAAATATAACCACGTTATTCACAAGTTTAAAAATGTATCATTCAATGGATAACGCTGTCCATACTTCCAAAAACCGGCCCATGAAGAATACAATACAAGTCAAAACAGTGGCGCTGACAGAACGATAATTGTGAGGCAGGCTAATACTCATATACGTATGATATGTCGTATTAAATTCCCTTAAAATCTAATGTTTTCAGCGGATCATAGGATGCATTTATGAATATTTGCCCCAACCCCCTACAATGATCGCACTGGGGGCGCTACTGAAGTAGAAATAAAGAGATCTCTACCTTATCTGACGGATAACTGGTTAACCAAAGTCTAAAGTCATTATGAGTGCCGTCAGGTGTTAGGTTCTCACAGATACGTTCTAGAGATGACATCCACGATACTGCAAGATGACAGTTTTGTAGGGCAACCCAACTTCCATCTTGACAAGCGTCAGAAATCATTTTTGCAGCTATCGGACCCTTGTATAAAATGAAATTTCCAACACTTTAGAACATAAAACTAAACTAATAAATAAACATGTAAAAATAAACATACATGTAAAAATAAACATACGACGCCATCTCAATATTATATGTCGATGTATCTGGAAGAGCGTACACCTCAATACTTAATTGTGCAACTGAAATGTGTTGGAGCAACAAAACTGAACATGCAAACTTATTTTTCTTCACTGTTTTTTGCACATTTACTTTTTCATTGCATACTTTCGAGTCAATGAACTCAAAACAACTGTAAATACTCTAAGAGATTTGCAGGTTGAGTACATGTTAAACACCACAGTTGCACGTTGTGCTGAAAAACACACTTCAAATTTACAAAATTCTACAGATATTTTCAACGCTTATCAAAAATGGGTCATATTTATCGGTCTATTGGTGTCAGTTTTGTTGCTCCTAGCTCACACACGTCTGTTTTGCTTTGGGATAAGAAAGGAGCGGATTAAGTAAATTGTAAATTATTTATCGATGTGGACTTCAATTAATACCAGCTCCTAACATCTTCGTGTTTCTAACATAAATAGACAACAAAGCTAAAGTAACCTAGGGTTCAGACTGAAATTTATTCAATTCTAGAATGACATAGTGGTAGCTAAAATAACGCAGCTTATTCTAAGGGATGGAATTCGGGACGACTCGTGCAAATGTACCTCTCATGTGACGAGTCGTGCAAGTGTGCATCTCACGTGATGACTCGTGCAAATGTACGTCTCCCGTGATAACTCGTGCAAATGTACGTCTCACGTGATAACTCGTGCAAATGTACATCTCACGTGACGACTCATGTAAATGTACATCTCACGTCACTTGACGATTAGTAATAAGAATTTGGCATACAGTATATATATATGTTGTTGCAAATTATTTTTACCAAACCCAATCTTAACAAAGTCATAAGCTCTTTACAATACAAGTATAGTCATAATCATAGTTCTTTAATATGAGTATACAACAATTGTTCTTTAATATGAGTAAGCAAATATAATATACCTGTCCTTGTCCAAGTGATATCGCATTGAATTTATTACCAGTAAAGCCTTTATCAGCAGCAAATTTCAAAAGATCTACAGAAATTGATAATCAAATTCAAATCGAAATGATTGAAATCCAATTATTCTGAACTAGAAATTGTCGAAGGAGTGCCTTTACCCACGTCATAAAATCTGCTTATAAATTCATGCAAATTAAATGACTCATTTTCAATGGCAAAAATCTCCAACACTATAGACCGTATTTTGACGTCAACCAAAACTGTGCAATTTGTATTTTCAATTTTTTGATGCCAAAATACTTTTGGCTTCTTCTTGGCCTATCTTGAGTTGCATAAAACGAGATTTTTGATAAATAAGACCATAGATAGTAAGTACAAGTATGTTTACATGAGTGCATATTTGTGTGTTGCATCATACAATCAAAAATTTCCACAAGCAATGTAACTGTTGCTTGTAATACTATTCTGCAAAGTGTTGTGAGTGATAATGTGGACGAAGTCGATGAGTCGAGATTTTTTAACAATGCAGTAAGACAATAGTTTTTACAATAGGAAAAGACGCCACAAAAAATGGTAAAACAATTATGAAACCATCGTCCGGTGCAAAAATAGACATTGGTCACAATGATTTGCCATGAAATAACAGTTTTCACAACCAAAAAACAGACCAAGACATTGAAAATTGAAATTCTTTCAAAGAAAGCTGAGCCGACACTCGGTGACACTAATGAAAGATGGCAATGGCGAAACATTCTTTGCTGCAAGGGGGGGGGGTGGCAATTTTTGAATAATGAAAACACCTTTACAAAAATAATACATACACCATTTCAAAAATAATACTGTTGTTATCTTTTATAGCCAACCATTCATTTGGTATCTAAAAACAGCCCTAACGTACTACAGCTTTGATCAAAGGAGAAGGACTTAAATTGAAGGGCTCAGTTAAACAGCCAATAAACAGCGTCTTTTAAAACTGTTTGAAAATGTTTATCGAAGCAGGAACGCTAGAACTTTGCTAATTAGGGGGGGGGGGCATGTTTGCATAATTGTGGTTACGTATGTTCAGGAAAAAAATTTGACTTTAAAAGAGAGTAAACAGGCAAAACACGAATATATGATGTCCCGTCAGGCAATTTTGCACCCGGTGTCTTCTTGTAAACAAGAACCTTTCTGGACACAAGGGCATCATTTACCACAAAGATAAAATGTGGAATAGGGAATCTCATAATATTTGATAAAGTTTAGACGCGAGATCTTTTAAATTCTAATACAACTTTAACCCCAAATTTAATGTTTGAATTATTCACCAACTAGAAAGCAATATAAAATCCCCCTTTCTGATATATGTATTTATAAAATGTCAATTAAACCCTTTGAATTATAAGCGAATTTGAGATTATTTTATTGTGGTAAAACGTTTTGCAGATATTTGAGACCCATGCAGATAAACAGGCAATTTTAATATATATTTTTAATATATAAAAATTTTAATATATAAAAAGATTAACAAAAGAATTTTCCGCAACATAGCAACTCATCCCGTTTCCAAAACTTAATGAAATAAAATATAGAGTACTTTGATCAGATGTAGGCTTTCATATAATACTACAACTGACAATTTTAAAAACATCTTAACATACATTAGAGCATTTCAACTTCTTGTACAAAAGACCACGCACGTATTAAACAGGGCAGAATTAAACTTGCGCATTAACTTGATAAGAAATTTGAAGTCCAGATCGAGAGATGAAGACGTAATTTACAATCTTTAACACAAAACTATAAGTTGTTAAACGAATGAAATATTTTACTCACTTGCCATGGGATCTGCGCCAGGAGATAGAACAAATATGAGAGGAATACACTCGTTGGAATCTTTATAACTTTTTGTCAAGTCAAATGGTGGTGGTTGAACAAATTTACTGCCCAACTTGTCCTCAACGAAATTTGTAACCAAAGGAACGACCTCAAGTAAGTTAATAAAAAGTTTTGTCACATAAATTTTCGAAGCATATTGTTTATAATTATGGTGTTATGTATCTTGTGTTAAGCCTCGGTCACACTGCATCCGATAACGATCCGATAACGATGAAAAAAAAATCGCTCGTTATTCAAACTTTTGTGTGCGGTCACATACTAACGATAACGATAACGACTTATCGTTAGTATGTGAGCATTGAATCTCGTTATAGTTTATCATATCGTTGATCGTTATCGTCCATCAGTGTGACCGAGGCTTTACGTATCGCTGAATGTTAAGCAAGGATGAATAACATGTTTGTAAATGTAGATCGTCCAGGTTGGTATAGTCTTGAGAAGGACTGTTTTTGTTGTTGTTGAATAACAATGATGAATAACAAGGATGAATAACAATTATGAAAAATAGCCATACTATATTTTACATTAATGTGTGAAGGAAAGTCACGACAAACGAAAAGTAAATGTATGCTGCAAAGGGAAAAATTGAGTTTTGTTTTCCAAGAGTCTCAAACAGATTCAAGAGAAAACAAAACTCTCTATTTCCCGAGGGAGCGTATATTGAGTGATTTGCTATGTAAGAGAGATCATAGATTTCTACAGCTCTTCAATAAAAATTTTTGGGAGAGATTCGGGCGGCAAAATTTTGCAGCCGTTAAGGGTGACCACACTATATTTTTGGTTGACTTCCAAGTGGTTTTTTGTCTGTCTATTAGCAATTAAATTTCGTCGCTCAATAAGCTCAAGAAATGTTGTTTTAGTTTTTGGCTCCATAACTGTTTTATTTGTTATGATATTAAAATAAGCGGAAAACAATTTCCACAAGTTTTTCTGGCGGGAAACATTGCACTCATTTCAAGTCATGTGACTACGAATGAACCAATAAAGTTTAAAAAAACCATTAATGAAACTGTAGTAAAAATGATAGAAAACTATTTTTAAATAAAGGCGATAGTTTTATTTTCGGCAAAAGTGCAACACAACTACTAAAGTAACGTAAAATTGAATTCACACTTAACGAACACACATATCTAGCTACATATAAATATATGTTGACACTTTAAAGTCTCCCAGAGCTCACCTTATCAGGTCGAAGACAACGCAAAACAATCATTTTTTGAAAGTCGGTTAGTTTCTCCGAACTTGGAGGTGGAAATGCCGCTTTATGAGGTTCCTTACTGTCGTAGATTTTTCGCCATTCATGAATGTTAGATGCGAACGTGTTCCTGAGAAAAGAGAGCGCATCTTTTATATGAAAAATCACTCAGAAATAGTTACTTCAACGAAACGACACAATTACGCATGAACTGTAAAGATTAAAACTTGTGGAGGAAAAAGAAATATGGAAAAACTTTTCCTATGCTACAGTGATGCACGAAGTAGAAAACATGACTGAACAAAACCATTGCTCAAGGAGGGAATTTAAAATAGACAAAAATTTACATAACAATAATGACAATAAATATATATAGCAGGGGTGGATCAGTGCTCATTTGATAGGACTGGTGTAGATTTTCCGAGAGAGTGCAACATTGTCCAAGCTTAAGGGGCCAGGACCTCGTGCTATTGTAGATTTATATGGTTAAAGATGATTGCTTTTTAGAATTTTTTAGAAAGTTAAGTAAATTATAAATTCTATATAGCGTTGCATAGCTGTAGAGTATTTCCTCAAATAATAAAAACACATCATAAATTATGAGTTCAAATATAGCCAACGACAAGCGAATCACGCGAATACAACAATTTCTTTCACACGTGACAAACAAGGGACAAAAAATTAAACGAAGTGGACATGACAAAGTAGCAGGCTACTTTGCGCTTTCTAATTTATTTCAATTTAAATGTTTCGATGAAACTGCGCATGGTAGAAACTCAATTGCAAATGGTGGTAGTATAAAAACGTAATTGCCTTTGAAATGATTAGTTCCACTTTTTACTCAATTTTGCTGTACAATTTCTACGCTCCTAATACAATTTTTGCATTTTAATAGACTTTTCTTAAGGGAGGGTGCCTGAGAATTTATAGGGTTGAACCTCACAACACCCCCCCTCCATAAAATCCGCCCCAGATATATGGCTATATCAAAATATATAAATTTTGTTTATTAAAAATAAGGTATATTTTTAATAAACAAAAAAGAAATGTCACGTAAATAGACAATACGTTTATTGAACTTATGTAAATAACATAAAAAAGTTTATTCAAACAGGCACCGATTGAAATTCGGAGTTGTGGAGCTAGCTGCTTGACAAATTAAACAATAAAATGAATGAACTTAATTGGCTTGAGATAGCCTTTTTCTCTTTTGAGCGACTAGCAACACTGTTAGTAATCATGACCCTAAAATTGAACAATAATATTGATATTTCATGATCTTCTCATCTTCTTAATTCAATCCGTGATTGCTGTGAAAAACGCAAACAACTCAGTTATAAGTCTATACCTAAAATCTTCGAATCCATCAAGGTCACACATTCTGCAGATTTCGTCCCATGATTTATCAGATAGCCATGAAGGGTCAGGATTAGCCACCTGAAATATGGAAGTATAAGCAGAGTTTAAAACCAACTAAGGGCCTGCTCATATGAGCCCGGTTAGCGAGACATCCCACTGACTGAGCCAAATATTACCTCGCTTTCATACGAGAAATTCAATCCTGCTTACCAAGACGAAATAGCAAAACAACACTTTCCCAAATCCCGCAAGTTAAAAATTAACATAGCGCACCATAGACCGGAATTTTAGTATTTTATGGGTTTATGACGTTTACATACTGTGTTTTTATATTGAATACTAGTGTTATCTTCAAATATTAAATTAAACTTTAAATCATGCCATTAGTCTAGCGTATAATTCGTCTATTTTGTCTTAAATTCCGGCTCCATTCCATTGGTCGCCATGTTTTTAATATCATAATTTCATCTTGGTAAGCGGGCAGGCGAGTTCATATGGAAAATTTTTATCCCGCCTACCTATGATCTCGTTTCCTACAGCCGAGATCTCGTCAACAGGGCCAGCCCGCTTTCTCTTATGAACACGACGTAAATATTAATGGTATATGTATTGCAAAGCAAGATCATAGATAGGCGAGATGTCTCGCTAGCCGGGCTCATATGAACAGGCCTTAAGTTATCTCATTATGCTGCATGAGTATACTGGCGTTCGCTTTTCAGACGAAGTAAGATTTTGTCACTTTTTTACGATTTTTCTGAAGTAATATCAAGCAGAAGTTCACCAATTCATATGTAATCTTTCTTCACTCGTCCACACGTATAAAATTTGCTTTGAATTTTCATATGATAAAGAGATGGATGGCCAAAAGCTACTTTACTCAAATTTTTAGTTTTGATAAGAACAGTTAATTCGCAATTGCTCAGCTTTCAAATCGAAGATCATTATGTTTTTTGTTTTCAAAGGCCTTTTTTTAATGCATACAGACCACCTATATTTCCACCAAAGGCTTTTGCAAAGTTGACGAGGTTTTTCAAAACGCAAACCTTTTTTGATCCAGCAGGTGGAAATATATAAACATACCTTATTCTCCAATCCAATCCCACCGGTTAAGAAAAATAAGAACTCCTCCAATTTGAGATCATTTTTCGAGCTAAAAGATTAAGGTAGAAACCGTTGAATAATAGTAAAAAATCGTACCAATAGTCCATGCATGATTTTTCAATTGATCAACATATACTTACATCAAAATATTAGTGCATAATATGAACGAAAACAGCAATTTGTCCTTCTCAAAAAGTGACCGACATACGTTACAGTACAAGTTGTACGTAAAGTGATCTTTGAGGTAACGCAGTCGTCGTTCAAGGATCTTTGATTTGTTGCTATATAAACAGATACATGCATGCAAACATCAAGAATACTGGCCTACTCGATGCATCTATAAATTACTGGATTGCTCATGTTAAGCAGCAATAAATAGGCGTGTGTCGTAGTTATACTTTGCTTTAAAGTACGGGCGATAAATAAACCAAACTACAAAGTGACAATACAAAGTAGACTCAGCGACAAACCTGTCAATTATAGAATTAATAAAGAGATTAATGAACCAATTTAACGAGTATTGATACATTGGATCTATGTTGGGAAGATCTGTTATTGAAAAAAATAACACCGATGCGTGAAAGGCAATTGGACGGTATCCCAGTCTTGATTGGTTGATTTTTTCTTCTGTCTCGTCGGCAATCTATAAAAATGGGAACAGGGAATTCAAAGCGTATCTTTGGCTCCTCAGTCTGCTACTGAGTTTTCTGTTGGTTTCTACACGCTTTCAATATATTTGTTGGATAACGGCTTTACAATAGCATCTACGCAACAGCGATAGCAGAATATCCAAGTTCGAACAAACTGATTTTTAAAATAGCGTGGATGTTGTAAATTTCATGTGCTCTTCATTTCTGATGCAACAGATACAATATTTGAAATACATTCTTGCATGTATTTCTGAAGGCTGTGTATACTCTACATGTTGAGCTTAACAGTTCCTTTACCTACTAAATAAATACGTAAACATAAAGAGGAAAAAACTAATCTTTGTTATTACGTTGCACAAACCTTTTGCTTCTTGGAAATCTCGTTTGAAAGAACCTTCATGAAGAGAAAATAAGAATTAATTGAACATATAGCATAGCCTGCAAAGAAGTCAGGTGATATATGTAGAAGGTCAATCGTAGTTATAAGGTCCAATAATTATAAACTGAAAGGTTGTTATGTTGAAATATGCTTGAAGCTACATATGCCAAAAAAGCACAATTAAAACTTTGGTCAATTGTTATAAAATAAAAAAACACACACACAACATATCCAGCGTTAAAAAAGAAATGGAATTAGTTGGTACCGCTTTCTACTGTGGGTCACACATTATTGTTCACGTGTAAGGTGGGAAAACGTTGGACAAAAACATCAAAAAAACTTTAATTTTTAAGGTTTTCTTCAGTTCTATAAGTTTTTAAATCTAGGTCCTCTTAACTATCTGTTCATTATCATAGCTGTAATAGTAACTAGAGTGTTAAGTTTAGGGTGTAGAGAAATATGGTTCGAAATTTTTTTCTAATCACTTTTGAAAAAGTTACAGTGATTAATTTAAAAATAGCTATTACGTTATGCTTAACTCTTAAAATGAAAACATGTGAATTTTTCATGCGACGCGTTGTTCATGTTTACATGACTCAAGGACCTAAAGGTCTTTATTATTGCAGAAACCTGATAAAGATTGGAAATTGAATGGATTTTAATGCCTTTGATATCTCACGAAAAATGTAAGGCCATTCTTTAATCAGGACAACATAGATAATTAATCTGGTGAATCAACAGTTCATGGTATAACAGCCGTATTTCAACAATCATGACGGAATTGATAGATTTGTACAGCCATCACAAAATCAATGAAAATCCTACCTTGGAAGAATCGAGAATCTGAATGGCAGATTCATCTTCTAAAATATTTCCCTGTGAAGATGATAACGTTTCCAATATTTTATCTTCGATTTCTTTCAATTGCTTCTTATTTGCTGCACTTTGTAAAATAAGACCCTGACGCTCTTCTTCAAGTTCTGGTCTAAAAAATAAAGAAAATTATGTGGTTATTGAACATCCAAGCGTTGACAAGGAATTAGGTTCTTACTTGTACAAAGAATGTTAACTGCTATATATTAATACCATAGATACCTTTCTTTTGCAACAACGATTCCAAGAAGTTGATCTTCCAAGCCTTCACGAGTAATCATAAAGTTTAAAAGTGTCACCTGTAGAAAAAAGCAAATTCACATTACCATCAGCATAACAAAACAGCAAAAAAACAACTGAAAAGAGTTCGGAACATGTCATCTAGGAAAATCTTTAATTAGGGAAAGAAGTCATTTTTGCAAGTTAGACACTACAACGTACAAATCTTTGAGACAAAAAGCTTGCAGCTGGGATAGTGATATCCTCGCTTTTTCTATAGTTACGCTAATCGAAACTTGTCTCATGTCATTTTGTTGAATGCCAAAAACTTCTTACTTTGGTGGACAGCTCGGGTAGATAATGAGGATTTCGCAGCTTCGTGGTAATGTAGAATCTGAAATCACTGGAATATTCGATCACTGTTTCTCCAAGGCGAATACACATAACTCCGCCTACAAAAGAGATGAGTGACGCAATAGCAAAAAATATGACGCAAAAATAATCAAGTATATGTATACATGTAGCTAGGAGAGTGAATAAAAAGGATGTAAAGTATATAGATATGGTTTTTCACATCAATTCTCATTTGTCTTATTGTAACATGACAAACACATTTCGCGATCTCGAAGTCACGTATATAGCATATAAGTTCAGTAACTATTTTCCTGAGTGAAAACAGAGTAATAAAACATAGTAATAGGGGAAAAAATATTTGAAATTTTTCGCTGGATGCTTTTCTAATTCATGGATCAAGGGAGTTTGAATAGATATTGCACACTTGTCGAAGTTAGGTTCTTATGGATATACCGATTTCATTTCTTTCATACCTTGTTTAAAAGTCTGTTTTAGCAGTAGTGGCTCCAAAGAAGGATCCAATTCTTCGCCGACATTTTCCAATAGAACAGGAGTTCCAAACTGAATACTGTTTTCTAAGGTTCTTATATAGTCCGCGTCAGTCAGCTTAATAACCTAGCAATGACGAAAACTTTTACTATTGCGTGTATTTGTACGCATACAGCTAACGAAAAATAAAAGGGCAATTATATTATCAAGATATGAATATTTAAAGTAGCCACTACAAGAGGCAAGCAAACCTTGAAAATCGATCTGTTTATATAATATATAGCTACGTAGTTTGACAAAATATGAGAAAGAGGAGTGAGGTATAAATTTGGAACAATGGTGAATTAATGCACTTTCTTCTTTGATATACGTATATTCAAAAGCGACATTTGTCCAATTTTGTAATTGTGACATTAACCGGCTATATTACTAATCCCAATGTATTTTCAACTTAAATATAATTTTATGTACAAATAGCCAGTAAAGATGATGTTTAAGTGTTATAAAATTGCATACAGTGTTGAGGATAATATTGATTGGTGACTTACAGAAAGACGTTTGTCCTTTTCCGAATTCTTCACCCATTTATTTGCTTGACCTTGAGGGTCAATCATAAGAGGCCTAAAAAGGAGGGAAAGGCATCTTTACCTGCATAAAATACGCAGTGCATTTAATGAACACGAGAACTTTTTACTCGGGCTATCAAAGGTTATCCGACTTAAAAATTCGGATTTTGGTGTACTGTCGCAAGGTTAAATAAACCTCACATGACTACACGAAGTTCCTAAAAATCAAAATCTTTCTTGGATTGTTTCACGCGTGAGTGTCAATAATGACAAGTATAATGAAACAAGAATTCTTTACATAGTACAGTGATTTAGCAAACACGATGTTTCGTCTAAGACATCGTAAAAATGGCGTGGCATGCGCCTTTTACTTCTGGTTCAATCTACAACTTAATAGGGACCTTTAGCAAGAGTACGACTACGACAACGAGTACGAAGTTTTACGGTGTAAAAGAATGGCACCAGTGAACTCGACATTTGAATAACTGGAATGATAACCGAAGCCAAAAAAAACATTTGTCGTCATCATTCGTCATTACACGTCAGGCTCTAGTCTCTCGCGTGTTCATTTTAATTTTTTTAATCATTTGTCGCTTGGTAATGGTAGAGTTCGGATCTTGATCAGAGCGTAAAAATTAACGAAATTTTTGGAATGAAAAGGTTCACGGAAAGTGAATCAAAGTGATAAATCGAAAAGCAAGGTCAGGTGAACTTAGCCGATCTGCTATTACGCTGCGGTTTTCCTTTAAAATATATCAAAGTCTTTAAGGATATTCAATTATTGATATCGAGATGACAACCATTTAGTACTTGAAACACTATCAAAATCGATGAAAATGACAATCGCTTTGTAAAAAGTAAAAATGCGAGTTATAGACTCAATATTTTTTATGAAACTGGATATTCAAGTTTCTTTTTTTTCGGAAAAACAGATCTTTAAATCCACTTAAAAGACAAAAAAGACAAACACTGTCTGACACCGTTTGAAAATTTAACCTTCCGATGTAAGAAAAATTTTTGCTTGAATATTTTCTCGTCATATTTTCTTATTGTGTTGTCTTTTTAGCATACAGTGTAATTTTCAGTTGGCTTTTCCTCGTTACAAGTTGTAAGTTACAACGAACTCACTGTAGTAAAGTTTCAGCTGTAAAAAATAACCTTTTGCGAGGAGTTGGCCTCGTGTGTTGTTTGTCGTGATGTTGTTTATATGTTTATGCTTTTGCAATTTGTATTCAAATTTATATTGGCCATGTATGTTTGGCACTCTGGGGAATGAAACTGACGTACAAACCGCGTGAATATTCGACTTTGAAGGACTGGAACTGACGTACAAACCGCGCAAGAGACTAGGACTTTGGCTTCAATTTTATATCTATAAAATGTATTGTCGTTATCATTCCAGATATATATATATATGGAGTTCACTGAATGGCACGAGGAAGTTAGTTGTCGTTGTCGCTTCGTTAAAATTTAGATTTAGCTATAAAAAACAGAGCGAGCCTTTTTATTGTGTAAAACACCGAAGTTTGCGAAGCAGCTACGGCTCTATTTGTCGATAATGATATCAACGAATCGGTAATACTGATTTTGCGAGAATATAGGACTCTTTAGACTGAAAAATCTTCACTGTTTTAAGTTTGATGTACGATATATTCGTACTATTTTATTGTTTGTTTACCTTTCACTTTGCGTACGAAATATATGAAAGTTTTGCAGGTCATATTTTCCTTTTTAATGTACATCTGCCCTCAAAAAAGGTTCTAAATTAAAGCCTGGATGCTAGAAAATAATACTGTAAACTAATTTCTTACAGAATGAAGAAATATACCTACTTTCTTTGCTTAAAATGACATCGTAGTCGTGACTACGAATTCTTTACAAAACATCGTACTCAGATTGATGATAGCTACGTTTTTGTTGTCGCAACAATGTTTTCGCGCCAAAATGACGTAAATCGTACTCGTAGTCTTTGCTAAAGCTCCCTGATGTCCTGTCGACAACGGCTGAAACAAACTCAATTTTTGGACAAAAATAAGTAATTATCCTTGATGTTTGCATCTTAAACAATTATAAAGGCCTACATAAAGGCATTTAAGTAAAAACTGCAAATGTTTTGTTTTCTGAAGCGTAAAAAAAAACAAATAAACAACGCGGGGTCTACTCTAATTTCAGGGGTTTCCTCGGAGTCAAAATAATTTTAGTCACAAAGCTGTATAGTATGTCGATGACTTTGCTTTTATTTATATATTTTTTTGAAATGAATATACTGCAGTATATTCTTAGTACCAAAAAATTAGTTTAAAGAAATAGAAAAAACGGGCCAGCAGGAAAATGCAGAATTGGATGAAACTAATTTCAAACAACACTTTGACGAAGTACTATAAAAGGTCTGCTAAATCGCAAATACTTTACGACGAGGTGACGTCCTAGACCCAGATCCCTCGAGAAAAATTGACGATGTCTTAGACGAAACGTCGTGTAATCACTCTACTATATTGCCATAGTGAGAGAGCATTGCCGTGAATTTCATTGCGCTATTTAGTAACATATATAAAAACGCTAATAACCAAATAGAGATCTCAACTAGCCCGAGTGAACGCCTGATAGGCGTATTGTTTAAAATAGTACGTATTTTACAAGCTCAAAAGACGATACATTGATAGAAGAAGCAAATACTAAGAAAATATATTATAAAGCAAAAATGATTTGACTTTACGAGCAGCGCTTTATAAAAAGTGTTATATGAAAAAACATGAGGGATACAAGATCATGGTTATTTTTTAAAGTGAAGGGACTGTTCATCTAAAAGCAAGGGTCTTTGTCAGCGATGACCTTAATACTAACAAGAGGTTTGAAAACTGGTTTTACATGAGAATGTCGGTTGACATAAGAGTTTTCATGCCTCAAATATATTTTGTTCCAAGATTCTGGTTGATAAGGAGAGATTATCTGAACCGATAGGATACCATAGATGTAAATAAATCAAGAATGTAAGATCTATCCATGGATAAGAAATAGTTTCAATTAAGATATATAGTCATAAAAAATAGTGTAAGTTTAGTAGGATTTCGACGTCCGCACACATTCGTTCGATGAAAAAACTGGAGTTGTATAAAAGATGCCCTATTTTTATAATTTTTTAAGTAATTTGTTGTTTGTTAAATCTTTGTTTATAAAATCTAAATTCAAAATTTTTTTTCACAAGTTGTGGTTTAGAAAAATTATTTCAAAAATAATTTGTCGTTCTCAAATCTGCTTTGTTGTACTAAAACGTTTGCAGTCAGTCTTATGACGTCAGTGCAGTTTCCATAAGCAAGCAGAAAAATTTAAATAATCATAAGTGTGTATAGCAGCGTTGAGCTCGCATTGCACGAGGGATTTATCACGAACTATTAAAAAAGTATTTATAAAAACATAGCAACTCACCATCGCCGTGCATTGTCAACAATAACACCATTATCAATGGAAAATGTGTCTGTAGGTAAACCTGCAATATTCCACGCGCGTATCTTTATTGGTTCACCTAAGGTTTTACTTAGTGAAAAGTCCGAGGAACAGGAAATTCCCTTTTCCTAAAGAGAGAGAAAGAAAGATAATGAAAATTGATGTGATCCTTGATGTATATAAAATCGCACAAATCAAGAATCTGTGACAACATGAAAGCGAAAAGCAACTCCAACACTAATTTCTTCAAGCATTTTGCTCATCAGACGTTTGGGTTTGTTTCAGACAAAAATATTTTACTTTACAAATATTGGACCACTCATCGGTGCATCTTTTCCTGAAGAGGGAAGTAAAGGCTCCAAGGTAAGCAATAACTCCAGACGATATGAGAACATCGCCTGTCAAATTATTATAAATGCGCTGCAACTCTGTTGCAGCTGATGACCATCTGTCTTTTTCACCACCAAGACCGCCAATCAATTTCTGGGCACGATCGAGTTTCTTTGAGCAAAGATCAACCTGCGGGAGACATTTCATAAACCGTAACATGAGTAGCTAAAATTCATGCATATATGCCTGCAATGATTAATTTCGTAATTCTAGAATATAAACCTATTGCCTAAATGCTTAGATGTGAAACCTGTACGAGATGTTATCATTATATACGGCCTTTGGACAAATTAAATGAGAAAACTGAAAAAAGTATGTTGCGCTTTCGAGCACACTACCTAATTTGTTACATAAAATTTTATATATCGCAAAATTCGCGCTGATAATATCACAGTTCTCAAGTAATTCTAGGTAATTAGTTCTCGGGACAAAATAATGCAGCGCACTCCGATGAAAAAACTTCTACAGACCATAAAAATTTTGAAAAGAAAAATTCTCTTTTTTTGCAGATCCAATTTTTTGCGATGTCTAAGATTGGAGATAAAAAAAAGATCGCATTGTTTTTGGTTCCGCAGATTGTTTGAAATGAATGTTTGATTTAAGAAATGAAAGATGTTTATACTGTGTTTGAACAGGCTTATGCAAACAGAGGACACCTTTGGGAGAAATTGAGAGCAGATTGGTGCAAACCCGTGAACAAAGGTCGAGAGTTTCAAACGTCTCCGAGGTTTGCATGGGCCATTGCAAACAAGAAAACATCTTCTAATTCTTTTGTAAAATAACAATCCACAATGATAATGCAAAACAGATAGATTTTAAAACAAACGTTGATTGAGCATACAGATCATTTTACACAGGCTAATAAAAATTAACTATCGAGCAATCAGCGTACGCGTTTTATTGCTCCCATATATTTAATATCAATCATCAATTTTATTTCTTTTTTACCAAGAAATGGTTAGGACGTGCTCAATATCTCCTGTCCCATATACTTAAAGAAAAACACTTAATGTTGCAAGACTGAAGCAAACATATTTTTCTTAATTTTAAAGAAAAGGAATGTAAAGCACACCTGAAACTCAAGGTGCTCTTTCTTTTCCGTCATCTCCTGAAATTGTTTTTTTAAGTTAGCCAATCTTTCCTCAACCTCAGCCAGCTCGCGACGTTTCGATTGCAAAATTCCCATCGTCTCCGACAGCGACGCTTCAGCCTCGGCTAGCTTAGCTTTTTTTGGAGCGACAACCTTGGCAACTCGATCGTATATTTCCATTGCACAAACCCACTTGCAAAGACCCTCGGCGGCCGAGGATGCTGAACGAACTTTTGTCGCATCAAACTCCGGATTACTGGTGTATTCCTTCCGGATTTTAGACATAACGTGAACCTTTCATGAAAAAAGAGAGTTGATTGATAAATGCAGTCAATTGTCAAATGAAGACAAAGAAACAGAAAAATCACGTTTCATTTCCACTTTCATTTGTAAACACTTACTAAACTTTGATTTGTAAAATTATATATGCAATTGGTACCGTTTTAGACAGTCGATACAAACTATTTACAGTTCCTTACTTATTTATCAGTAATATGTAGTTTTGCTTAGTTGAATGAAACTTATATCCATAATATTGCGTGGTATGACTCATTAACAAAACTTCTAATGTCTATTCTTGTAACGTAAAAATAGGTAGAGTATCTATAAAACCACTAACTTAGCTTCATAGATGGAAGGGAACATTGATATCAGAAAATTTAGAAATCTCAAGACAGCAAGAATGTGACTGTTTTAACTTTTTGAGCTTCATAAAAATCTATTACTTTCTACTGTCTGAGACAAATGAAGGTCACACTTTGAAAGATGAATATGTGAGAGTGAACTCGCTGAAGTGTTACATGAAGCTTCAGAGCTTCTATAAATTAGAACTTGTAGTCTTTGCAGGTATAAGAAGTTTTCTTCTCGTTGTTGCGGAAAAAAATTCTCGGCTTTTCTTTGCAGTTGAACAAAGAAAAGTTAAAGAAAGAAGGAAATAACACACGCTTTAAAGTGCTACAGCAGTGAATTTTTCGACCACTTTTTTATTTACTTGCTTTAAAGTAAACGCTTTACTAACACGTTAGCCGAAAACAGAATTACAATTTGTCACTTCTAACAGATTTTATAGCTTTGTAAAGATGCGATAGAACTAATAGTGATAAACGCCTTTGCAGACGTAGAAGTTGTGTTGCTGGCGGTCCAAAGTTAGAAAGTCCTACCAATACATAATTTATAGAAGGAATATCATTGTATCTTGTTCTTAAAAAAGAAAAAGATCCGAAACGGCGGACAAAGTGAGAAAATTTTGTCCGCAAACATCGACCAAATTTCCAAGCTACATCGTATCAATGCAATGTGATTACACAATGTTCAATAATCCATCATGAAAACTAGTCCACTTTGAATTCATTCAAGTATGGTGCAATATTACTGCATACTTTCATGTCAATTCCATTTATTTTGAGTTGCTCTGTGCTTGACATGAATGTGTTGTTTATTATGTCTGAAATTGGAAAATTTGTTTCTTGGTTTAGGCTAAAATTAAGTTGGAAGCAGTAATGCTATGGAACTTGAAGGTGGCAAAAGATCAATTTCCTAGTTTGTGATCACTCATTCCAATTTGTCCTTCAGAAGTGGGCCAATATCCAAGACTGTTGGGAATGTCATGGGTCCAAAATCATGTTCAGTGGTGCAATTGATGTGTTCAATGCTGCCATCAAAAGTCATCATTCCTATCACTGGTCCCATTTCTTTACAGCAACAATACTCCAATGCACCATTAAGTAACTCAATATGGTATCTTTGACAGGTGCACCTAAGAGTTTCATTAAAATATGAAAATCCTTTGTGTTGTTCTTTATTGTATTACACAGCTCATGTTGTTAAAACTAGAAATTTAGTAGATTACAAGAACTAATTACTGCATTATAAGCAATAAGCAAAGTTCAGTAAATTAGTTATTCATGATATGAATAATAATTGCATAAAGGTATTTTATTTTGACTGTTTACAGTGATATGTGTTACAGTACAAGGCCATGTACCCAATTATAAATACTTACTGCTAATTTAATCGTATTGATTCGTCATTTCTTTGCTTTAATGTCTGTTGCATTATTCCTTCCGCATCTGAATTTATTGCAACTGTATTTTCACCGGGGTCCCCATCTTGATGCGATAAACTATGCGATGTTATCGTTTATAAAGTAGCAACGAAGCGAAGTGCTATCGTTACGACGCTATCAGAAGCGTCGCTTGACGATGGACGATTATCGGACGCATTTCTGCTACTAGCGGACTCGTTTGATGACATTGCTTCGACGCTACTATTCTGTTCGATGTAGAGTTAGTTTTGTTTAAAAGTAATCGTTTTAAAAGCAAAAGAATTCAAGGAGAAAAGCGAGCGCGTTATTATAATAATATTAGCATATCGACCTTAATCATCGTTGTGACGTCACATGCATGGCGACAATAAAGTTCGCATGCAGCAACAAATTTTGGAGGCAAAATTAATCCACTTTTCGTGAACGTAAGATGGTCATTTTGATATCAAATTGCTTCTAAAGGGCTGAATATTTTATTAAGCAAATAAAAAGTGGTCGAAAAATTCGCTGCAGTAGCACTTTAAATAATCCTTAACTTACGGGGATATTATCTTTGTCGTACTCTTTCAACTGAGTCAAGAAATTCATGTCGCCCAAGATCTTTTTTGAAGGTCCCCAGTAGTCAAGTATCTTTCCTCCTGTACCCGAGGGATCGTTTATCTTGTCAGGTTTGACGTCCTTCATCACGCAAACTGCGGCCATGACAAGCTTCACACCAGCTGGAGGATTTTTCATCGACTTTACAATTGTTATATCTGACGGCTATAGAACCACAATAAATCATTTTTAATGAAAGCTATCATACCACTAATTGTAGTTGTAGCATATCATTCAAGTATTGGCTTACAGAAAAAATAAAAAGCTTCCTCCGTGTATTGACAACCATTGAGGAAAATGCTGAAAAATTTAAGATGATACCTTTAAAGTGTTGAGAGCAGCAAGGGCAGCTTCTAAAGCTGGCAAAGCTTCGGCCAGTTCACCCTCGCATTCATCCTTTAAAGCTTGAGCTTCAGCGGCTTGAGCATTGGCAACAGCCTCATCTTCACGAACAATCTTGCTCGCTGCTTCCACTTCTGCTGACTCCTTTTCAATAACCTAGAAATGTACAATGCAATACAATGTAAATAGCAATTTGTATGAAGTTTTAAGATAACGAAGTCTCTTGTATAAACACCGTACGGTTAACATCTTTTCATTTTCAGCAGCAGTTTGAACAAGTTGCGGTTGCAGTTCTTCAAGTTCTATCTGCATATCCGCTACCTGGAATAAGAATAAAGCATATAATCCCTGACTCATGTCTTGTCTGGGGACTAACGCAAGCATAAAAAATTGATAGAAAAAATCTGATTCTGTACCTTTAAAAACACATTAATACATCATGCTCAAAGTAAAAATCATTAAGAAACATTGTAAAGCAAGCCTTTCGTGAGGAGTTGAAATGCTATTTCATAAAACATAACCTGCATGTACAATTATTCTTAGATTGATAAAACAAAAGATGGAACCGATGATAAGAACCATCAAAAACTAAGTAACTCATAAAAAATTATTTCACATAATCGATTGATTTTTCTAACAAAAGTTATGGAAGAACACAAAATAGAAAAGCAGTTTTTCTTTTGTATGTATATGGTGATTATCTTGCAGAAGTAAATTATAGTATTGGGAAGTAATACATATTAATATGACGATACATAAAATTTACCTTAAGTGACGAAATAAAATCATCTGTTTGTACTGCCTCTAACAAACCTGAGTAGATGCAAAAAGCAGTTTTTCAAGACCCACTTCGTAACGCCTCTTCATTTTCATGACCTGGAAGGAACGAAAAAAATCGATAAATTCTTGAGACAAATTTACTGTTAATTAAACTGTAGACTCGACGGAAAGGAAATTCTGCCATTGTGCTTATTAAATATATTTTCTTCCAATATTTTTGTAGCTTCGATTTTCGAAAAAATATAACGGAAGTAGCTGAATACATTGCAACCATGCCAAATTGTTGGAGAAAGAATATGAGAAATGTAATATTCTAAAAAATAGGCGTTTACAAATGTCCTTGACGTAGAAATTCTTACCAATACGGTTGTACAAATAAAAATGATGTGCAATCAAAACTACCACTACATTTCTTACTTCATCTTGCTTTTTATTGAGCAATCCTTTAAATGATGAAATAAGTTCCAAGTAAGATGTAGGTGTAACATAATTATGGCGGCCAAGTTCTTCGAGATAACTGTAAAAACAGATGAAAGGAACAGTAAGTAATATCAAAATACAGCAACGCGGATCTACATCAAAGTCCACTAGTATACTGCACGTAGATTTTTGCAATGTACAGTAATATAAGATCCAATTGTAGCTAAGAGCACAGTTCTGTAGAATAATTTCTCTAGAATTTCTGTAATTGCATGCAAAGGGCTATTTAATCATTGTTTTGAAGTAGCCAATTTCTTTTTACCTTTCGGACAGATTCCTAGCGCTTGTATGAAAATATTTTACAAGGGGTATCACTTCAGTTCTTTCTTTACCGGTAAGATTAACGTCAGCAAGAAACTTCGTGGCAACCATCGCCAATGCATCTTCCGGCCACGGCTGCATTTACAGAGAATGAAAAGTATTAATGCAAACTATACGCATTTGTGCGTAGGGCAGGGGTGGGTGAGATGCAGAGTAAATAACCCGAAAATATTTATACAAAATGTACTTTTCCTTCGATTTCCAAAGCAAAACGATTTACGAGGGCATGTTAAAATATGGGTGAGCATTCAATGAGAAAATATTTTGTGTTTGATGAAGTTGCCGAAACGGGAAATTCAAGTAACTTGCTCAATTTCCTGTTTCTATTTTCGAATCACAAATGATTACCGTGGCACTTAGATGCTAAACATTACTTTCGAAATCAGGCAACTGGATACGAGGTCATTTTGATAGGGGTATTCGATGCTAGTACGTACATAGCAACAAACACAAAGTGTGGGTAAATCATACCTGAAACCAATCAATGGTACAACAGTTTATAAGAGACGGAAACTGTCTCAGTCTGTTTCGAAACGCGTCGCCAATTGGGCTCATGCAAAGCATAATATGAAGTTTTTGACGACAGCAGCTGACAAAGAAGTTAAACAGAGACAACGGAGAGAATTCAGCATTTTTGTCAGAAGCCTGGGCTTGAGCAATCGGTCGCACCATCTATAAACAATGTTATTTTGACAAAATGAATTAGGTGTTCATTTAAATGACTAAACATTTAGTGATAAAATATTCTGCTTGTTTATGTTTTCGCAAATAGCATTTGATAATCGCTCAAATTTCTTCGATGGAATTCTTAAAGGAAGGCAGAAAATGTTTATGAGTGAGGTATGGGAAACATCATATGCCCTACCCTTTCCCTAAAAGGACAAAAAAATAACCGTAGGTTATGGATAACAGATTATACTAGCTTAGATAATTTTCTACACCAAATATGACGTTGACAACATTTTCTTAGGGCGATATAACAGGAAGCAACTACTCCCAACCAATGAGATCCCTAATGTGTCCGTGCAATATATGAAATGAGTTTTCGATTTTTTCCTCTTTGCCACTGGTCATAAACAAATCAGTGATCTTGAATGGTAATGAAATTGTTATGAGAGTAGTAATATCAATTATAAATTTGAGCTTGTTGTGTGTCAATGAACAGCAATTATTGGGAGAAGTTACAGTTACTGCTCTAAAAACACGTTAAACACGAACAAAGTGATTACCTCAACAAGTTCGGCCTTTTCATCAACAGCAAATAAGTTGGGAACTTCGCCTGTGTTAAGCAAACTGTCGATATCTTCAAGAAATGACTCTTCCTTGATTTGAGTGTCCGTCAATAGAAAAACTGTAGGTTTCATTTGTCCCCCGACTGTCTTGAGCAAAGACTAAAGAAAAAAATTTGAAAATTAGGTACTAAAAAAGCCAAACAGGAGAAAGTAGGAAACAGTAATGATGCTTTTTAGCCAAAAAACTGTCGATCCAGTTGCACATTTCAAACCAAACGGACTCTATAACAACTTACATATCACTTTACTATCTCTCTAACTCACTCGTATTGCTTTTTTTGATTTTTCGTCAAGAAGAGGTCATGGTCTTGCAATAAAGGTTTTACAATTTTTAAATTTTACATTCTAGCTTATGGTGCTTGTAAAGTCCGTTCTTACCTTAATATCTTCCCTCCATTCAGCCATTCCATAACTTTTGGATATCTCTGGTTGGAACACAATAAATTCGGATATAGCTGCTGCTAAGCGAGACAGAGACTGCCTACCGCTCCCTCCTACGCCCACAAGTAAAGCATTTCCACCATCTTGTTTGAGAATGCGACTTATTCGAACCAGGTGCTCCAAAACATATCTATATAAATGAGAACAGTTTCTTGATTTGATCAGTTCAAAAGATGTTGTTTCCATTTAAAGAAAATCAAAATAACTGACGTTAAGCAAATACGTTCAAACAGTAGTCATTATTTAAACTTATATTCAGTGAGTAAATTTGACAAATTGCCGACCAATTTTTTAGCGTTTTCACTATGGACACAGGTAGACCAATAATTGGGGAGGTCTATATTCATATAAGCATGTTATAAGCAGAAAACCCAGCAGAAAACAATTGTCTTCAAGGGAACTCAATACGACATAGCATGCAGATATGAATATCCTCTTTCTCAAGTATGGATCTTCTGACGTTCAACGAGTTCCAAAAGAAACCTATAGGAAAAGTACAGAGGTGTTTTTACCAGCATGTCTCACCTAAATATAACGAGGTTCATTTGAGCTTTATGCAGTTGATTGTATTCCTCCAAGTATTTTTCAACAGTCCGGTATAAATCATCCATGGATTTCACCTCCTGATACAAGCGTTCTTCAACCAACTGAAAATATTTTTTTGATAAATTGCTGTTAGTAATATAACGTTTGAATCCACGGTATGCACATTAAGAATAAGTATACACGTCACAATTAGGTATGAATATTACCAAATCCGGATTCAAAAAGTCACAAAACATCAAACTTCGAACGTCATCCTCTGTAATCTGTTCAAAAATAATTCATTCAATGCGCGTTGATGGTAGAATCCATTCAATTTCTATGGAATACAAAACCAAAGATGTGAACAGTAAAATGTTCGAACTGTCTTATCTAGTTACGCCGTACAAACAAGGAAGCATTAGGAACCTATTTGTAACATATTATTCACGCAGTAATTGCATTGGAATGCATGAATTGCAATCCACGTGAATGATAAAATCGAGAAAAACTTTGTTGATAATGATTTCTAAATAATTTTTTGCAGGACGGTAAAAAATTAATAAAAACCTGATATATGAAAAAAGAATAAAAAGCTTTCCTCAAGATAATTCTTTAATATACAACCATTAACAACGCATGCAATAATATGATGATGCATAGCATTTGATGAAAATGGACGTGCTCTCCAGGCTTACTAAAAGTATATAAACATTCTATAAATTACTGCAACATAATATATACTTTATGCTGTGACAAAACCAAAAGTCTGCAACTTGCAACGTATTATTAATCTCACATGGTTCTCAAGATACTGCTTTCCATAAAATAATAAGCAGTCAATGAAGAATTTCGAGTAATAAAAAAGATTTGTCTTTTAAAGTATCGTCTAAAAACTCTTGTTATCCCTTCTCTCTGATTGTTTTTTAGTTTTATGAATTATAGTTTTTTCTAGTAATCTGTAGTCACAAAGCTAGAATCATAGAAAAGTACACAATTTGCCATGCATTAAACAAAAATAGACATCATTCAATCAGCAACACTAAACATTCAATACAAGCAAAAGAATTGCAAGGACTCTTTTGTTCGTAATGAATGATACGCGATGCTGGTTGAACTCTTTAAAATTTTAATGAATTTCACCTTTTATCTGATCAATAATCTAATTGAGCTTTTGGAATTCTTAATGATTTTCCATTCGTTTAAATGAATATTCCGAAGTTGTATTGGTGTACCACACCGTTTCATTTAATGTTTACATTTGTTTAATGCAGTGCAAAAGGTGCAATTTCTAGAAAAGGAGAAAGTTTCTACGGCACAAAAATATTGCTACTTTAATCAGTTATATAATAACATACGTTCTTTCCATCACCAAGATGTTTGAACAAGCCATCAAAGTCCTCTTTAAAATGCTCTTTCGTGGCCTTTTTCAATGAGCTATGCAGCCACGCACGATCTTTATCATCGACCAAACGGTCGTAAAACACGCGATAAACTTCGTGAGCCCAAAGCCTACATGAAAGTTGAATGACAGAGAACATGATGAGCCATGTTCTTAGTGGGTTGGTGTTAAATGTCGTTCATTTATCAGAAAAAATACGGTATCTCACTGTTTCAATCAATGGCTTCACACCTTTCTTTTTAAATAAAATCGGACTATTACCTGACAGCAGTTTTTCGATCATCCAGCGATTGCTTTCTGATCAACAGCACTCCAAGAATAACGCGTGAGAAATCTCGCAAGTTGAATGTGTAATGAGATTTGGTCGGCGTAGGCAACAAGTTTGTCATCGCAGATTTATAAATCTGGAAAAAAATTATACTTTTTATTTCTCTCTTTTAAAATTTGAAAATTAGTATTTGATGAAGGTTTTCAATTTAATGATCCCGTTGACTTTCTGCAAACTGAATTGAAGAGACGAAAAGGATGAAATTATTTATTTGTCCTTAGTTCTTTAGAAGAGTAATTTCATTTTGAAAACGAATTTTTAAAATCGAATGACCAACCTCCATAGTTCCAGACACAATTTGTGAACCCAATGCATAAATATCATTTGGAAACTGATTATTCTAGACAACAAAAACGTAGCGGTTAAAAAAATCATATTAAAAAGATGATGTCATGTTAGCAACATTGATAAAAGAGTCAAATATACAAATCCTATCCTGGCACAACAATGACGAGCACAAAAATGCATTGCACCATATAATTACATATAAACTTTCAATAATCAACGACATATTCACTGCATCACCAAAAGGTCACAGGGTCCATAAAACCGCAAACAACCTAAATTTTTAGTTAAGGTCAACAACCTAAAACTAACCTTGAAGTAAAAGCTTACGACGCTGGAGAATATTTTGGTCATTGTGTCGTCGTTAAATTGCGCAACAGAAATAATATTGAAGTGACGAACGAATCGCGGAGTGATGGGATTTCGTCCTCCACCAGGAGGACCGAGAGCACATATGAACTGCAAGTCAATCAAACTGATTTTTGACGTGTCTTTCTTGTCATACCTAAATCAAAAGCAACTATATATAATAACACCAAGAAAAAATTACCGTCGGAAGCTATAGATCGTGATATTGCAGTGAGCTAGGTGGAGGAAGATCTGATGATAAAACATGTTATTTACTAAAAAGTAAATGTATATTCCTAATAGAAAAGAAAAATTTCTCATTTGCATTTTTTATAAGAGCAGCAAGGATTGAAAATGAAGCTCATTGTATGAGTTTGAATGACTTCAGTAAATAGAGGAGATAATGGTTGCATAGCTACTAATGTTTTTAATCTGCTTACTAGGATTTGATAACGCAACTCTAAACAAATTATGAGCATATTGCCTCGCTTCCTCAGCATCGACTGCTTTAAAATAGTTTGCTGCATTCCGCGCCATATAGCCAGAAATCTTCATAATTGCTTTGCGTACCATATCTAGCATACGATTTTAATTTTTGTCCTCCCATGTTTTATGTATATCCTGAGCATTAGACAGTATCTTACATAATTTACAATTCTCACCAATTTCCATGGTCTAACTATTGTTGTAGAAGTTCAATAGGAGGCTCTGCTCCATATATATTCCACCCGATCCACCGTTTATTCATATCAGTGACCGATACAGAAAGATGCCAAGGCAAAATGACATAGCGTATGTACTTCCTAGTTATTGCTTAAAAAGAGATATCTATCCCTTCGATGCCTATAGCCGTATCGTCTAACTCTCCTTCATTTTCTAGCTCATATACCAATTTCCTAGCCTTTGCCTGAATATGCCTGCGCAGCGCAGCTTGTATGAACTGCAGACCACAAACACGGCAACGACCTCAAAATACTGAATTCCATAAATGTACTGATAGTATAGTTTAGTTGAACTGTTTTGTTCTTAAATGTAAGGTTCTTAGAACATCCTGTAAAATTCTTAGAACGTTACTATCAAGAAACTAGCTATAATTTCTTTAAAAATGGCTTTAATTTGAATGTTGTGTTGGGCAGTTGTTTTTTAATACGAATCGTTTCCCGCCTGGCAAGTCTGTCGCTATTACTCCGAACTGTATAGTTCGTAAAAGGCATCGTGATATAAACCACATGACACATAGAGTAATTACGACAGAAATGTCTTGAATCTTTTATTTGCACTATGAAATCATAACACAAAATGATCAATGTTAGACATCGTTAGAACATTGCCAAAGCCACTCGGCCAATCAGCATCCAGTATTTTGATGTTCAATATCTCATACTGCCTAAAATTCATGAAGTAGTGTGGGCTATAAAACTTAAAGAAACTGCAGAGATGGAGTGAAAACATTGGAGAACAATAGCTTAATGGTTTTCTTTAAATTGCATTAGAATTTTCTATATAACGAATACTAATTTGGATATTGTGTGATTATAGTTCATTTCCTTATTAGTATTCTCCTCGTAGAATAAACTAATTAAGTTGAATCGACACGTTCGTGGCTTTGGCTTTGTTCTAAGACTGTTCGAGTATGATCACCTGTGTTCTATGGGTTTAGGTCGGGACCATTAGATTGTCTTTAACACAGACTACAATTCTCACCAATTTCCATGGTCTAAATATTGTCGTAGAAGTTCAATAGGAGGCTGTGCTCCATATATCTCCAACGCGGGCATGTTAAGGTCGTCCACAAAAATTATGAACCTGTAAGATTCAATTGTTTCAGATATGATGATTTTGAACGACAAAATCAACGAGCTTTTTGTCCTCGTTTCACGAAAAGCTTTTAAATAGAAGCTAAGGTTGACAAATAACATTTATGAATCAATCCATAAATAGAAAAATTATTGATCAGGAGTGGGCAATGAGCAAAAATGGGCAACAGTAATATAAACAGGTTTTATCGTACACAGATGTTTTTCTGACAATAGACGTTATGCTGTAAGTATCAAAAGATGGCATTGTCTTACTTCTTTCCAAGAGAAGGTCCAAAAACACCTTTTCTTCTCTTGTCAAGTTTGGACATGATTATATCCTAAATGACACAAGGTTCAAAGCACATGTACATTTTAATATAAAAGGACACGCGTAAAGCATTTACAATAAATATACATTTATAGGAAGCTCTCTCTTCTACAGACATATATGTCAAATAGTGCAGATTCTAAAAGACCAGCAATAATTCCTTGAGACATATGCCAGAGATTTCACTAATCACCGACAAACAACAGTACATCGTCTTGTATACTTGTATCATCTGACACATAAAACAGAATATCCTTTGCGATTACTTCTTCAAGAAAGCCCATGCGATTACTACGTGTAATTGTCCTTTTCTTCAGGGGGTGGACTTAACAAAAAGGCCATCCGTGAAGGCCGCAAACATTAATAAAGACTAATAGCTAAGCATAGCGAAATACTCATTTCAGCCTCCATATATTTCAGCCCACGCTTTCCCCAGCCCTGCAATGAAATACAGTGCACTTAAAATTCGAGAAATTGTTTTGGACCGCTTGCAATAATACGTCTCAGGAATACAGTACCAAATAATTTCGTCTGTCTGTATCTTTCGTTGCTTTTCACTTGTTCCTCGTATATTACTGCTTTAAACTTAAGTAACCGCTGACATATCTTGTTCACATTATGCATGTGTTGTTTCACATTATGCATGTATGCATGTATTGAGATCCATATCAATCGTCTTTCGAGTGTGTATCCGAAAATTATTGGGGTGCATACTATCATCATCGTCAATACTTTGATCGACATGAAAGCATTGTCTTTTCATCTTTTTTTATGCACACAATTTGCAATACCATAGTTCTTATAATGTGCTCTATAAATGTCCAATTCTGAGACCTATAGGAAATCATGTCCATTCGAACAAATCTCGGAAAACTTTTCCAAGCCGTTTCAATCAGCGTTACTCCTCGTTCTCTTTACATTGTTTAACCTATTTTCTCATTGACTACCATTTTCCAACATTATGTTATAACAATTGAGAACTTAATATTTTTATCCGAAATATGTACACTGTTATGACCAAAATGAGTTTAGCATAACATACAACTAAAACATACAAAAAGAAATACCGTAAAGAAATACAAACCTGAGTTTGCCCCGCACTAGTCTGTGCAGAAAAGTTCAAAAATGCAGGAATAAAACGGTCTCTGTCAAGCTCATTCATCAGCTTATCCTTTATGTAGACACTTTTTCCAGTACCTGTTGGACCAACAAATATAACAGGTTTATTATGGCTGATAAGAATGTCCATTAGAAACTTATAACGCGCTGTGTCCATTGTGGGAACAATGATGTCACTAATCTTCGTCCCATTGGCATTTAGATCATTTGACTTGATTGTCTTGTTCCAATGCACCCAGTTCCCACGTCCTTTAGCCTAGAGACAACATTTCAAAAAGACAGAAGTTCACATAAATAGAAAAATTAAATTACAATTTCCTGCATAATATGAGAAAAGCAACCCAATTGTAGCACAATTCGAAAGAGCATATGCGCACAACATTGATAGGTTTACCCGTATTCGGTATTTCTGGAAGGAGGTAGAAGAAGAAAACTAATTTGGCGGATGAATAAAACAGCAGTGCGTTAAACGCAAAGATATATTACTGCTAGTATTCAATTGGCTATAGCAATAATTTATATCAGACCATGGTAAAAATTAAGTTACATAAAAAACCATTTTAATCAAACATTTTGAAACCAAACCGAGACTACAAATGCTGCAACTATACGTTTATGAACCACTGATATCAACACAGAAGAAGCACATTATAGATTTAAGTATTGTTAGTTTCACCACCTTTTAAGACGGCGGTTCATGTCATGCGTAACTATAGAACAGCATAGTGAAGTGCCTATGGGTTCTACGTTATTGAGTTATAATGGTTAGTTGTACTTCACTGGACGAAACGTGTTTGACTTACCTCAAATAGAAAATCGTAGACTAAGGCATCATTGGGAAACGAGTTATCTATCTTTCCAATTGAATCTGGAACAGGGTGGTTCTTGTTGTTACCTGCCAGAAGTTCACGCAAAAACGAATCAAACTTCGGACGACTGTCGGTATCCACACTTGCTCCAATTGACCACACAAGTGAGAACATGAATGAGTTCTGCAGATGCAAATCATAATTGCACATCTCCCGTGAAAGATAACATAATGAAAGAGTACAGAATAAAGATAGCATATTATATATCAAGAAAGGTTATTTCATCTATTACCTATAAAATACACTTGCGTTTTATGGATTTCAATTATGATGAGCGTTTGCCGCAAGAAAAAATAATTCATTTGTAAAATAATGCATTAAGGAAAATTCAAACAAGGTTTAAGGAAGTGGAGAAATGAACTCATAAAAAGAAGAGGTGAAGTGCAAGCACTGAAAAAGAGCATTGACTTTTGGTATGAAGCTACTTGAAATATTTTTGTTTTGACAATGTTTTCGACGATTTTGAATGTCCTCAAATTTTGACAGTAAGCTGGATTGGTGCATGTTTTTATCGAAATTTGAGCTGAACGTTGTTGAAAGCAAAGAAGTTTCTAGCCAAGGGTTTACGATAATACCAAGGCCATAAAGCCACACACAGAGAAGGATGTGTGCCCTGAGCAAGCAATTTAAAATACTTGAAAGAGAAATAAAACATCAATGAAAATTTCTGGATACTTCAAAGGAGTTCTTATGAAAATTATCTAAACACTGCAAATAACCTAGCAATAAATGCTTCAAATTATTGATATTTAAGAAGCTTCTATGCGAGGCACCTGCAAAGCACAAAGTTATTCTAAAAAACTTAAGCTTACGCAATTACGTAGCGACTGATGTGTTGGAATTATCATATTTGATGTAATATCCATAAATCTATTCCCATGAAACTTGTATAGTCCACAATTGAATGAAGCTGAAAAAAATCAACACTTACAATAAGCCATAACTTCAAATGCTTGACATCAAATTCGTTCTCAGTGGCTATTTTCATCAATATTTCGACAAGATTCATCAATGAATTTGCGAGATTGCTGTCTGACGTGGGAAGATACTCCTGTTAATATAGGAATGGTGGATAAATGAAATGGGAGAGGCGTTTTATAAAAGTTCACCCCGGGAATATGAGTAAGTTAGGTAAGGGCTCATATTGATAATCATACAATTACGTAGACACAAAAAGGGGCCTGAGTACGACAGCTCAAAACATCAAAAGAAATATATAAGTACACATTGAAAAATAGACACATGTTTAATTGAGCATGCATAGTAAAATTCACTCTCGCAATGATAAATGCAATCTGAAAACATTTTGCTTTTTCCCTCAACAATTATTGATATGGCTTTTAAATCAGTTTTGACAATTTAAATTTCACTTTGAAAACAAATTCGCTGCAAAAAGTAACAGTTTTGGTCCACGGTCAAGAAATCCTAAAAATTCGCCCAGCCAGATTTCAAAAAATCCATAAATATCACTGGGCAATAATAAATTGGAAATATAAATATTTGTGCTTGATTTTTTGATATAATTTCATATTTGTGTGTGATGATGGTGAGCCACAATACCTAAAATTAGCAGCAAAATTTATGGCAGATTTTCCGTTGCAACATTTTAATTTCAATAATATTGAGAATTTTCAATATAGATGGTTTGAAAAGACGAAAAACTTTTGAAAATAATCTAACTGAAAGATGTGTTTAAAATTCAACTATAAATTTGACCAGCTGTGGTAGCACTCCAACGTCCAGGTAATTAATGTACATGCAAATCCAAAACAAAATACCAATCATGTTATAGATCGAGATACGTAAAATAACCTAAGCAATGTGATATCACAAGAAAAATTTTTTTGACGATTGGCACCAAAACTTTTTCTTTCGGAGCATTTCACAAGGAAAGTTCTTTTACTTCATTAAGCCCAGCCGCTGTTTTAAGTATCCGCAATGAAATATTATCATATTTACATGAGTGAATCCTTTTAAAACACGAGTAAGCAAAGATGTGTTCTAGTTAGAGTATAGATGAGTTACTGCATATATCTGAATACATCTATCAGTATAGGAGTATAACTAAGTTACTGAATGTATCTACGTACATCTCTCTGGTAGAGTACAACTAAGTTACTGGTGCCAGTTGCACCAAGCCTGGATAGCGTTATTCATTGGATAGCAAAAATTTTCAAACTTATAAAAAAGGCGTTTATATTTTTCATACGACAAAGAAATTTCTTAACCTTCGAAACAATATTTTATATCAGTGGTTTCTCAATTCAAGTCTTATATTTTTTGCTTGTTAAAAGGTTTTATAAAAGTTTGAAAAAAAAATTGCTATCCAATGGATAACGCTATCCAGGCTTCGTGCAACCGGCCACTGAACTTCAACTGTTTGTGCCCTTTAGAGGCTTTTTTGACACAAGATAAAATTGACATACTATACATCATAATTTATGTCTAATATATGTGAAATACAAATTTTCCAGTAATGGAATTTACGCCATACCTTGCATTGTTTTCTCACGAAAGTTAAACATGGTGGAACAATCCATTGAAACAATGCATCCACCAGTATCCTGAAATCTTTGCCATATGATTCAGGCATGGTGTTAAGCCACGACTTCAATATCGGATTCCAGCCTAAGGCTGAAGGCTCGAGATATATCATACCACATCGGCTGACAGTCGCAGGCTAATATAAGTTGAATATTACGTACGTTTATAACGACCAAATACTACTCATGGGAAGTCTTATCTTACATGGAGAACGTTTCAGATTTTGTTCAAGGTATTTACAAATTCATGAAGAAATTCATAGGATTTCAAAGATTTTAAAAGTGTCTCGAACATATACATGTACAAACGATTTGACATAAAAAATGGCGTAATAAAGAGATAACGATAAAAAAAACGACACGAAATTAAAATGGCTCTTTTAAAGCAAACTGGAGGCTTCAAAACAGTTTCAAAATCAAATGAATGCAAAGACCACGACTGTGTACGGCCATTACTGCAGTGCACTTCCAACAATGAAATCAAAGAAACTGACAGAAATTCGTCAAAACAAGAGTTAAACAACATAAATTAGTACTTAAAATAGGTTTTCAGGTTTTGCACAAAAGATGTTTTGTATTATATTGTCTAAGTTGAATCTGAACTGTTCATAGTCAACTGAACAGAGAACTGCTTTAAGACGATTATACTGATGTATAGACGACTCTGTTTTTGAAAAAGTTCTCGCCATCTACAACGAACATCTCTTTTATTTTACTCACGATAAAAAGATATAGAATAACAATACCAGTTTAACAGTCGTCAAGAAATACATACCGATGCCTGGGATAGATCTCGACATTCGAAAATCAAGCTCATGACGTTGGATAGTTGAATGATCTCGCCGCTCATCAGACAAAGCTGTGGATTAAAATGGCATGACATCACCTCAATGTTGTAAAGAAGATAAAATTTGACGATTCTATTGAAAATTGGTCAAATAGCTAACTTTCTCCAAGGCCAGGCTTAAACAGTTGACCTCGTCAAAAGTTTTTCGTTCTCTTATCAATCCATATCAATTTATAGGACTTTCTCAAGTTTGAAATAACCTGGACCTAACCTACAGAGCACTTTAAGTAAATACATACTTTGTATGGGTCATGCTGCAACTATACCTTCTTATTGTCATCAAGTACTGTGTTCATACTTTCGATCCACAATGTATCAATAGGTCCGTCAAATATCACCCACTTGCGAATGTCGGTTTGATCCGAGGCATATTCTCGGAAAGTGTTCGCTACAACGCCATCCGTCCACTGACAACAAAAAATAAATGAACTATTAAAGTAATGAAATGCAAAATACTGGTACATCGTACTCCAGACGAAATCACGTTTTTTTGAGTTGTGAATATTACATTTTCAATTAAATATCAGGACAGTGAATTGTCAAAGTAGCAAACAAAGAAACTATTGAGTACAGATTTTCAACAAAGGAGCTTTACTGAAACTATTTTTAATTGGTTCAATACCAAGCAACTGTAAGTGGAAAAACAGTTTATACAGTACCTCATGTGACACTGGATCAAACTGGCCAAACAATTGTCCCATTGTTATTGACTTCGGATTAATCACACGAGTCCACACCTTAAAAATATTGTCATAACTGTCGTAAAAACATGCAGTTGATATTTTCAATATCAAAATATAACACATTTAATACGATTGCGATGAAAATACTTCACAGACCAGCGTTGACATAAACCACCATTGGTCTGTGATTAATAAATTCCATTCTCAATAGCTTTAATTTGCCTTTATTTTCAACCATATCAACTAAGCGATTTGAAAGTCAACACCAAACGGACACCAGTAAATATTCATAAATAAGGACTATCGTACGCCAATGCTTTTCGTTATAATTTTTATTTATTCCGCAAACAAATAGCAGCATAAATAATTTACTGGGGGCAAGGTAAACAGGGATTCGCGCGATCTAGTTTTGGTTATAAGAAAAGTGCCAATTTCCCTCGAAAATCAATATAGTTATCCTGCATGGGATTGATTGATCAAATTTAACTCACTGCAAGTATAATTGTTTAATTGCTATAACGCAAGCAGGGAGTGTTCACCTAGATATGAGCATTTAAGAAATAAAGATGTTTACTGTGTTTGCACAGGCTTAGGGAAACCAAGGAGATGTTTAGGATGCTTCCGCGTCCGAGGTTTGCATAAGCCAGTGCAAACACGAAAAGCATTTTTTATTTCATTTGTAAAAAAACAGTGATGCAAAACAGACAAATTTAAAACAAACGTTTTAATTTTTCCTCCAAAACTTATTCACAATTGATCTGCAAATTGTCTTTGGCTGATTGATTGAAAATTTAGTTGAGCTCAGATCGGTTTGCCCAGGCTAATGCAACACAAGTGTTGACCAATCACTGCATGCGTTATACTGTCTTTATTTTATAAATTGCACTGGTAAAAACCATAGGCTTTATACATCTCAAAGAAAGAAAAAGTAAATATTAAAAACATAAATTTGACAATGCAAAATAGCTGTACAGGGTGTGTCAAAACACTGAACAGTTTGGAAAAGTCGCTAAAGTCATTTGCTCGTGAGATTTGCAAAAAACTTTGGTGGAATTAGGCCCAGTTCAAACGTCGCATTTCACATGTGCCGAATGAAACTCCTATTTTAGTCGATTCAAACAATTAAATTCGAAATTTAATTAAAACGTCGAATGTAACGCAGCCGAATTTAACTCTGTAATAATTCCCAGCAGTCTCCTCTAGGACAGGTTGTATACAAAATTGCGGACAAAAGACACTCTTTGCACCTTATTCGTATGATTCGTAATACCAGAAGACGTAGATTGATGATGCAGACAACGGCCAGCTACTTAATCACTAGAAGACGTCTACTGAGTACTTCTTTAATCTCTTTGTTGATTCTTCTTCAAGAAAAAAGGTAGTAGCCGCAATTTCCCAGACACCGGTCGTGTCGACGACTAGTGAGAAACACTGGATGGTGGCAAAATGTGTGGAAAAATTATTCCAATGCACGATTTAAGAAGACCTTCCGGATATCCAAGGTGACATTTGGGTACATCCTGGATCGTGTCGAACATTTATTGGCATGACAAACGTTGACAGAAGATCCCATCTCACCTGACGAAAGACTTGCCATTTGCTTGTATAGACTAGGAAGGGGAGACTATTACTATACTATTGCAAAAATGATTAGAAGAGGTGTTTCAACGGTAAGCTCAATTGTTGAAGAGGTTTCACAAGTGCTCGTTGACCAGTTGTGGAGCGAATGTGTTGCAATACACATGCCTGATTGCACAGAAAATGTTACGGACAATATTCTGGACATGGAAGAGCTCTGGAACTTCCCATGTTGCTGGGCAGCAATCGATGGCTGCCATATCTCTTTAAAATGCTATAAAGGAGGATTAAAAGCATGCAAGGAGTACCACAACTTCAAAAAATATGAAGTTGTGGTTTTCCAGGGAATTCTCACGATACTATTATTTTTAAGTCCACCAACTTGTGGACCTCGCTCTAAAGTGGATTGTTACCAAACATGACGAAAACTGTTGGCGAAGTTAATGTACCTCCACTTATTGTTGGGGACTCAGCATTTCCCCTTCGAGTGTGATTGATGAAACCTTACACCAATGCCAGCTTAAGCTAGCAGCAGAGGTACTTTAACTGCCGACTGAGTAGAGAGCGCATGGTGACAGAGGGGGCAAATGGCCAGCTAAAGGGAACGTGGAGAGTTCTTCTTAGAAAAGTGAGAGCAGCAAGGAATAAATGCGGATGGTCACCCTTGCATGCATGGTCCTCCACAATATTTGTATATCAACCAAGCTGATTCCACTTCAAGAAAAGCTTGATTTCACAGTAAATCCAAGCACCCAGGAAAAGTGGGATCGTGAAGAAATTAGAAAGCTTTTGCAAATGAAAAAAGGCAGAATTTCAAAAGACAGCTATGTTGAAGCAGTAAAAGTGAGAGATGCTCTCTGAAAGAAACTGTCTGGAAAAGTTTGAGTAGTCTCAAGCAAATGACAATTCATGTTCAACTACTCAAAAAAATTGTCACTGTACACTTTGTAACAACAGATGGCAAGTTCATTCAGTGTAAGATGATTCTTCTGTAGAGTCAAGCTGTTATGTAAGTGTTCTGTTTTTCCTTGATGCACAATCATTTTTTTTTGTTTTTATTCATTATCATAAAACATCATTCATAAAAATAGCGGAAATTAAATTTGTTTTAAGAAATAAATTATATGATGTACATACACTGCAATGATTTACTACTAGGGCTTTCACAAGTAAAAAAACAATTTAAGATATAGATCTTCAACTATTGTTGTGCATTTTGTTTCCTGAGAATTCTATGTTTTCCTTCATTTGAAAAACTTGTAGTATTAGCTGAACTACTCAAGAGATCATTTATAAATTGTAATACATGTACTATACAAACAAACTGTTGAAAACTGCTTGAATACACATTGCTTCTTTTGTGAACATCAATAGGAAAAATTAGGTATTTCAATTATGAAAATTTACTTTAAATGTCATTGAATAAAATTTGAACACCAATTCTTGAACCTTTCGTACTTTTCAACACACATTCATTAAAAGAAACAACAATAACTATAATTTCTACAACAGTCTCTTTGGGAATCCTCTGTTCATTATGTAGCATAAACATGAGCTCAGGTAAAGAATATAGCCCAGTTACATGTCCTTAGAACCAATGATTGTACAAGAAATGATACATTCCGGTACTAGGTCTTTCACTTTCACTGCATCCACTCCCTCCATGGTACATACCATTTGTTCCTTGTTGTTGGTCATAACCTCTGAACCCACTACTTGCATTGTGCCTTGAGTTTTGTAGAAGGTTAAACAGTTTGAGCTCATGCTCTCGAGCTTTATCCATCTCTTCTCTCATAAAATTTATAAGATCTTTGGTGTGATCATTTATTACCACTTCTTTCACAAGATTTAGAATTTCCACTAAGGCTGCATCAATTGCAGAATTCTTTTTTTCTTTTCTTGCTCTTTTTATAGGAATAAATATCTAAGTCTCAGCAATTCCATTGCTCTCTAGATCATCATCACTGGTGATGAACAGAGAATGATGAACATGTTGATGGTGATGGTTCTAAAGCTTGCTCCGGTTGACATGATTCTCTTGTTCTTACAACAGCAAATAGGAATGGAAACCACTTCTCATATCCCTGGTTATCTTGGATTCTTTTGGTTCCTGTTATGTCATCTCCATCATCATCGTTCCATTTAGGTCGACAACCAGTTTTTCTCCTTGTCATTGATTTTTTTGAAAACATTGGTAGACTCAAATCGTCTACATGATCATCATCTTCCTCGCAACTAACGTGCTCAACGATATCATCAGCATTTTGTACTCTGATTAACAGACAAATCAAAATACCATCTCTATAAATACTACATAAAGCCATCATGCCATTAAAACCATTGGGTATAAAGACAAATAAATAATTCAATCAATAAATACCTTTTTGTTTCTGTTTGAATGCTACTAGATGACGAATGCAGTTTGTTTAAACTAATATCTTCACTGCTAACAGTGACATCTTGGCCTTCACTCGACTTGCACCTTTTCATTGTTTCATTGAAGCTCGTCCTACAGTATGCAACAAATTTTCCCTCTTTCCACCGAAGAGTGTCTTCTTCATTTTCAAACACCGAGCACCTCATACAATAAGCACATTAAACATGTATATTTCGTTTTTGGCGAGCACGAACTGCACTTTCCTTCACCTCCTGCCATTTTTTAAATTGCTGTTTGGACTGATCTTCGCATGAAATTTACGGATTATGGTTGCGAAATTAATCAAAATATTTTTCTATAATTTATGAATTATATTCGGCACAAGTGAAATGCGACGTCTGTATCAAACGTCAAACTTAAGTCGAATATTGGATTGTTTCACTCGCAGTTTCGACGGAGTCTGTAATAGTTTGCGCACAAAAATGATGAAGCTAAAAAAGTTTTAGGACATAGGGTTAAAATATGACACATTTTGTTCAAACTAACATAGTTTTGGGAAATTCCGCTGAGGCGTACGCAAACGCTTACCTTTCAAATAGCGAATTATTTTGAACTAATTTTCGTCTTTAAATGCGTAAATTTGAGCTTAAATTAATTCAAATAAGAATATTTGATGAAGGTTTTAAGAGAATGGCATTTTAAAAAGAAAAACGCAAAATAATCCGCAATTTAGCGTTCATGCACGATTTGCAGCCAAATTTTCCGAAAGTTTGTAAAATTGAAAAACACGCACCATATTTTCACCCTACGTGTTCCAACTGCTTTTTAGCTTTGTCGATTTCGTGCACAAGCTATTTTAAAAGTGCTTCTCGGCAGCACAATTCTTACTCTAAAAATTGTTACTATTTGCGAAAATTTTATAGTTAGACGAGCCATAGGAAGTCCAACTACCCATTCCGTTGAAGGTTTTTGCAGATCTCGTGCGCTGATGACTTTAGCGACGTTTTCCTATCTGTTCAGTTTTTTAATGCACCATTTTTAATTTAATTTTGTAAAAAGCTTACAGGATTCAAAGTGAACATACCTACAAAGCCAAAACGCTTCAACACAAATATATTCTGAGCTAACATGATTAACTTCCATAGTTCACCTTGTTGATATTTTCATCGCCATGACCTCTTTCCGTCATAAGAGTCAATGTCTCCGCCAAAATATTTAATACTTTTGTTTTGCCTGCAAAGGGATCTCCCACCATCATGAAACTAAAATAAGAGATTTTTAGCTTGGTCATTATGTATATAATTATCAACATCAAACATCAATGTGTATACAATAGCAACAGGTTTGGTAATCGCCCCTTTTTAAGTGTATTATATTCAATAGTACAGCAAAGAAAGAAGTAAGTGACTATGAGGCAACATGAGACAATATTGGACAATTTTTTGAACCATGTATTATTCCACTATAGCCAAACACTAATAAGGAGTCAGTGCCAGTCAAGCATTTGGAAAATCGTGCAAAACACAATAAGGAAAAATATCTTGGACACATTAGGAAGAAAAAGCTATTGGACACTTGAAGAGAGTGGAAAAGATACATACTTTACATGTGTCTTACAAACATCCCAAAAACAACCTGGTGACGTTGTTGTAAAAAAACCAAAAAACTTTGCAATAAAACAAATAAAAACACGCACGTTCCTCAAACGGCGCTGAAAATAATTTGTCAAAAGGCATGTGAACAATGATAACATTGATGAAAATAAATAATGATAAAGTAGATGCGAATATCATAGCTCACCCGTGACGGACTACCATCATTTCATAAGTTTGTATAAGTTTTTCCGTAAAAAAGGGCACGGTCTGAAGATTTGTCTTTTTACATACCTAAAATATATTGTATGAAAAATAAACATGATATGATATGATATGATATGATACGATATGATATGATATGATACGATATGATATGATATGATATGATATGATATGATATGATATGATGCGATATGATATATGATATTATATATGATATGATATATGATATTTATATGATATGATATATGATATGATATATATCATATATGATATGATATGATATATTTTATATTAACTTTTTTGAATACTCTTTCAATTTCATTCAACATTGCATAAAACTCCTAGAGCAATCATCTTAAAACACAAACATAGCTGTCCATCTATCTCACACGCTCATGCATAGTAGGATAATACTCATTAAACGTCAAACACATGATTAACCTACCTCAGCAACTGTTTCCAGAAACAAGGCATAGTCAGCTTTAGGAAGATCGATTCCAGGAAAAAGATCAGATATAATTCCTTGAAACAATGGAATATCGTGCGACAAAAACTTGGGTAGATTTACATCAATTATGGACCGCAGCAATAGCACGTTTTCGTTTTCATTGGGAAATTTTAACTTCAGGTTACCGGCAGCAGCAAGCACAGCCTTCACAGCGCGCATACCATAATCATAATGGAATTGCGACGAAAGCTAAAAAACAGTCAAAGCATGAAAAAGCAGTTTTACAGTTCATGAACTTGCAAATATAATAAATATAGCTAATTTTGGTTTGGTTTTCATAACTAAGTACATCAATTTATTTGAAAATTCATGAGCATTACCTGTTCAGAACATAATTTATAAGTTGTGACAATCTTCACAGAGAGATTTCTTGCATCAACAAAACCATAAGAGTATAACATGATCTCGCCAATCAGGGCATAATCAGGCACCATCATAGCCACAGTACGAAACAGAACCTACACAAAATACATGTATCGAAACATTTAAGTTAAGAAACATTTAAGTTAAGTTTAATGTACACATTTTAGAAGATAAAGATAGCTGCATCATTGTAGTAAACAGATACTTTAATAGTAATGACATAATAGTTTAATTTGTAAATATGATTGGTAAGAATGTGAAAGGTTGACAGGAACTATATTCAGGGATGAGGGCGAGTAGAAAAGATACACAAAAATGGAGATAGCATAATAGGATAAGATGATTGATATTTTTGAAATCGAAATTAAAAGATATTACAATCATCAGAAAAAAATATTACACTTTGAAAAAAACGTGTATGTCAGAATTTAGTGACCGTATATGATGGAAAAACTTCAACGCAAGGATATCGTTTGAAAAAAAGTGAAGTAGGAAACCATCTTATCTTTTACTTTTAAACCTTGTTTGAATTTTTTTACAGCCCTTGCTTAAATGGACGATTGAAGTGTAATAGTCGAATTTCAAGTCATATATTGGACGATCAGTGGTTATCACTTTCAAAACAACTAATACAATGCATTGTACTATCATACAAATATCAGATTAAGAAAGTTCTACGACAAATACTACCCGCATATGCATCTTATATTAGCCAATATTAATAGATCTAAGTTCAAATACACCTATCTTTTATATTGTGTAGACAATTGATCCAACAAGTTAAAAAATACTACACCTTTAAATTGTCTGGAAGTTCAGATCTTCCAGCATAGCCAGGATTCATAGTGATAGCAACAAAGCAGTTGGAGTTCAAGTTCAACTCGGTGCCTTCGAAAATGAAACGATCTTGATGTGCAGCTATCGCACGTTGGATGCAAAGAATCTAGAGTGGTATGGTATACAAATAATGGTTCTAATTTGTACTTTTGTATAGTTTAAATGCCAGTTCTTATACACACACCTGTTGGGCAACAACGGAAAGTACTTCAAGTTCAATACGATTGAATTCGTCAAAGCAAGCCCAAGCGCCACAGGATGCCAGACCTTTGAAAAACTAAGAAAAAATAGGAACGCAACCATTAGACATGGATCGCATATGAATTTTAGCATATGATGCAAAAATTTCAAATCTACCTTTCCCATTTGAAGATAGTCCAAACCATCCGAACAGTTAAAGACGACACATTGAATAGCTAAGGCTTTCGCAAGATCCTATAATAGAGAGATTAATATTATTTTACGTAGGGAGGTTTCACGAGATACAGCTAAGTCAACAGTAGGTTTTGGACAGAAAAGCATTTATGCTCAAACTAAGGCAAGAATATCATATTGAACTAGGCATGTACAGAAATTTTCTCTCCTACGTAAAACGACATCAAACTGTACTTTAAATCAAGGACGCCGGAACAATGATAATTGGGGCAAATATTTATATATGCGTGTTTTGTCTGATTACTTTCTTTTGAAATAAATTATATTTCGATATACTCGACTTCAATTTAACAATGCATTGTCTTTATTTAACTCTTTAACAATTTAACTACAAGAGTGCAATTCAATGTAAACTAACAAATAACAAAATGCATGACTGTCTCAACCTTTCACCGCTGATCAGTGGCTTGCTCTTCATTTTTTTGTTACACTCTGCAAGCATGGCGGACCAAGAAAATTTATCAGATTTTGAAATGATTGAGAATGTTGACGCATCCGCAACAAAAAGAAGCAACGAAGGTAGGCAAACTACCCCTACCCGTCTCACCCAGTCTATTGTGGCCGATCAGGAGTTCGTAACCAAGATTTCGGCAGCAATTTAGGCTAATATTGCCCAAATCTAACCCTGACTCGTACGGGTTAGTTACAAATCAAAATAAAACTGCAGTGCCCGAAGGCTAGGCAGCAAAACATAATCCCGGAGTATCATTGGATCAAACGGATATACTTGAGAACTCTGTTGCAGATAAACCAGTTGTATCAGTTGATCAAGCGGGCGCAGAGAAACGAGCTTCTGAACAAGACCTCTAGCTCGATATGCAGGCTAAAAGACCGCGCTCCTGTTTACCTCAAAATTTGGAGCTAACCGCTCAAGACGATTGGAAAGAGGAGTAGGGGGATGATGAATTTCTATCTCCTAATTCCCGCTGGGAAGCCAGAGAGGAGTTGTCTGACTTCCTAGGAACAGTATCAAAACGTCTATTTCGTTTTAAACAGCGGAGTTTGATAAAGACGTATCCTCCCCCCAATGTGGATTCCATGTATACACCCTCCCTGGATGAGTATCTAAAACCGTTTGTCAAAGGGGTGAGTGCTCAAGACAAACCTTTAAGGGAGCTACAGGATAAAATTTTGGACATCGTGGGTCCTTTAGCAACGGTGTAAGAGAACCTATCCATGTTGAGCTCTATTAGTACTGAGGAGACTTCTATTCAACAAGAGAAGGACAGTGTCGTCGCCTTCTTAACTCGTATAAAACACAGTTTGCTGTTAGTGAGAGATGAGAGTGCACTTGTGTTGCAACAAATCGCAGTGAGTTAGTATTGAAAAGAATCAACTAAAAGATCTTTTAATGCAAGGGGATTTGTTGATAAAAATAGATTTCAAGGATGACTACTTAACTTTACCAACTCGGATGTGGCATCAGAACTACCTTCGCTTTCTATGGAAAGCATGCTAGAATTTGCTTGCCTCCCCTTCGGCTTAGCTTCAGCGCCAAGAATTTTTACAAAATTGATGAAACCCGTGGTCGCTCTTTTGAGGAAGCAAGGGATTCGTCTCATATATATAGACGATATCCTAATTATGGCAGAGTTCGCAGATATGGAGTTTCATCAGGCAGCGTCGGCTTTTAATCTTCTCGAGAGTCTGATATTTATAATAAACTACAAAAAATCTCAATTAATACCAGCTCAGGAAATGGTGTTTCTAGGGTTCGTAGTAAACTCCGTGGACCTTTCGTTCCTTCTACCAAGGGACAAATTAAGGAAGATTCGGAAACGTTGCGAGAGTCTGCTCGAACAACCAGAATTGTCAATTTGAGAGTTATCAAAATTCCTGGGGCTTCTAACCTCATCTATTCATGCCGTTTTCCCAGCCCCCTTGCAATTCAGAAATCTGCAAAGAGTAAAAAAATACATGGTATGGGGGCACAAAATTCTTACGAAGCTATGGTTTCATTAGACCAAGCGGCCATGGAAGAGGTGGCTTGGTGGAGGAAAAATCTCCATGCTTCAAACGAAAAAGCCTTGTTCCAGAAACTTATGGATCTCATTATTGAGACAGATGCCTCACGGAAGGGATGGGGCACATACTGCCTAGGTGTAAGTACGGGGGTTCCCGGGATTTCAGGTAGAAAAAGCTTCACATCAATTGCTTGGAATTGATGGCAGGATCACTGGCCATCAAGACGTTTACAAAAAACAAGGTTTGTGCACACGTGAAAGTATTAATGTAATGGAAAACACTGCCGCAGTAGCGTACATAAACAATATGGGAGGCACCCACTCGCAGGCTTTATCAAATCTAGCGCTACAACTGTGGGACTGGTGCATCCAGAACAGAATGGTGGTATCTGTTCAACACCTGCCTGGGTACTGGAATGCCAGGGTATCGGAATGGGCATAGAGGAATTTAGTCGATTCGAGTGATTGGAAACTGGACCCATCAATGTTTCAGGCATTAATGAAAATATGGGGTCGATGAAGAGCGACTTATTTGCCTCTCGCCTAACTCATCAACTTCCCAAGTTAGTCAGCTGGAAACCGGATCCCATAGCAATACATTCAGATGCGTTTTCTTTAGATTGGGCAAGCCTTCGAGGCTATAGCCCAAGTGTTGCAAGCACAACCTTGGATCCTATTTTACTGCATCTGTGCATAGATCGCCCTCTGTTGTTCCAACGTCACCAACATTGCTGAGAGACAACATGCCTCACCCCCTTTCCAACCTACAACTGGCTGGGTGGAGATTATCTGCAGACGTTACGATGACACAGGCATTTCAGAGTCACCTCGAGATATTTTTCTGGCTTCCTAGCAAAAGAACACAACCAACACGTATGCTTCCGTTGGAACATGTGGGTTAGCTGGTGTGATCAACGGCAAGTCAATCTCATTGAGTCTTATTATAGAGTTTCTGAAAGATCAGTTTGAGGAAGGGAAAGCGTTTCGCACCCTCAACGTGTACAGATCCAGTTTGTCAGCCCTGTTGCCTGAGATTGATGGATATAAAGTGGGGTCTCACCAGTTGATCTCACAACTTTTAAAAGGTATCTTTAATTTAAGATCGCCAGCACCCAAGTATTCTCATACTTGGAATGTTTCTACCATGTTAGGGTTCATTAAATCACTGGGTTCGAATGAAGATATGAGTATCTGATATAAGATGTTGTTTTACAAGTTGGTAGTTTTCTATGACTAACTGCACCGGATCGCTTATCCGATATGGCTAAATGAGATCTTCGCTTTCGCGCTTACCACCTGGAAGGAGTATCCTTTCAGCTGCCGGGCTATCTAAGGAATCAAAGCCAGGAGACTTATCAAAGACCAGCTTTCACGCAACGTATCTCTCCGAAGACGAGTTGTGTCGGGTAAAAATGTTTGAGATCATATGAGAAGCGAACTGCCGATAGGAGACCGAAGGAATCGAATCTCCAGAACAGACTATTCCTGTCCCTCCTTCTACCGCACCAACCATTTGGTTCCTCTAGATTGGGGCGTCGGATTAAGACACTATTACAACTAGCAGACATTGATTGTAATATTTTTACGGCACACTTCATTAGAGGTGCAGCCACTTCTGCCACATTTAATCAGTGTATTTCGATTTCGGAAATTTTATCGATGGCGGACTGGTCTTAGGAAAATACCTTTCGCAGATTTTATTATAGACCGCAGTTCAACCTAGCACCAAGTAGGGAAATGATATCTACCTGCAAGAACTAGTCAGGCTTTAAACATGCATTGTTAAATTGAAGTCGAGGATATAGAAATATAACTGTAATTATGCAAGTCTGCGCAGCAGATGATGTATAATATTAATTATATGGGATATACGAGACGAGATTTAACAATGAATTGCCGCGACGAAATTTCCCCATCCCATGCATTGTTAAATGTGATGGTTTACCATGGTATGTCTTTCCTTATTTATAACATTCACAAAAAGACAAAAAGCAAGCCACTGGTCAGCGGTGAAAGGTTGAGACAGTCAGGCGTTATGTTATTTGTTAGTTTACTTTGAATTGCACTGTTGTATTTAAATTATTAAAGAGTAAAATAAAGACAATGCAGTGTAAAATCTCGTCTCGTATATCTCATATAATTAATATTATACACCATCTGCTGCACAGACTTGCATTATCTACAATTGTTTTTTACGAGCTGTGAGTACGAATGTAGGATACCCCCCCCCGAATTAACGACGTTAAGGCAACCCTGATTTAAATTCACTTTCGGGGTGCTTTCTCCAATTGAATTGTTTTGATGAACTTTCATTGTTCATTGTAATAAATTATAAAATAACCTTTGAAAAAAACGGGCGCTGGTCGAATGCTCCAAAAAAGCGTGTTGATATAACTTAATAATGCAAAAATATAAACAGCCATCAAAATCAATAAATATATCTTTTAAATATAGTTTTTTAACGCGTGTTTACATAACTCTATACAAACTCGGAAAATGTTTTCGATTTTTTAATTATCATATGAGTATTTAAATTTATGCGCAACAAAATGGTGAAACAAAAATCATATGCCTAAATTTCCGAGCATCTGATTGGACATACGATTTTCTTCATTTGTGAAAAACGTCGTAACTGTCTTGCATTCTGATTGTATATACGATACGCTTCCCTCCGAAAGAAAAAGACAACGTAAAATACAAACCTAGTTCCTTCATAAATTAATTGCCATTCATAATGTTATGACACAAACGGTGGAAAAACTAGTTTATCCCAATGAACAATTAATTTGTGTTATTGTATTTTCGTATGCAAATTATGTAATTGTTTTTAAGCGTTTGAGTTGTGTCTATCATTTCAGCAAACAAATTTCACTATAATCTAAAATTCAATACTCGTATGATAAAAAGATTACTTCATGGTTGGTTCGTTTGAATGATTCGTGGAAAAGTTGAGAATAAAAATCGTACGCACTCAGTAACCATGAAGTAATGTATTAAAATCACAATTTGCCTCAGAGGTCAAACCATCTTCAATGATTCATTTTCAATAATCCAAACAATTTTTAAAAAGATTTGCGAGAATTACACGGTGGCTAACACTCTTTAGCCTGGTTATAGAATAGTCATTTCATTTCGAGTCATTTTATTCGTGTGCCTAATTATGTAATTTTTTACCAGACCTTTGGGTTTCCTTAAGCGCTCCCCCCTGTTCTGAATTTTGCAAATATAAAAATCAGGTGGGAAAGTCCATGCTCATCAGACCAGATCTGTAAAATAATGCATGCACGGCTGCACTTCGCTATAAGGCCCATTCACACTATCCGATTTGTCTGATCTAATTGTTTTGGTTCCGACTTTTGGATGCTTGTTATAGCGGTCCGATATTTTTGTTGGCCGGATATTTTAGGAGATAATTATGGTCGTGGAAGTAGCCATTTGTGTTATCCAGTAAATTTATCGATATATTTTGCGTGCTTTTTTGTCAAATCTAATTTTTCGTGCCAAGTATGGAGAGTGAGAATGCTGAAGCTGGCCGGCTTCCTCTGATCTTTTCGGATGAAAATAGAGCAAGTTCTATTTCCATCCAATTTGACTCGACTGTCGAAGGGTCGCTTTATATGTCTTTACATGATTCGTTTTTTAGGATCGGACAAAATCGAATCTGCTAAATCGGATCGTGTGAACGGACCTTTATTCAGGCGACCGCTGCAACTCGATTAAGACGACTCAAACGAACGACTGGGACAAATGTATGAGAACCACCGCTCATCATTTACTTCATACAGCGTTAGCATCTCACTTTAGTTGTCTCCGTCTTGCCAGTGCCGGCGGGGCCTTCAGGTGCTCCACCAAGATTTAAGTGAAATGCTCCAACCAACGTACGATAGCAACGATCAGTCAACGGAGTAATGACCAATCTACGCAATAAAATTATGGAATAAGATCTATGTGTTAAGGAATAGTCCAGGCGGAATACTTAGTGAAAACAATTACTTTGTTGATGCTTATTCCTGTGAAAGTACTAATTCTTATGAAGGCATAGCCCGTAATACTTTCTTTGAAATGAAGTGTCACGGGTTTGTTTGGTTCTAGGACGAATTTAAACGAGGTTTGTACATAAACAAATAAAACATGGGTACTTCAAACCGTGAAAGAACCACTTTCAACAGTCACAGTTAAATCAACAAAACATAAAAAAAAACACTTTCTTCTATTAAGAGATCAGGGGTTTTTTCAACTGGTCGCGCGTGACATATTCTAAATAATCTTATACCTTCCAGAATTTCCCAGGTATTCGTAACCGTAGTTGACCGTTGCATTGATAATTTTCACAAGGCAATTATCATTTTCCCAGTAATAGCGAAGCTGAGACAGCCAATCAAAGTCATTTTCACGCGAGACACCTATGAAAAAGACATTTTTTACATTATATGGCTTATTGCCAGCGGAGTAATAGAAGTTTTGAAATAGAAGTTAATAATAGAAGTTTTGAAAACAAGCGAAAATTTCGATCGATCAATTCTGCATAAAGTAAATGAAAAAAAATAAGTAAACATAATCTTCATGGCGTAAATATTTTTTTCAACACGAGAAAAAAAGAATTTGAACCAATGTCGAACTCGTATGCTCGATTGTTTTTTTTTTCATCTTTGAAATACTATTGACACAGTAGCGAACCATTATAGATCAAATAAATTATAGCTGCTCAATTTTAAATTCAAATTGCATACAGAAAAACACTATTGGTTGTCAGTTTCTAAAAAATTTAATTTTTCAAGGTGTTTAGAAATGTAAATTCATACCAAAATGAGATGCAATGATTTATTTTGACGTACTCTACATTGAGATTTGCAGCATTAAGCGTCTGGGTTAAATGTGACATCAAGAAATGATCAATGGTCAATAATTCCCACAATAAATTTCAATTCTACAAGTCACTAAACACTTTATTAAAGTTTTTTCGGACTTATTCAGAATGTCAATAAGCTGAATGTTCCTTCAAGGACTTAACAGGCCGTTAAAACTTGATAACAACAAATCATGCAAGTTATAGTAGAGATATTTACACCATGTAAATCGAAACAATGCTGTTGAAGCATGCCTAAACCTGGCAAATAAAACTTTAAAAGACTTTACGAGATCAAAAGGAGCTAGCAATGTTCATTCTGTAGCGGCCTATTTCGCTGATTCATGAGTTCCTGTAAATTATGCCTGAGGAAAAACTGCTCGTTCTCCCGTCGGATAGAATTAGAACACTCGACAAAAGGCGATAACTGTTATAGATGCTGTCAAAAATGCAAATTTAGCGCACATATTTTAAAATACACATATTCTCTGCTTTCAGTAACAGTTGCGACTGTCTTGAGTAGTGTCCTTTCTTATTGCAAAATAATTTTTTTATTTATGCTTGAAAAACTAAGTATGTAGATGAATTGTAAATGATGATAGGTGTTGATGATACCTTTCTCCACCATATCTTCAACGACATCCCTTGCGTGCACATCGATTGTGACCAAGGCTCCCAATGTCGTTCTATTTTGCTTCGACAGTTTACCTCGAACAAGACTTACGATATCTTCGAGCTAATGAAATGTTTTACACAATCAGTAACATGGTAACAAAATGTCCCATGTCTGAAATATGACGAGACACATGCTGAAAAAATTCAAGCATCCATCACCGAACGGCAGACGCTTCTATCTCAAATTCTTAAAGTGCTTATGACCACAAATGGGTTTTTTATTGATTCAGATAGTTCTCAAAAAATTAGTTAACAACTTCTACACTAATTTATACAAACAAAAAATATTTCCAGAAGTAATACAGCTCAAACAAAAAGAAAAAACACACACAAAAAGATAGCGCACTCAAAATGCAGGATCTCATGCAAGAATACAATTTCAATAATAATATATATAGAATTTATATTTTAAATTATGTATTGTTATAGAGTTTTATGCATAATAGGCCTTGTTTAAAAGAAAAGATACAGAACAAGAAAAGTAGCTATGTTGTGATATTGGCTTAAATAACTTTCACAGATGTATTCCTAAGTTATAGCTAAGTGTTCGCTTCTTTTTTCTTAAAACCTGTTTTTAAGCAGTAAAAACTTATAAAATATGCATTTTATCAAATTTGGAACTTCTTAAATAACTTTTCGACACATACTAAAATCAATAAAACCAAATGGAGGTCATATATATGCTTTAAGTTCTGCCGAGATGTTGGTTAAGATTTAAAAGCTATAAATAACTTTGATAGATAATTTTTTGAATTTCAAGCTTTCAGCAAAAACAGATACAGATAGAAACTCTTCGGAAAATAAGAAATCCTTTTCCCTTTATGTATTTTTTTCATATTATTTTAAGCAACTTCAAAATATTGCTACAGATATGATCTAGCTACAGAAATGAATAATTTGTTCCGCAAAACAAATAATCAACCAAGCAAAAAATCTTTTGCATTTCTAAAATTAAAATGCTATTTCATGTTAAAAACACGAATCGGAATGTCAATCAATGATTAGAGTATTCCAGGCATTTTTACCTATCAGTTAAGGGAGCGGCCTCCCTTTACTTCTTTGTATTAAACTACAAGTCACTTAGATCAATTTGCACAAATACTAGAGCGCAGACACCTAAATACTATACAGTGCAGATGCCCACAAATTTCTGCCCTTTCCACTATAATAATATGTTTTCACAACCTGCTTGGTCAATTTTTGATGATATTCTTTCAAGCCGTTTTGACCGCTTTTTATCGCGTCGTGAACTTCAGACGTCCAATATATCTGACTGACACAAATAACAACCTAAAAGTTTTTAAAATTAGGAAAATAATGTATATGTTAAATATAACGAGAAAATGCTGGTATGAAGTCAATTGAACAATACTTTAATTTACACTCAATCTAATTGCAATAGCAAGGCGGGATTTCAGGCGATTTTTTTACTGAAGCCACTTTACAGAAATTATTAAACTGCTGTCAGTGGTATACAGCTAATTAGTCCATTTAGTCGTGCCATGCATAAGTTTTGGTTTCACTGACAGCGAATACAATAGATTTTATAGAAATGAATAACAATGTTATAAAGCTAACATAAAATGACTAAAACACGATGGATAGGCTATTGGTTGCAGTAAGCGATAAGAAAAAATCGACATTAATATACTTGCACTTGACAAGATCAAACAAAGATCTATTTCGTGTACAGCCAGTGAACTGTAATAACAACTGAAACGATAAGTCAGGGGGGATTGAAGCCAGATGATGGCAGCCATATAGGTCCTTTTGTAAACTAAATGGCATTTTATATTTATAAAATTCAAAAAGTAAACTTTGCGTTACTTTTTCTAAATACTGTTAAATTTGAAGAATATTGGTCGAATTTATAGAATGTAAAAAAATCGGCCAAAAGTCATACTATTGCCGAAAAATTTAAAAGCAAAGTCCAAAATTACGAAATTTCCTCGCAATTTTTTGTTGCTTTTCCTGAGTTTTTGAAAGTTCCAGGCATAGCTAAACGTTCAAACCACCCAAATATTGTAGTTCTATGTTAAATACACAATCCTACCAAATTTTGTAAAAAATGAGCAATCTGCCGAATAGGAAAATGTGTTTTTCAGAAGCATTTTTCATGCCATGGAACACACGCAATACAAATATGTATACAGTCAGTGGCGGATCCAGGGTACCTCTAAATAAATTATAGCTGCTCAATCTTAAATTCAAAGTACATTCAGAAAAACGCTATTTGTTTTGAATTTCTAAAGAATATAAATTTACCAATGAACTTGTCTCTTAGGTGCTCAGAAATCTAAAGCTCAGTGTGATTAGTAAAAGTGCAAGATTCTCTCAAAGAGTTTTTAAAAAGCTTTTTTTAATGGTGTAAATTCATAAAATCAACATTATATTTTAATTATAAAACCAACACAATGAAACGCGTGCGCTGATTGGTCTAGATGTGTGTTTGCAATAGCCTGAGTAAAGCACATCTGAGCTCAACCTATCAAATCAATCAAAGAGAATTTGCAAATTGTTCACATATACATTTTAGAGGAAAAATTAAATGTTTGTCTTATTTCGCATTATTGTTATCTTACGAAAAAAATAAAAGATGTTTTTCATGTTTGCACTGGCTTATGCAATCCTCGGTAAGTAAACCATAAACGTACTTAATGGTTTACTTTGATTCTTTTAAAAAAATTTCGTAAATCATGAAGAGAAGCTACCAAATAAATCGAAACTAAAATGTCTAATAATTAAAAGCTAATGTCGTCAAAAGCGTTCATATATATGTTAATTTAAAACTGTTATAATGACTACATTACGAAGCTGGTCAAAAAATTACATAATAAAACAGCAAGAATGAAAACAAAGTAGATAACAACCTGTCCAGGCCATTCTGTTACCCAATGTCTTCTTTCCTCAATAGCATATGCCTTTAAAAAACATGTTTTTCTTTATTGTATAAAATAAGTAAATCATTAACACAAAAAGTATGGAAAGAAATATGTCCTCCAACTGAAAAAAAGAAAATCTCACAAACCCAGTTTTGACAAGCTAGTCATGCACTAGTATTCTAATATACATATACGGTAATTAACAAGAAATAAAAAACAGTTGTTTGATAATTTTCAAGAAACTTCCAAAGCTACCGCAGAGTTTACAAAGCAATTTAGCAAATTGAACACTAATCAACAGAACTTTTGTTATGACTAAAACGATCATTGCAGTTTGAATCATAATGAAATTAGTAATTTGTACTGAAATTTGTAGCTTTTTGGTAACTATTAAATGCCAGCTCCTTTCCTAGATGAAAGTTCAATGAGATATTTTTCTCGTTATATCAATAAGAATTAGAATGTGAAATTTCTTTAAATACAACATAACAAATCTGTCACCTCGACTGATTTTCTAATGATGTCTCTGATGCTTATTAACATAACATCTTGAACCTAAGAAAAAGTTCCATCGCAAAATACAAGTTACAAGGAAACCAAAAAGAATTAGCTAAAAGAAAAATGTTAAGAAACTCTGTGGGAATGCTAAGGCAATAAACATCTTACGTGATAAGCTACCAAGCCTAGTAGCTCAAAAGGTAGAGCGGCGGACTAGTATCCCGAAGGTGCGAGTTCAAATCTCGTCCAAGACACATGTGTTTCAGGTGCATATTACAAACCGTGTTAGGATTAATATATTAGAAATACTGCAATGGTGTAGGAATACAGTGAAAACAATAAAAAGTCAATCTAACTTAAAAAACAAAATGAAAGTTTTGGATTTTTTTAGAGTTTTTTGTATCGCTCTCTACAAATTTAAGTGGAGTAAGCATTGAGTAGTTTTGTTTTTAAATAGTTTTTGAAAGAAGAAACACATAAAAAGGTTCTTTCTTCAGCTCTACGACTTCAGCATTTCATATTCATACGAGGGTCGAGGCTTATGGAAGCACCTTCTTTAAATAATAATTTCTAGCACAAATTTTTGATTTTGATAAAATTATTTCAAGTCAAATGACTTTTAGTAAAGGCAGTCAAATAAAACTGAATAGATACCTGCAACAGCCACTTTTCTACAGCTCCTCGTGCTTCAGATGTTGAAATTGTCTCGCTAAATGGTACCTACGAAAAGATGAAAGCAAAAATCTTATGTTAAGAAAGAATAACGAGTAATACATGTCAGACTGTGTTCAGCTAGCGCGCAAAAGTTTTACATAATATTTCACTAAACATACACCATATTAAAATTTAACTAAACTCATTTGATTAAAGAGGCTTGCTCCCTACAGTTCACCTGAAATTTGGGTGTTTCAAGTAGATTTCACTTAAAACATTATTTTGATCAAACATACTCAAACTTTAGAAACATGCACTATGCGGGAATATTCAAGAATGGCAATAAGTCGATAGATGCTTAAATAGGATAACTGTTATCGTTGTTATGGCAACCATGTCTCATTTTCTTTAACACCTTTACTATATTGTTTTAAAACAATTGACCGTATCTTTTTTTCGGTTGGGTGAAATTTTCTGATTTTTTGCGTTATGATTGTCATTCATTCAAAGAACTTTATGTTTGACATTAAAAGAATTGTATGATTAGCTTTTTGTGAAATTTGAGAATTTCGGCTTCATGAAAAATTATTTGAGATTTTGTTCTATTTGGCGTAGGTTATAATTTTTTTGTAATGGCTATCCACAAGAACTTTTAACAAAAATTTACTCAAGGAAAAACGAAAAAATCTTGATTAAAGTCAGCGCAACCAGGCGTTTATGTAAAAATAATCCATTCGATATCAGTACAATAGGTGCATGCAAAGCGTCCCCAGTCCCCTTGCTTAGTAACTGTAGGGAGCCTCCTTAAAAAAATTTGAATAAATCTGTATATCTCGAATCAAACAATTCACCTTCTGCACTTATTTACAAGAATTAGTGAAAGTACAAAAGGAACATAATTTAAACAAAACATTCATAAGTTTATTTGATAATCATACATGACTATTTGTTTTTATGCTAAATGTTTCCATTGCTTTTTTGTGGTGAACTAACGTTAAATTGATTACGCAACTGTTTACATATTATATACTCATAAATGAATTTTAATTTTATGCGCTTTATTAGCTACTAACGACGTTTTTGTTTACTAAACTCAATAGATTCGAATTGATTGAATATTGAACACATTAAATATTAATATTGCTTTGATTAAAAAGAAACAGCTATTTCAATCTGCTGAAATATCATCTGGTAGAAAATTGTAGAAAGCGACTTCTTGCAAGAAAAAAGCAGGTTCCGAAACATGTAGAGTCAAATGTTTGTTTTGACCAAAAACATTACGGAAGACCACAACACGAATTTCTTGTCAATTACAAAACCACAATTAACAATTGCAGAAAACCACAACACGAGTTTACGTTTTCAAAACAGAGAGCGTGGTAAAGGATGCGAGTAATTGTTTATTGCTCAAAAAACGGTTATAATTAAATGACCAATTTTCAACACAATTTTTATGATCAAATTGCTTATTGTTTACAACCATTGTTTTGACGTTCTTCTCTAAATGACCAAATTTGCATGTGGTTGTTTTGACCATTTTAATTTGACTTCTCTAAATGACCATGCAAACTTGAAAATGGTTGTTATGACAAAGCAAATTCCATGGCCTGCAAACATAGTCGTTTCAAACATTCGCTTTTCACTTTGGAAAGTTTATAACTGGTATAAGTTTGTTTAAGAAAACCTCACAATGAATGCACAAAATCTACCATAATATGTACCAAATCACCTTCTCTCCTTCACTACTGAACATGTGTGTAATATCTAGGTTATCTGTGAACTGCAATTTTGCCATTCCTTCAAAACATTTCTTCAAATGTGGTTGAACACGATAAGGATCTTTGGTCTCGGACAGTATTTCAAGCATTTCGTCGTTTGAAAGGAAAAAAAATCTAACAATGAATCAAAGACAAGCATAAATGTTCATGCAGCTGCAAACAAGTATGATAGAATAAAAAAACCATACAAATGGTTGCTATGGCATGCATATGTAAAAATCACACTATTAAAATACATCGTAGCCATTCCCATCGAGATAGACATACCAAGATACCGAGGTCATGCTAAAATGTGTAAAAATCATTTAGAAATTATATAACTGCACCTTGAGAAAAACAAACGTTTTTTTTCCAAGTAGGCATTGAGTCCTTTATTAATTTCTTCAAGCAAATTATTGCTATCTGAAAGACGATCAAGCATTCCTGGCATTGACGTGGCTGCCAAAACCTAGAAAAACATTAATTGCAACACGACAAACTTCAACATGCAACAAAAAAATTGTTAAAAAATTGATGACATTTTTCCGTTTTGTTCTTAGAAAGAAATGAATATAAAGAGTCATTTTGAATAAAGAAAATTGGCCTTAATGTTATTTTCGCCAGTTATTGAATCTTCCAGTTAGTAAAAAAAGGTTTTGTTCCGCAGCTTAGAACGTGTGTTTAACAACGCTGCACAAGATTGAAGTGGCGTAGCGTGGCGTGCTGACATTTCAATATTCTCCATGCAGTCGTGTTATTTTGATCAAGATCAACTGTCAAATAATTGAATTTGTTAGCAAAATTCACGGCAAAAATGTAGCATGCAATTTGTCTAGCAGCTTAGTAATTAATTGCTAACTCAATTTGAGCAAATTTAGGAACATGAAATGCAATATTTTATGAACTACAACATAATAATCAATAAAAAAAACTAAAAACTAATCACGGGTAAAAGCCTTTGCTCCTCACAACCCAATAAACTAGCAGCTTGCCATTAATGATCCCAAAGGTAACAAACGCACGTTTTTGGCAAAACAAGCGAGCTGCGAATAAAATGCATGTATCGCTGACAGGAACTTTCTTCTGAGCAGTTTTTCCATCTTATTATACAATCCACACTTTTTCTCATAGGTATATTACGCGGGGGCAGAGGGGGCATACAAAGCCAGTCAGTAATTTTTACTGGAAAGATGGGCTAATTAGTTAATTCAAAATTGAAAATGTTCCGATGACCCACCCACCCCTATAAAAACTGTTGGCTCGTACGCCCATGTTTTTCCTATTTTTATTAACTTACCTTCGGATCCTTAACAACATATTTCATAATGTCTTTCCAGTTTCTATCCACGGTTTGGAACTTTCGTCCTTCCTCAGGCATCTGTTGCATGATGTCTTCAGAACTAAAGATCGGTTCCAAATACAACCACTGCGCTTGAACCTGACAAAAATATTAAACAAGTAATTGCATAAAATAAGAGTCGAAGTAACAGACTGGAAAAAATATTTGTTCAGTAAACACCACGCAGTGAGTACCAAGCCATCTTAGACCATATACTTTTCCATCAGTCATCCCAGTTGAGTTGGAGATAGTAAAAAAGAAGCTATCTTTCTGAAAGCCAGCTAAAATAATAGGTTTAAAGCTAGAACGTCGATTTTATGTGATTCATTCACTGGCACATGAAAATCTTTATCTTCTATGACTCTATATGTTATGGCCTTTTGGCGCTCTAGGTCAACACACACGGATAATAGGCTTTCTTTCATCCGATTTTCTGAATCAATTGGCAGCATTTAATCTAAACAACCCCACTGCGTAATCTTTGTCATTCTGCACCACTCAAGTGTCTATTTTGTCTATTTCTCAGACTCGTCCACCTTTTGAAATGCCTGAAACCACTTCCTCTTCATGCTACGCCAATATTTTTGAATGGAATCCTGCCATTATTATGTATCATGTGTGTCAACAATAAAACAAAAATCTCAAAGAGATAGCCATGCAGGATGAACTATCAGTAAAATGCATTGCAATCAATTGTGTCCTGCAACTATTATATAACTAAAGTTTTAAACTGAAAAGTGATCATTTAACTGAAAATATTAATGAAAATAAAACAAAAAAATACCAATACAACAATATTTAAAAAAGAAAAAAATTTCGCTTGCACAAATCCTAGTGAAACATGAGTTCTTAAAATTACTTAAATAAATCCCTAGATTTTAGTTGTACTAATTAATGAATTCATTGGCTTTTGCTGTGGCTATAAAATCAATTTCATGCGAATTCTATTCTACTTGGGGGAATTTCAATTGGTTTTTGTATCATGCTGATGATTTTTGATTTTTTTTCAAGAGAATATGCAGTTAAATGTCACAAACGCTATCAAGCAATCAAAGGTGGCAGACCATCTATGTGGTTACGGAGAGGGAGGTATAGATACACTAACTCTCTGTCTGCCAAACGGGCCTGTCACTCATGCAAATCATGCACATTTGAGTTCTCAAATTTTAAAGTAGGTTTACTTTGAAAAGTGTCTCCTTGTGTTAAGTGAGTGGTGTGAACAAGTAAATCAAGTAAATTAAAGTAACATTAGTAAATTTGCATTCGTCAGTCGGCTTCGATGCTTTTGATGTATTCTACACTCTGCTGATAGTATATAAATATCGAACCATAGATGTGTTTATGAAATAGAACATTGCTTGCTATCTTTGGGACAGACATAGCATCTCACAAATACAAAGCATCAGACTTGAACATTTTTGTATATTGAAATGCGTTGACAGCCACAAAGGACTTCTGCACTTGGCAACATGAGATTTATCGCATACATTTTAATAATACTACTTGAGAAGATTTAGATTAAATTAAATGATAAAGAACGCAAATGATAAAAACAGGCAATGTTATTTTTCAAAGGATTGATAACAGATCTTACCTTTAGCCATTCATCGATAATTTCTTGCATTTTCAACAATCGCTCTTCCCATGTCTAACAAAAGTAAATTCAGAATTTTCTTCTAAGTGTTAAAATAGAGACAGGATCATTCTTGCTAACGTTAACGAAATGCATATCAATAAATAAAGAATGTAAAAGCAAAAGCAACCATTTACTATCTCCAATTCTTAGCCCATTTTCACGCGTTAACATTACTGTTGAACATTTTTGGGAAAAATCTGGCATAAGTTCAATGGCTTTAGATACAATGGTAGTTCACTAACTGATCGCTTCATCAAAATAAAGTATATCTATCATGTTTATAGCGTTATGTGTCGATACTAGCAAACAATTTATCGTATATGATCGTCTAAGCATCGTGCAAAGACACTGTAACGAAGGTGTTTCTCTGCATGTGCGAGTGGAAATACGCTCGAACTAAACCAGCGTTGTTTGTATCCGCCATTGTATCAATTGTACATGTTTACTTTCAAGTAAAACAGTGAAAAATTACCTTTATCTCAGTTTCAAATGGTTTGATGAATGGTGAACCTCTCATTGTTTGTGTCTTCACGATCTGATCATCCAATGTTGTCTGTATCTCGTCGACTGCAGCAAGGATGTGTACTCCAGTATCTCTGTACTGTGTTGTATTAAAGACAATTACATCCCAATCATCAACCATTTTCTGCATCGCCTTCTCCAAAGAGAATTCCTTCGTAAAGTGGAAAAGTTTCGTGTGAACAATTTTGTTTAAGGCAACTACGAAACTATTATACATTTATTGGATGAAGTTGAGCATGACATCAAGAATTATTCAGATCGAAGTCATTGTTATCTGACATAGCGAAACTGAGGACGACAACATTGACCGAGGTCTGAATAGTTCTTGATATCATGCTAAAGCCTAGTTCAATAATTGTTTTATTATTCACTTCAACTAATTAAAATATTACTAAAACATATCAATACAAAACAATTTCAAATCTTCGATAATCTTTTTTGTCAGACGGTTTATTCAAGTTCTTGTACTTTAAATATGTTGTAAATACGCTTAAAGCCAGCTTCGCAGCTTTTTTATTGTTTTTTCGCATCCAATTTGTTTAAAAGTTTTTCCATATCGTTTTCAGAAACTGCTGCAAACATCGCTGTTGTTTGACTTTTTTCAAAACAGGCTTTTAATGGCGTCCATAATTGTAGAAACTATTATTTGTAGATATGACTTCATAACTGCAGATATCGAGAAATATTTGCAGGTGTTGACCAATCAAAAGCGACATTGCTTATATATAGTGAATAATAATAAGACTTGAAAATACGCTTTTTCGTCCCGTATGTATTGGAGTGATTTCTAAAGTCGTTTCCAGAAACAAGTTTGAGGTGAGAAATATTTTATACAATTATATACTATAGCTAGACTATCGCCGATATGATTTTAATTGTAATTTTAAATTGCATTCAGTTTCACCCAACATTGTAACCAAAGAAATTCCATCAGGAAAACACAAGACCAAAGTATATTCTTAAAATATTTAAGATATACAAACAACTGCATGATAAAAAGGAGGAAGTAGAAATTGCTCATTTTCGTCTCTTTGAAAAATATGTGAACGAAAAAAATGCCTCGCTTCCCCTTATATTAACTTTTGTTACAAGTAATAAAAGATTTCGTTAACGAGTGTTCCTCATGACAGGATTCCAGGGTGTTCACGTGCTGTGCTCGATCATGTGCCACATTTCTTTAAACGTAATGTTAAATATTGAAATGTTGTAAATGTATTGATCAACCCGACTAAAGCTATGTATAGATAGCAAACGCTCCCATCTCTATTGTTCCACAAACTGAATCTGCGTCGCTAATGTTATCACCAGTAATAGCTACCCTAAGTTATCACCAAAAATCATTTCTTATAATATGAAAATATTCTCCAAGAATTAAATCAACAAAAAGACTGATCAAATGTTCGCTGTAAAAGTACGAACACCTTCCTTACGAAGAGAACGATATTTCAAAACAAATCCCATGCATCACCATCTGCGTAACGTTACCTTACTAGCAGCCACGCTAATGCTCTGAAACTGTTCCATAAATGGACCAAGGTTAAATTTGAGAAACTTTCGTAAAGTGCTTCCTGAGTCAGGAGTTATATTAAAGCCAATTACTTCTGACATCTGCTTCCAATGCCGAGGGCGTATGCCGTGATTGCACAAAGTCGAAATGACTGGTATATTTTCCTACGTGTAAAAAAACGTTGTGATAGCGTGTAGTCATCTTGAATAACACACTTTTTATACGCCAGCGCGATGATTTCTACATCACGGTGTTATAAATTTAGATGAATAAAATGCACAGTCTAGAACCAATTTTTAAATACTTTGCAAATCAATCCTGAAATCAAAGTATATAAAAGTAAATAAATCATAGTAAATAAAAGTAGGTGTGGGTATATTTTAAAAATTATGAGTACTAATCTTTAACACCCGTCGCCTAATCGTGCATGTAATAAACTAATGAAATAAAAGAATTGCAAAAGGTTCCATACGTTTTTCCCGTCTTTATAACATACGCATTGTCGATACGTATGTTATATAATTAAAATAGACTATAAGTAAACATTCTCTTTCTTAGTAAATTTGCTAATATAATGTAAAGTGGGGGTTGAGACACTGTCCCCTTCAAAGAAACGTGGGAGGACTTAACCCACCCACCCCTATCCTACAGTCAGGGATTGAAAGAAATTTCTAGCGTGATGTAGCTCAGCACAATTGAAAAAAAACGATGATCATTTGATTTACCTTAAAGTTGTCAATTTGATTTCGAATAGTATTCACAACATTTACTGCAGCTTTTTCTTCGCTCTTGCTTCCTTCATCTTTTGAGTCGAGAATTCTAGACTTCTTGTCTTTTTCATCTTTTTTCTTGCTTGCAAAGAGTTTGGAGATTTTGTACATTTCACGGCCATATTCCTCAGCCTGCAATGTTTTTTAACACGATGATGAAAAATTCCATTTTGATGATGATTTTGTCGCTGTATATCAGTCATGATATACTATACATGACAAAAGCTACCTCAGCTTCAATAAGTTCCGGTTCCAGCTCCATGAAATCGCCATCCATCCATTTTTTTTCAGCCCTTTGCCATTTGAGAACAGTAGTAAATAACTTCAAGTAAGGATCAATACTTTGTTGGATAACTTCCAGCTGGGGATACGTTGTCTGTTCCCACTTGAACAGTTCTTCTTCCTACAGGAAACAAAATGGTGTTTTAATAACAAAATCGACTAACCGAAGTTGAAAATACGTTTTTCCCGTCTTTATTAGTTCAGTGTTTACATCACCTGATTGATGAAATTGATGGATTCAGAGCAGTCACTTAATTTTCGTTGTACTGTCTGAACATCTTTCACATATTGCATCATCATCTCAAGATCACCATATTCACCAAATTCTTCAACGCGCCTAAAAATTAAATATTTTCTAATGACGACTAGCAAAAATAAATAATGTTGTGAAAATTTCAAACCATGGCGTCAAGATGTTTGGAAAATCGAAAATAGTTTAACAATCGATTCAATTTTTGCATACAGAAACAAAAGTCGGGTTTTCCAAAACAGCCCAGGTTTTTATCCTGAAAAACATTCGTTTTGGTGTACTATAATATACGCGCATGAATCTTGAGTCGATGCGATGCTTGTTTACAATGTCTCAAACTTTATGAAATTTACAACGTAATCTGGCCCAGCACATGGAATGCAAACAGCTATTTTGATTCTTAGCACAAAAAATTTACTTTTGGAGTGATCTATACAATAAGCTTCGAGTTCATTTTGTAGTGTAATTGCTTTTCCTCTCATAGCTATATAAGTTATATTCATATGTCATAATAAAAGGTTATTGATATTGGAAGCTCGGGCAGCTCGATTCGTTTGTTTCATATAAAACAAGTTCAAAATTCTTGATCATCTACATTGGACATCAGAAGGATAATTCTGCTCACTGATGCCGAATGTTCGAAACACACTAAACAAAAGCATCGCAATGAAAACTCATAAACACATATCAGCATTCTTGTACCTCTGTAGTTTTTCCAACTCCATCATAACTTTTTCACGTTTCTCGGTCAAAGCATTCTCTGCTCTTTTTTGAGACTTTACAACAATCTTAACAAAAGTTTAAGATTGCAGTCAACTCATTCATGGTTCTATTACATGAAATAAGAAGTTTAGTCTTTTGGTGGTAATTTCCAGTGATTTAAGTCCTGCTCTTATAAAATATGTAAGAATCTCATACCAATGCGAGTGATGTTTAATGCTCGTACTCATATATAATATTCATGTCACGATTTGGTTCTACGTACACTGTCGCGCAAGTTGTATATGAAGCTCTGTCCTACTGATTTGTTTTGAAAGCAGTTTCAGTTCAAGCAGTTGGAAATCTTTGTTTACTTAGAACAGCCGCCCGTTTTTTTTTGAATTGAATAGAAGTTTGTCTGGCTTTCACTGCTTTTTAGCCTGAATGAAGCAACAGTATTTACTGTGCAATTGCAGCTTTTCTACAGTGCAATTACAGCTTTTCAACGGTGCAATTGTAAACTTTCAAATTGCAACTACAGATAAATTGCACTTATGAAAAATCACATGAAAGAATAGCTCGTATAGACACAACATCTTAACACTTTGTACAATTCTACCTCATCATTTCTATCAAACACAGGTCCAATTTCCTTTGGCCAATTAAGAACTGTACAATTTAGTTGTATATCTTCGGCGGTAAAAGAATATGACTCCAACAAGTAAGAAAGTTGGCTTTGTGATTCCTGTTTTAAAAAATGTAAAAGGAACAAAATTACCAATGGCCATCATTCAAAAGAAGTGCATATTGTCGGGAAAAATCTCTCAGCAAACTTTTTAATTTCAATTGACAAATCTCTAAAAGTTAGTTAACGACTTCTAGCCTAGTTCATACGTGCAAAAAATGTTTCCTGAATTAATACAGCTCAAACACAGTTCAAGTGCACCCAAAGTCCTGGATCCCAGAAATACACTTTTAACAACACTATAGAAATAGAATAGTAAATTTTGAGTTGTCGTAGATTTTTTTGCAAAGTTTTTTACAACTGTTTAAACAGCGTTCAGTTGAAAACTATGTTGCGACATAAACTTAAATAATTTCCGCAGATGTTTCCTGGGTTCCAGTACTTCAGTGTTCGATGTTCTTTTCAAAAATGTGTATTTGAGCCGTTTTAACTTTGGATATACGTGCACACTTTACCCAAAAACAAATTTGCAAGTTGTTGAACAACTTTTTGAGAACTATCAGAATTCTCTTTAATAAAATCACACTTGAAATATTATAGAAATATCTTAACTGACAAAAATCGTGATATATTCTATACTACATCGAGTGACAGATCTTAATTGAAATTATCACGATGACGTAGTTGTTTCAGAGCAAGCGCAATGTTTAACTAATCATCGAATAAAAAGATCAAAAATTTTAAATTGAGCATCGTCGATGCCACTAAACTTGCCTTAATCTGTTCGTTAAGTTTGACCAATTTTGATGTTTTGGCATCTTTGATAAATTTCATCATATCCGTCATTTCTTGCGTATCTTCAGGAACCTTTAGAGCCCGCTCTTTGATATCTTCAAACTCTTTGCATATGCTGCAACAGATAACATTTATAATCTCACTTAAGGCATAAGAAAGAACGGCGTTCAATTTCCAAAATCGAATTGAAATTTCATATGAGACATTTGGTTGAGAAAGCTGGCATCAAAACAATGATTTAGACTCTAAATTTTAGAGCCCAATCCACTCGATGTGGAAGTACAGACATTGTCCACGTGAGGCAAGAACGCCATTTTGATAAGCAAAAGGAAAGTTTAAAAAACCAATCCTCTCGAGCAATTCAAAAACCAAACCTAGCCTATCAACTTTGCAGCTGTATATCAACTCAGAAAAAGCAAATTTTAGTCATAAATATTGTCCGTTTCATCCACCTTTTAAAATAGCGGCTTGCCTCATTCGTAACTGCCAAATTGCGGCACATTCAGGTATCGTGTACATTTCGTTCTAGCTCATTGCATCAGAAAGGTTTGTTTCTCTCGTGGTACTAACCACTGACCGTGGAAAGTATAGCAACTAGACAGCCGACTGTCGTCTGTCATCTAATGAAAATATGTTTTCACAAAAATTTCATGTCTCCTCAGCTATATCTTATCTCAAAACCTTTATCGTTTAAAAAATCAATCAATACAAGAACACCTAATACTATTAAATTGAGCACTTAGCTAAATGCTGTTAGCAAGAGCCAATAAGATCATTCTTCCTGAGTACTTGATAGTGGAAAGAAGACAAAGATAAATATTCGGAAAACTTGAAATCTTCATGGAAAATTTTTTTTGAGTATATCGCTTGATGTCAAGTTGCTATAGTTCGCTATTCGCGGTCAGTGACTGCTATAGAGAAATGACCTCTGCTGACGATTTCAGGACAATTTTGATGGCGTGTTAGGCAATCCAGGAACTTCTATCTTTAGAATGCAACTCGTATTACGACCATGTTCCCTAAAGTTACGATACCGGAAGTGTGCTTCGTCACAAATTTCGGCTCGTCGTCACCATTAGTAAACCTTTAAATTCCACGAAAGTCATCCAAGATTGATCACAAATAAAAATCATTTAGAAAACTTGTGTAGATATAAATACCTCAAACTCTTATTCCTATGGTTTGTTGCAAGCCGCTTGAGCAGTTGTTCGGCAAAACTGTGAGATTTCGATGCCAAACCTCGTTTTAAGTCATCACAATTCAGTTCCACCATATCAAAAGATACAATATTTGGTAACATAGACACTTGACGCGCAAGATTGCGATAAACTTCTATCTCCTGAAAGAAAAAACAGATCAAAAAACGAACGGTTTACTTTTATTTAAGGCATCAAAACGACTCTTTCAAAAATTGAAACTTTTATTCTATGTCAGCATGTAGGTAACAAGAGGCAAAAGATTCCCATGCCATTTATCGCCAATGTATTCACTTAAAATAAGTGCCTGTATCAACGTCAGGGAAATGACTTTTTAGATAGTTAATTTATTGTAAAGTGTTTATCACACCAAAGTTTACCACAATGTTTTTTGATTGCATTGTAAAGGCAGTTTAAAATGACTTAATAACTTCTTTAAAAGAATTTTCTTCTTTTTTTCTTTTTGAAGATTCGTAACTTTTCTGCAATATGTGTAATTAGCATTACGAAAAACTAATTTTTGTCGACAGTTAGCATTAAAATATGTTATTTTGCTTTCTTTTCAAACAATTATGTACACATGTGTTCATTAAGCTATTGTCTTTGTTTATAAAACGTTTTAAAGATGCAAAAAACTCTGTGATGTCATAAAAATGTCATTTGAATAAAGAAAAAAAGTTGAACATCTCTTAAACAAAGTACAATAATTCAATTCTACTATAGAGGTTATCCAGTCATAATACATGATCTATCCAACGGAACCCAAAAAATTTGTGATAAAATTTGTGTCATAAACACTTTAAGAACATTTGCAATATATTTTGTTGGACGAAATGGCTATCTTTATGAGAACTAGATGACCCGGCACCGGAAGTGAGGCACATATGAGACCACATGTATTAAAGATAAAGCTTTATTTATAAAGGTTTATGGTAAACAAATACGTCTAAGAGGAAGACCCGTTTGGACGTTATTTCCCACTGAAATTCAATAATATTATACGATGTTTATATTTTACAATATTCTGGATTGCGAAATATCCAGAGTTTCAGAAGCTGTGTGTGCTTCGATGTATACAGAGTTACAATTGCGCGCACAAGTTCTTTAGGCAAGTCCACAACAATGATGCGTCCAACGATTAGTTACCACATACTTCACCATGTTCTTTAGTAATGTTCATTGCCAGATGGATCAAATCGGTTTTGAATTGCGCTGGCATTGATGCGGCTATATTTATTCTATGGGCATTCAACGGCGTCAACCTCCAAGGCTAGAGTAGCTGGGGTGTCACTGGAGGAGATCATGAAAATGGCGAACTAGTCGGGAACCTCCAACTTCATTCGTTTCTACTATCGACCAAACTTTGACCGTTCATATGCGAGAGCAGTTCTGTCCCAGGCGCTGTAATTATCGCGTTTAATTTGGACAGATTGTTTTAAACAAGCGTTGTTATATCGAACCTCTGTGTTTGATGTATAATTGAAAATTTTGCAAGGGCACGCAGTGCCAAAAATCCCTCCCACCCTACCATCACGTCCCGTTATGTTTTATTTTCAGTTTTTTCCTCTGCTCTCGGGAATCTCTATCGCGGTCTTATGATTGTCTTGAAGCTCGTTTATTTGAGACTCATTTAAGGCCATTTTTGCCCCTTTCTATGGTAGTCTTTCTTTTTAATGTACTTATATATTGGATTTTGTAATATTTATAGTATTTAGATTAGTAAGTTATCGCTGATTACGAGCTGAAGTAACGGTGCTAGGTGATTAGACTATGACGTTATATTTTAGAACTTAGTCTTCATCAGCTGTGTATTGCGAGTTATGAGGAATAAAGATTTGTTATATCTTTTCAATTTTCGGTGTACTTACATTTGTGTAATCTTCAAAAGTGTGATCAGCATCGAGAAACTTTTCAATGCTACTTTTCGCCTCTCCAGAAACGAGCATCTTGTAGCAATCTAAATTTTGAGGACAATTACACAAAAATAACGAGAAAATAGCATTGCTGTTGAACACGACAAACAAGTTTTACTTCATTGCAGGCGTGAAACGTTGTCGAGCGGCGGATTTCTGGTTATACACATTTGCAGTCCATAAAAAACCGCACTAGAGTATGTTTTGCGTAATTGCACGAGAAATCATACAAGTAATATACTTTGATATTTTACAAAACGTCGCCTACTTCTGTCTTGCTTCGTAACTCTCTGTCTTTTCAAAAAAGCATTATTGCGCGACCCAACTTTTATAAACATTTACCACAAAACAAGTTGTGTTTTTATTCTTTGCATTGTTTCGTGATTCTAGAATTTTAGTTGATTGCAATTTTGGAAAGCTTTTGAATTGAAAAGAGGTTTGTTCGGGTTGCACTGCTTTTCAATCAATCAGGTTACAGTACTTACAGTGCAATTAAAGCTTTTCTAAAGTGCAATAATACAGATAAACTGAACTGTAATTAAATAATCAATGTCGAGAAATTTATTGTACATTGGTATTTATTGTACAAATAAAGTACATTGTTACTTGCGTAAGCAACATTTCAGTTACCCATTTTAGTTTGAGTTTTTTTGTATTTTTTACAACAGAGAGAAAATATCTTTTAACCTTACTCAAATTTTTTTCAATTTAAAGTTACGTTTGTGTTCCTTAAACAAGTTTTTTGTCGTTTTGGCGTGAAAACTAGATGGTGAAATCTCGACAATGCAAAAGTGGTTATTCTACATCCTCGAAGATGTTCAACCTACCAAATCTAGACAAATAGTTCACAGGTTCCTCAAGATTTTCGTCTATTGTCGCAGACAAAATCTTTTTGAAATCTCCAATAACAGCTTCGTCTATCTTCGCCTCAACCGGAATTGTTGTATTGCTACCAGAGAGCCATGACTAAATATGATTCATAAATATTGTACTTCACACTGCTTCATAATAGGGCGCCATGATTTTTCATCTGCATTTTCTTTTATTCGTGAAGTGAAAACCGCATTCATTACACATTGCATAAAACCAATTTGCCCTAAATTGAGAATTACAACTGGAAGGACGTGTTGCGCTTTGCAAACAGTTGTAATTTTTAGCCTTGAAGTTTTGGCTACTTTCAATCCTTTAAAATAATCGGGTTACCTCGCTATCCGGGCCAGCTCCTCTCCATATAGTCAGGCTCTTACTCAAACATCGGTTACTACAAAATTCGGCCTATATGCCATTGCAACTTATCGGTAAATGTGAGTTTTCCTCAATCGGCTCATCACAGATGAAAAAAAAGAAATATTGCCGAAACATCTTCTTTAGTTAGCACAAACCACATATATGTTTGTAAATGTAGATCGTCCAGGTTGGTACAGTCCTGAGAAGGACTGTTTTTGTTGTTGTTGACTGACGTTTCGACAACCTTAGCGGTAGTCATCTTCAGAGTCAAATGAGGAGTAAACGTCAGGTTAGCCGTATTTGTTATCTGGTTATTACGTCATTGTATTGTGTGTACAGGAAATGTGTATTGTCATTGTGAATTAGTGTGAAGTGAAATATTTTTATTTTTAGTTGTGATGTGTGATTTAGGTGTGATGTTTTTAGTTGTAATGGGTGGGTGTCAATTGTGTATTGTCATTGTGAATTGGTGCGAAGTGTAATGTTTTTAGTTGATCGTTTGTTTGTATTGTGAATAAGTCGTTTGTAAGGTGCCGGTAATTGCTGTGATCTGTTCAGGGGAGTTTGTTCCAAGTTGGTATACCACCTTTCTAATGTAAGCCGTTGTCTATAGTCAGTACTGTAAGTAATGCATTTTGCCGAGTCCCAGTCAATGTTGTGCTTTATGATTCGGTGATGTTCGGCAATGTGATTAGTTTTGTCTTGTTTCTTAGTAGCTCGTTTGTGTTCAGTAAGTCTAATGTTTAAGTTCCTACCATTTTCCCCGATATAGGAGGCGTGGCAGTCGGAGCGGTTAATTTTGTAAACTGTACCTTGTCGTTCGTTGGGTTGCTTTTTGTCCATTATGTTCGTTAGTACTTGTCGTAACGTTGTGATTGGTTTATGTGCGACACGTATGTTGTATGGTCTTAAGATACGCGAGACAGTCTCAGACGTACCTTTGGTGTAAGCTATCGTTGCTGTTGTCACTGAGTTGTTCGTTTCGTTGGGTTCGTTGGGTTTGTAAGTGTGGCGTTTGATAAAGTCAGAGTTATAGTTGTTTTTGTCAAAAACACGTTTGAGATAGTTGTTTTCATTGTGTAGAGCCTCCGGTGAATCACATATGGTCTTGTTAATGTTCTGATTGTGATTGGTCTAGTAGTCGGTCAGTATGTGTTGGCTTGCGATAAACTGTTGTTCGTAGTTTTCGATTGTCATGTTTTACCAAACAGTCGAGAAAAGGAAGAGTTCCGTTTTCTTTGACATCTTTGGTAAATTGTATGTGGCTGTTCTGTCTGTTGATGTGAGTGTGAAAGTCATCAATCTCGTCTGCATGTAGTGCTGTAATTGTGTCATCTACGTAGCGAAACCAAAAAGGTAGCGCATGTTTGTAAGTCGTGAGCGCCCTTTCCTCTATAGATTGCATTACAATTTCAGCAACTACAACAGAAACGGGTGAGGCCATTGCTGTCTCATGTAATTGTTTGTAGTGTGTACCTTTGTACTGGAAGTAAGTCGAGGTGAGGCAGAGCTCCAGTAGCTCCATAATGTCTTCTGTCAGTAATGGCAGTACGTCCGTGGTGTTTGTAATGAGGGTTTTTGTACAAGTAAGTGCCAGATTAAGTGGAATACTGGTGAGCAGTGATTTCACATCAAAAGACACTAGTATATAGTTGTCCGGTATTTGTATAGTGCTCAGTTTTTTAATGAAAGTTTCAGTGGATTGTAGCTTGTGTTTTGATTTGTTTGTAAGTGGTTGTAGTATGTCAGTCAAGTACTTTGAGAGTTCGTAAGTACGCGAGCCACAGAATGATACAATTGGTCGCATCGGTATTTGTGGTTTGTGAAGTTTTGGTAGTCCGTATAGTCTGGGTGGTGGTTGTACTGAACATCTAAGTCGATAGTTCAGATATAATGTTAGATTTTCTCATAGAGAAGATCTTGCTGTTAACTTTGCGTACTAGTGATGGTGTTGGGTCTCGTTTGAGTTGTTCGTATGTTTGAAGTGATCATTCCTGTCCATGACCACAGTCACACGTCCTTTGTCTGCTAGTAAAATGACGATGTTGTTGTCGTGTTTTAGTCGTTTGAGTGCTTGTTGTTCGGCCTTTGTCAAGTTGTTGTCACGTATAGAAGACGATTGTAAAGTGGAGGCTATCCTGCTTCTGATCTCGTCATTGGTTGTCTCTGAAAAGTCTCTTTGATACGCTAGGACAACCTCGACACTTGATACTATCGTCTCACTCGGGATTCGTCTAGGTGTTATGGAATGTTTTAGTCCGTAAGATAGTAGTCGCGTTTCAGTTTCGTCTAATGAGCGGGAAGAAATATTCCTCACCCAGTTATCGTCATGTTTATGTCTTGTACGTGTTTTAGTTTGTTATAAACGTTCAAGTTTTTGTTGTTGTTTGATTTGGTGTTGTGTCTCTGTCTTGTTTGCTCGTTTCTCTGCAATAGTTTGTATGGTAGAAAGTAAAGTATCATTTACTGTAGTTGGTATGAATTCCTTCAGTTTGTTCAGTCTTTGTTCTTGTTGTTTGGTGTAATAGTTGATTCGTCTGTGACAGTCGTTAATCCGTGCTCGTATCAGTCGTCTGCAGGTGGATTTGACAATCTGACTAGCCTCTTGTGTGTTCAACGGGGACATAATTCTAAGTCCTGCCAGAACGAGACCAAAATCCTTGCAGCGGGGGTTGAACCAGAGTTGTTGGCGTATGCGTCTGACGTTGCTTACAAAACGTATGTAGTCGTTTACATTTACATAGATACATACCTGCACCGTCGGGACATTTTGCATGGTGTAAGCAATTGTATCGATCACGTGATGTGCTACTGCCTGGACGTCACTTAGAACAGGATAAAACTGCATATTGTCATCGTCATCCAAAATGAGTTCTAGCTTAAATCTTGGAAGTTTATGTCCATTATTTTCTTCGAATAAGTTCACCCACGCTTTGATGGAGCGAATAAGAATTTCCTTTAACTGGAAAAATACCGACACATTGTGCAAGTAAATCATACACACCAAACGTTTTAGACATATACATACGCAAAAGAACCCAGGAAGAAAAAACAAAATTTTTCATTGTAGTCACAATGCTTGCATTGATTTTTGTTGAAACACTACACTTAGATAGAAGTAACATGTTTATTTTTCTGTTATATAAAAAGCAGTCTGTGTAATGTTTTCTTCACTTCAAAACTTTTTCTGAAAACATGGCAGTGAGCTACATAAATTACAAATAGGAATTTACTCTGTGTTAATCCGTAAAACTAGATGTTTATTTACATCTTACTTTACAAAAGCAAAATATTTTTGTTTTGTAAACAAGTATCCTAATCAATAAATGAACAAGACCAACATCGTATTAGTCGGTAAATCTCCTCTTCTCGCAGTACGCACTTAACCTGCTTGCTTCAAACGTTGCTTATTTGAGAAAGAATTTGAGAAAGGTTTTATAGTAGAAAGAATTTGAAAAAAGGTTTTATAGTAGAAGCAAATTAAAAATATGCATAGGTTATTGTAGTATAACATATGACACTGACCTGATTTGATACAAGAACAGAGACGCTATTGTAGAACGAGTCGAATTGATCAGGCTTCAAATGCTTCAACATATCTTTATCAACGAACACTTTGACGATTTCTGGAAACCAGCTAATAAAAACATGACGTGTACTTACGTTTATGGAATTTTTGTTCATAAAATAGTTGAAAAGATTTCACAGAAATGAAAAAAATCTGCACTCTGACTTCCTCAATCTTCTATGCACTAATATAAAATTCAAGGAACCTTCTTTTTCTGTTTGCGCTAACCGCTAACAAACTTTTTGAAAAATTATCAAATGCGGATCTATAGGGTATGTCAAAATAAATTACTGTAGCAGATTTTGGAATATATTTACATTTCTACGTCCTTACAGGCAAATCGAATGCAGCGTTAGTCAAAATAAATTATAGCTGCTCAATTTTAAATTCAAAGTACTTTCAGAAAAAAACTATTCGTTTTGAATTTCTAAAGAATATAAATTTACCAATGGATTTGCATCTAAAGTACTTAGAAATGTAAATACATGCCAAAATGTGCTGCAGTAATTTATTTTGACTAGTCCTAGATCCGCCACTGAGTCTATTAGTAAATTTATAATCTTTAGAAATTCAAAACCAATAGTGTTTGATACTTTATATTTAGAACTAAGCAACAAACACGGGATCCATTATTGAAATTCACGTTGATTGAGAAAGAGCTGTAGCATAGGGTTTGCCTAATACCTGTGCATGAGCTTTTCCTCCATTTTTTCGCAATCAAGAGTGACATTATTTTTTAAATGTTGGCATTCTATAGGTCCTTGCAATCTGTAAAGGAACATCAAGATCAATAACCACAAAAGATGAAGAGAATGCATAAGATTATATTATACGCAAAGCAACATTTGCAAGGAGAGTAATTGCTCCCTTTTAAAATGTGAAAAAAAAAACATTCAACTCATAAACCACAGAAAAATATAAAACATGAGATATACTGAACTAGCACCACATCTGATGATCACAAGATGATCGCTGTGTAATAGCTAGCTATAGCTAGAAAGTTTACTCTAGCAATGTAAATTTTAGATGACCATTATTATTCATTACTCATGTCTTTATAAATGTATTGCTTTACAGTAAGACCAAAATATTCCTACATTTAGTACAACTAGCGTCAAAACCGGCCCTACTTCTACAATGCAACATTTTCAGCAAAACATTGTTCTTTTTAAGAAAATGAATTCCACACATTGTTTTTCTTGTGACCGAACATAAAATTATTTGCATTAAAGGACACATGCAAGCTAGAAGACAACTTTATTTTATAGTAATGCCTATAGCGTGAAAATAAGACGTACCAAGTTTCAAAGTCGTCCGCAAAATATTTCAAAAGATATTTAGTGTTATAATCGGTAAAAACACGATATTCGATGACAATTGCTAAAACGCCGTGAGATTGTTTAAGTCTGGGAACTGGGAAAGAGTGACGTATTAGTTGACATAAACAAGCATCGTTCTTATATCGTTCTTCATCGTTCTTATATCGACTTGCACGCAGTTCTTGCACGGCTTTCGGTAGTTTGCTATTACTGTTTTTTATTTATCAAAAATTAATGGATTCTTCTGAAGAAGATGCCGATTATGATATTGTCATCAATAACAATGAGGTACAACCTTACATGTTTGAGCCTTTGGCCAACGCGCAAGGTGGTCGTAGTAATGACAATTCTCCGTCATCGGAAAGCGAAGATAAATACATTCATAGAATTGGAAATGTTGAATGGTTAGTTGCATTTTATTGATTCTTCATAGTTTTTCCCAAAGTAAAAACAATGTTTTTATCTTTCATTTGCGAGTGGTGCTTTTGTGTGGTCATGAGTACAGGACGGGAAATTATATGTTGCCAAGAGGTAAACAATACTGATCCTCTGATACATGGCGATCATATTTGTATCACACAAGAGGAAGAGTTTGCCACAGTGTGTACAAACGAAGCTGTCGTAAAAACAGCTATGGTCGTGTACACACATGACATTGGACCTATGCCTGAGAGTGAAGAAAACGATTGAGAGTCTGATCCATTGTAGCTATTGCTCATCGTCGACGTGCTTTCTGTATCAGACCATACAGCGCTGTCCTCAAAATGTTCAATTTCACATGACGTCGTCTGTGTGCTATGATTTTTTGTTGAAATTAACTCAACCTTTAGATAAAATCATCGTATTGCTGGATTTTTCACAAAAATCAAAACGGCCGAAATGGAAAGTCTATACCTCTACTTATCATATTTGGCACTTTTGTTTGAGTGGTTCTTGACATTACGTGTTTATGCGGACGGATTGTTATGGCTGCTTGGCATTTCACATTGCGCTTCTAAGGTACGTTAAGGAACTTTCTATGAGTTAAAATAACAAAGAAAAGATCAAACGACATTAGTCTGAATTAGTTACCACTGTATATGTTTGTGTTTCGCTGTCTACATATATTTTGACATCTTTATCTTAGACAAACTTCCTTTGAGGTAAAACGCACAAACATTTCGAGCCGATGTCGACACATCGTGGTCGTCGCCTACAAGAAAGTCGTCATGTTCTGCAAGAACGTCGTCAATAATCTAAAGTTATAAAATTGTCCTCAATTTGGTAATGCTATATAGCTTAGTTTTTGATAAATGTAAACAAATATTGCAAACTATAACTATAATAATCACCTCTTGCCTTCGTCTCTTCTCAAATGCAGTTCTAACATTTGTTGGCTGCTTCCTTTTAGATGCTACACTTGTGGGTTCCACAGAGTATTAAAAAATCGTGGATACAGCATCCTTCTTAAGGCGAAGCCGTCCTGCTGTCCATCGTACTGATTACATCGCTTCAAAATTTTACACGAAGCACGAACTCTCGAAATGTTGCGAGCACAATTTTGAGCTCTTTGTTGGCTTCAAATTTTTGCGTCGGATTTTTTCAATCCAAATATGTCGCATGCGCTTGTTTTCGGGAAACGAAAAAAGAAACCTTTTGCTGCGTTTGGTGGTTCTTAGAAGAGCCGTTTTTATAATTAAATACGGCACAATAAACCATATTTTCAATGCTAAATTGTCGTGTTGTTGATGCAGGCAAAGAAGTTACCAATATATTTTGAACGAAGCGCGCAATTGACCGCGTTTAGCTCATGTCAACTATTACGTCACAACGACCTTTTTCCAATCGGTAGCCGTCGTTAGCTCGTCGGGCATTTTTAATACGTTATCAGTGAAGCATCAGCTTTAAACCTACATATCTTCAAAAATATTTATCCTTTGAGTCTCAAACTTTGGTGAACTATTAGTTGGAGCTATACCTTTATGTAAAGTACAAAAATAACAATCCGAATTTTATGTTGCATGTGTCCTTTAAAGAAGTAAAAAACGGGCTGGCTTTGCTACACTTGCAGGCAGGCTACATCAACTGCATGTTCGATGATAAAAAATTCTTCTCTACACAAAAACACGACATACGTAGTGCTTCGAAAAAATACTCACTGGTCACACATTGTATTAAAAAAGCGTTTCTTTAACATGCAAAATTCTTTGCTCTTTGCAGTCAAGAGCAAAATTAGTCTTGACTATAAACCACCGCCAATTGTTCGACTTTTTGTGTTTTGACAAAAACAAATTTTACAAAGTGGACAATTTTTCATGCACTTGGCATGATTTGTCTGCTGAATCAATGACCTTTTCGTACCTTAAGTTTGACAAATCAACAATAAGGAGATTTGCATATGTCGGATTTTGACATATTTTAAGAATGGTCTGCATGGAATGATGCAACACATGAAGATTATTTGCAATCAACCTCCTAGCTTTACTGAATGTGTCTCGCCAAGGACTTGAGAAATCCAATCCACTAAAAAAGAATTAAGAATTCCATGAGAATTTTCATTCATCATGGTGTTCGAATATTGGGGCAAGTGAATAATATTGTCGCGTCATTTAGCACGTCAAATCTGAACAATCCATAAGAAAAATAATCAATGCACTAATATACTCGATTATATGTAGAAGGCACACCCTGCGGTCATTCAGCAAGTATATGCTGTACATAACTCGGAATAATTGGCGCTTTTACAACTCCTTAGCGGAGTCAGTAGCGTAGCCGGCAGCAGGTTCTACTCTTTCCATGAAAATTTCGGACATCAAATCATATATTTCTTCATAAACCAATTGTTTTTTCATGCAGTGAATTAAAAAAGAACTATTTCCATAGCAGTACCAAATATAAGGGTTGGCTACGCCACTAAGCTAAGTCACATGCAAACAATAAATACTAGACAGTGAGTCCGATGACAAATTTCAATTGAGATATAAAAACTGCAAAAAGCGTTTATTTTATCGGATGTGTTACCCATGCACTTACACAATATCGTCTGGTAGATCTTCATCATCTTCGACGCCCTTAACATTTGGCTTTAACAAAATATGTTGCACTGAAAAGATCAAAGAAAGGAAGGAGAAAAGGTTAAACAACGGAATTACAGGTGGACAGTGCTCATGTTTCAAATACAAACAAGCAAGAAAGTTACAAAATTCTGTTACATTCTTCGAGTGTTGTATACATTACGCGAGTTAAAAAAAACTATGTCTTCACTTAGCTACATAAATGGTTGCATATACTGAGAAGCTTCATAATGGTTTGATAAAGGTGGATAAATGCATGCAAGATATTACACAGTTTTATCCAGACATTTGGTTCTTTCTATTTTTCCTTACCAGACAAAAACTAACCGGTGGTAGAACTTAAAATAACCGGGGGGAGGGGCGAATTTCCTGTAATATCGGCTTATGTATCTTGAAACCCTATAATATAATCTCGCTGCCTTCACGCATGTTGTTTGATTCGCCCACGGCCAGCCTACGGCCTATACGGAAAAAATATGGATGCCACATAAATATTTCCCATTGAACTAAAATACATGGAACGTTACCTGTAATACAAAACCCTAATAATTTTATGAAGCAGTGATTCTACCCCAAACACGCGTGTGTAGTAATCAATTTTCAATAAAAAGTAATCCTTTTAATTACCTCGTTTTCTCGGTCTTTACTGAGAAATATCGGACCTCTGTCTTTTTGTACAAACTTTCTGTACAAAAAGACCTCGGTCCGATATTTCCCCGCAAAACATCGCGCTCAGTTATTAAGGGCTTCTTAAAAATGCTACGACGTATATACGTCCTTAGGTGCTGATTTATCACAAAAAGAACGTACATTTACGTCCTTGGTGGCGACTAAAATTTGTAATTGCTAAAAATTTTGATCGTAACTATAACGTTTACGAATGCCGAAGCAATGGCCCGACTTAGTAAAAGATGTCTTCTACATGAGAATTTTAAGAAGCGCCCCTTCATAAATTCTTAACTAAGATTGAGCAAAAATGAGAACGGCAAAATTCAAAGTTGGTGGAAATAAATTTAAAAACAACAGCAAAAGTAGAAAGTTCGCCATGCATATGCTCACGGTGATGTTCGATATCTTAAACCTGGTTCTCATATAGTCGTCCGTGTCGTTTCAGTCGTGCCAAAAATTCATAGACGACCCGTGCGACTATAGGTATGAGAACATTTCAAAGGCGAACGGGATGACCTCTAATGACTCACACGATTGAAACGACCAGGGATTGCTTGGATAGAATTTGCTCTATCCGGACGAACGAAACGACCGTCGAGAAAGGCAAGCGACCTTTTCATGGCGCAAAACGATTTGAAGAAGCAAAGAACTAGCCAAAGGACTTTGTCTTTGATAAACAGCAGGCGCCATTTTTAAATGTTTCCAGCAAAAATTAAATAGAGCACAGTCTCTCGGCAGCGTTGGTACGAATATATGAGAAGTATAATAGCTTGAGTCGTCTCAGTCGTTTTGAAAATAAACGAAACAACTCGCCTATTGTATACGCCTATTGTAAGTACATTAGAAAATTATTTTCAAGCCCAATTAAATTGAATGAACATAGTTGCCAGCCCAAAATGGTCCTATGCTATACATAAATGTCGGAACATCATCATGACCAATTTTATAAGAAGTTGATTGCTTTTGCAGGGCCGTCAGGAGATCGAAGATTGAAGAGAGGTGATCATATTCATATATGAATGATATGCAGAATTATATTCCTTTGAAATTCATTGTTTTCAAAGGGATTATGACATTCATTTATAGAAATATAAAGGCTGCGGTAAAAACGTTAATTGGGGATAGCTCATGCCATAATCCGTCGATAAACAATAGATTACAAAAGAAATTAATACAGCATATTATGCACATATGAAAATGAGACCCCTCCCACATTAACTTTAGCCCTACAGCCCTGAATATGACCACCCCCCACCCATATTCCGACCGCCAATTTGCAATGAAAAATTACCACATGACACTAAAACGTGTAGGCAATTGTACACTACTGAATCTAATCGAATTGGTCTGACCTCAACTGACGTGTGATCTACTCCTCAGTCGACAACATATAAACTACTCGTACATAAAAAATATGACTGCCCTCACAAACCCATTGCCTTTTTCATACTATCTTCATATTCCTGGCGTATTTCCTCTTGCAACATAGTGATATGAGACTGCAAATGTTTAGCAGCTACAAGACGAGTCGGTATCATCCTCAGAATATCCAGCCACCATTCGTCGGCCATTGTGGTCACGGGACCATTTTGAACACAACGTTTCATAAATTGATAATTAAGCTAAAAATAATAAAAAACGTGGGCAATCTTCATTATATGTTGTTGCAACATTTATCTGTTAAAAATTTGCCAGTAATGTGTTGTACTATATTTCTTCTCTACACTGATAGAAATGCTAAAATGGATACGCGGATTACATTGAAAGGACAATGACTGTGATGAAAACGATCAATTAATGTACAGTGTATTTTTGAAGAAATTAAAGCATAACTGTCCGCTGTTCAAGCAGAAGTTAGTTGTACACTTCTGATCTATCTCAAAAATTTGACGCTTATGCCGATAAAAAATAATCAGAAACATTATCACTCCAGATAGGCTCCATGAAAACAACATATTGAGTTTAAAAAGGGGCAACAGCCTGTCCTTTTTTTCTAGTGTCTGTGAAGGAAACCAAGGAGAGAATAAACAAAGTAAATGGTTTGAACCCGGGAGTATCGTTACATGTTATCGTTACCCGGGAGTATCGTTACATGAGTATCGTTACAAAAAAAATTTTTTCACTCTGAAGATGACTACCACTAAGGTTGTCGAAACGTCAGTCAACAACAACAAAACAGTCCTTCTCAGGACTATACCAACCTGGACGATCAACATTTACAAACATGAGAGAATAAACAGTAAATTTATACAATAATGTACATAAATGCTTCACAAATATCTCACATATTCTTCATTCGCAAAACGTCAGTCTTAATTTGCTTTATAAGCAAAGCACGTAGGCAAAATTTAGCAAGATTTTTGTATCTTTTACTGCAACAGATTTTTTTCATTACTAAAAGTAAGAAGTATAAATGTCGCACGATTTTCATGCAACAACTGGAAGATAAAGCATCCTCTTCGGGTCTCACATATCAAACCTATTTGAATTTTCATCCCATAATACATTTTAAGAGGATAAGCATATAAACAACGTTCTGTGGAATCAATGCCGTTTCTGAGAAATCCACGTAACTATATAAGCGTAAATGAAATACTTTAAATTTTACTTACTCTTATTCTTCTTTCTCGACTCATCATCTGCGTAATAAAAAAAAAACTTATTAGAAGAGCTCTGATATTAAGATTGAAAAGACCATATGCAATTAACACAATTTAGTTATGTCATGTTGCACGACATTAAGACTTGAGCTGAGCGGTTACATAAAGTATTCAAATTGTAGCTACATTTGAATAAAATACAGTTCACTATTTAACGAACGATATTTGCTAGATGGCAAATATCTTTTCGTAGTCAAGAGCATTCAATTGTTTGCATTTTGCAATGAAACATACGGTCAAAATTTTAGGTTGTTAGATATCTTACGTAATGTTGTGTAGTTATTTCAATGAAAAAATAAAACAAACGACCATTCGATAAAATTAGTTGATACAATTCAAGTAATGATGCGAATTAGAATATACGTATATCTCAAGATAAGTCTATTTTCCAAAGCGAAGAAAGAGATCGATGACCGAAAATAATACTCAAGTCAGAAACCAGTCTTCATAAGAGCGTAAATTAGGCTACGCATGGTGTCTACTTATGGCTTTAATCATTTCGCTTGGCCAGGCTTTGATTGTAAACGATTGATTTGTTTGTCTGACAATTCACACGTTTTGAAACACCTTTTTGTCAAAATCACTGAAATGATTTACACATGAAATCATTTAACAACTTTGTCGAATATCGGAAATAATGCCAGAGTTAACAAGTACGTAGGTTTAATCATAAAGAACATGCCTAAACTCTGTGTTTTATCATTGATTTTTATCATGTATCTACGTTCGCAAAGAGAAAACTATTAATCATTGAAAAACGATGTGAAAGTATCTCGGTAGATTAAATATTTCTAAATGCTCCGAAATGAAAACAAAGTAGCTAAACAAATTCATCAGTAGTATTCTGGACTATGACGCGCAATAAGATTTTTAGCCCAAAAATTAACCAATATGGAGAACTGCAAAAATCAACCAATTTGCAAAACTGCAAAAATCAACCAATTTAGAAAACTGCAAAATCAACCAAATTGGAAAACTGTAAAAATCAACAATTGTTGATTGTCGAAAACTGAAAACTGCATGTTAAAAATTGTTCTCACCGTTGATGGCAGCTGTGGACCTTCATCGCGAGGTGCCCGTCTTTTCAAATTATCTTCCATTTTCTCCTTATCAAGGGCAGCCTTCTCGTATCTACACAATCAAATCATCATGCTCATGTAAGAATAGGTCCAACATAAAATTAACGATTGCGGATTTGCACTTTCTATGGACAACGTGTAAGCACGTGGATCAAAAAATATGTCTATTAAACTTTGATACTTAAGCCCTGAAAAGCATAGAGTGCTGTCAGATCTGTTTTTGCACTATCCTTTTTCGCTTCCTTGATGTGCTTAAGCAGAACATTTGCAAGCATAATTTACTTATTGTCAATTTAATTTCTGAAGAGCTGGTTTAAAAGAAGTTTCCCATCCAGGGGCAAAACCCAATAGCATAACCCAAAGGCGTTGGGCAAAAAGTGGACATGAGTTATGAGTGCCTCTATGAATAACTGTCTCTAATAGGTAGGAAGTCATACCAAAACAGCCTTATAAATCAATTGTTTTACCGGGTACTAATACATCATTAAAGTGTATGGTTTGAATCCAGGTGTATCTTTACATGTATGTAGATGTAGATTTTTCAGGTTAGTAAAGTCCCAAGAAGGACAGTTGGTATTGATGTTGAGTGATTTTCTTACAACCTTGACTCTGAACATGACTATTGCTACATTTATCAAATGTCAGTCAACATTAACACCAAACTCCTTCACAAGACTCTACTGACCTGGACAATCTACATCTACAAACATGTGAATATATATCATTGGCAAGAGTACTTCAAAATTATTTTGAAACTTGTTAGGGTTGAAAACTTTTTTAAGTTGGGTAAAAGTACAAGAGAGAGTAGTTTAGAAAACCCATGATGAACTGAGTTAATCCTTGTTAAAATTTGTTGAAGTGGAGCACCAGTTTTGTGGAGTATCAGCAAGTATGACTTTATGATATACAAGGTATTAATGAATACAGAATAGGAGCACTGTTCTTGTCATGAAAGAGAAGCCATTTTATTCTTTTATATACGTATTATTTGGCAACAATTCAATAAATATAATTTGATAATTTGTAAAGTAAATGGATTTGCTAGCACATTGATAATTTATGTTACTCACACATATCTCTGTAAAAGGGCTTGGATTTCTTTGCTTCGACGATGGGATCTTAAGCGACTTCTTCCCATAACTGCAGATTGTGGCGGGGAAGATGTAATAGGGGGTAGCTTTTGCAGCCTTTGATTAGACAAAGATGCAGCAACTTTATCCGGGCTAGCAGACATGGTTCCTGATTCAAAAGAAAGGTTAGTACAGCTAGGATAGCTTCATGGGCAAGAACATTAATTGGGAGCAGTGAATATTCATGTATTAACTGCTCATTCATATAGCAATTTTAATTTAGCAAAACAAATCTTCAGGGCAGAGCTGGATATATGAATATTCACCCCCCCCCCTCTCCCTTCCCAATTAGCATTCTAGTTTTGCCCCTGGATGGCTTATGTTTAGCTAATTAAAAAAGTGTTGTCAGACATCTATTAAAGTAAAAATAATATACAGAAATAATAAAGAGCCAGTAGGTTTTTGGTAAATATTATGAGCAAGTCCCCAAACGAATATATTTGTTCCTCCTGGCATTGCTATTTTTACCAGTTTATCCAGTTATGAAGGTTAATAAACTTCGAAACATGGGAAATAATGAAAAATAGATCTCAATAAAAGAAAAACAACCAAGAAAGAACATTAAAAAAGCATCTTGTCGTAGAATAGACCCTTTGCTTTGTTTATGTTTTTCTGGCAGGCAGATGAATCCCAAGAGCGGTTAACCATTTCTGCTAGTGTTCACTAAAAGCACTCAAACTGTCAAACAAATGTGCATGCCAGCAAAACGTAAACAAAGCAAGAGGTCTGTAAAACTGCTAAATACCTTTTTACAGCTCTCTTTCACCGGTTGATTACACAATTTATAATACCCTCATACATTAGCAACTGCTTATAAGAAAGCTATTGTTTCTATATTCACCTGGATAACTTATAGCAACGGAATTTTTTAAATTGTCCAAATAAACAATAGCAGCAACTGCATAATGAAAGTAGACATTTTAAACAGGTAATAACCATGGTAACTACAATCATTCTGCAACGCGCAAGCAATATGTCACGTGGTGCAAAGTGTTTTTTCAGCCCATTTTCTTATATTTCATACTGGTGGTTTAATTGTCGTTTGTCTTGTTTTATGAACAAATTAGTAAATTATTTTTCATGCAAAATACCAAAAATCAACAAGAAAAAGTATGGCTTCAAATCAGTTCTTAGATAATTCGCATTCGATGTCTGGATCTGTTTCTGATAAGAGCTCCGAATCCGTGGGTTACATGTATGTCGAGCAAAATTTGAGTACGATGATGCAATGCTCGCAGAAGATCGTAATAAAATACAAGCTCCAGACGATCCTAATGAAATTCTCCCGGCAACATTAGAGCAAGAAAGTCATTATATAATTCCACTCGGTGAATTGTGTGTAGTTTCCCACCTCACATCCGTATGCACCATTAGGCCCATTACTATGTTTTCTCGTGTCATAACTAAAGTCAAATTACCAATCACAATGCTCCTACGAGTCAATGCTGTCACACTGAATTGTTAGAAGAAGCATTAGAGTAGGGGCACAGTACTGGTGTTGCAAGGAAATGGAACTAGCTTACAGAAAGTGACTTTTGATGGGAAAATAGTAAACAGCTAATAACTGGAACATTCGACAATATCAGTTCTTGTTTATATGCATGTCATGTTGCTTGGCTTTAGCAGAAATGTCTGCCTGATATGGTAGGGAGAAGTAAATTACAAAAACTTGCACAATGGCAGGGCTGATTGAAAATCATAGGTGACTGAGGAGAGTGTAAAAGTAAGGTAAGCATTGCTTTTGAGGTACTTCAATCAGATCCACTTTTTTATTACAGAAAATATTGATGAAGTGGAACCAGGTGTAGACATAATCATACATATAAAATAAACATTCTCTAGTTTTGACTTTTATTCACAAGATTTATCACACACCCATTGTTACTTTGTTTGATCTTAAAATATTATGTTATGATTTGTATGGATCTTAAACATTTTCTTATAACTTCAATATAAGATTTTAAAACTTTTTGTTGTTGTCTTAATAAGATCTTAAATAATTTCTTAACAAATTTAATGTAAGATCTTGCAATTTCCAGTTAAGATCTCTAGTTTTATGAAAGAATATCTTCATTATATCATATCTTCATTTAATCTCTAGCTTTCTAGTTAAGTTGTATATTTTCTTGTAAGATTTTAACAAGATCTTACACATTGTCTTATAAGTAAAATATAAGATCTTGAAATTTCAAATGAAGATTGTACTTGTATATTTTCTTATAAAATTGAACAGGATCGTACAAATTTTTTTATAAGTGGAATGTAAGATCTTTAAATTTCCAGCTAAGATCTTAATAGAATCTTGTCTATTTTCTTATAAATTGAATATAAGATCTTAAAATTGTTGTTAAGATTCCAAAAAGATCTCATCTGTTTTCTTATTAATAATTTCTAGTAAAATCTTCAAATTTCCATTTAAGATCTTATTAGGATTTTATATATTTTCTTGTAAAATTTTAACCAGATCTTACACATTATCTTATAAATGAAATTTAAGATCATAAAATTTCCAGTTAAGACACATTTCTTTATAAATTGATTGCAACATCTTGAATTTATTATAGGATTTTAATAATAACTTAAATCATAAAATTGAAAATTAAGATTAACATTTATAACTTAAGATCCTAGATCCTAAACCTAGACATGCATGTGTAATGTTTCGAGATTCTGAAAATTGATTGACTACACACGCGTGTCTAGGTGTAATCTCGCATGTCTAGGTGTAATCTCGCGTGTCTGAGTGTAAGATTTGGCTTCAATTATTGCTGCAGCTTGCGTTCGATGTATTTTAGTTCAATGGTAGGACCACATCCCTTTGATGATTTATGACTGACATCGTTGTTAACTCAAGTATTCGCATGTAAAGTTTTGTTCGAGCACTTATCACGCAATGTTGTTTAAACCATACTTTCACCAAAGCATATCATATAATCAAATTGATTGGATTGTGTACTTTTGTTCAGTAACAATTTAATCATATTCTGTTTCAAAGTCAAGATATTGTTTTAAATCTATGAGCAACATTCAAAAATATTTTAACGATCTTTTTGTGAGATCTTAAGTTCTAAATGTTAATCTTAATTTTCAATTTTATGATTTAAGTTATTATTAAAATCCTATAATAAAATTCAAGATGTTGCATTCAATTTATAAGGAAATGTGTCTTAACTGGAAATTTTATGATCTTAAATTTCATTTATAAGATAATGTGTAAGATCTGGTTAAAATTTTACAAGAAAATATATAAGATCCTAATAAGATCTTAAATGGAAATTTGAAGATTTTACTAGAAATTATTAATAAGAAAACGGATGAGATCTTGTTGAAATCTTAACAACAATTTTAAGATCTTATGTTTAATTTATAAGAAAATAGACAAGATTCTATTAAGATCTTAGCTGGAAATTTTAAGATCTTATATTCCACTTATAAAAAAATTTGTACGATCTTGTTCTATTTTATAAGAAAATATACAAGTACAATCTTGAATTGAAATTTCAAGATCTTATATTTTACTTATAAGACAATGTGTAAGATCTTGTTAAAATCTTACAAGAAAATATACAACTTAACTAGAAAACTAGAGATTTCTGGCTGTAAAATTTGGCTTCAAGAATTTATGAGGCTTTTCTATTACAAGTAGCGTTCCATGTATTTTAGTTCAATGGGTCCTACTCATTGAGGTCTATAATAACTGGAGCGGCTATCTCAAGCGCGGCTTTAGATATCGGATTTTGTCAAAAAAATGGCGGAATGGACCCATTGAATTATAAATATACTGGAATGATAACTCCATTAAGAATGTCCTGTGATTGGATGAAGCCAACATACGTCTAAAATTTGTCTACTCCCCCCTGAAATATTGCATATTTTGTGGCGATCGATGTTTGCTTTTACTTTTGGCAACGGGAATTCCGTCAAAAAAACTTATTTCTTGTCGTTTTTTCGACAATTTTTCTGCATTGTACCATGCTTAGCTTATACCTAGGAAGATATCTACGTGGAAAATCGTAATCGACAAGAATCGAGGTTGATCCGACAAACTTCCACAAGACGGAAAATGCTAAAAAATAGATAAAAACATTTTATTTGAATATTTTCAGTATTATGCACATCTTTTTTATAAATACATCTTTTACGTGCATCATTGATGTCTTTTTACGTTTAAAAAATGTTCATTAGTTCTTTTTAATAGAAAATACATATTTCAGTTTCCCACTGATTGTATTAAAATGTTGCGCATCAAGCTTATTCGTGATATGCGATGTGCTTATTTTCTTATCCTTTACATTGGGTTTTTTCACACAACATACAAAAATAGGACATTGTTTACATGAAATATGTTATTTGTATTTATACATGACATGAAAAAAGCTTCATTTAAATAGTTTTTTTTGCGATAATCTTTACTTTTCATTATGACAAATTGAGCTGTATATGTACTTGCAATATTTGTGTTTTCGTGACATGAAAAATGCTTCTTAAAAAACACATTTTTCGATGATTCAAATTTTTGGAAACTTTAATAGTTTGTGTATTTAACCGGGAACTACAATATTTTGGCAGTAGAAAGAGGTAGGCATATCTAGAACTTCTTATAACTCAGAAAAAGCGAATATTTTCGCGCCGTTTTTGCCAACTTTTGTTTTTGTCAAATAATGTTTCAGAAACTAAACGACCTTTGTTCAATGTAGTTATAAAGTAAATGGTTTGAAACCGGGAGTATCGTTACATGTTTGTAAATGTAGATCGTCCAGGTTGGTATAGTCAAAAGACTCTGAAGATGACTACCGCTAAGGTTGTCGAAACGTCAGTCAACAACAACAAAAACAGTCCTTCTCAGAACTATACCAACCTGGACGATCTACATTTACAAACATTCAATGTAGTTACTTGAGTGAAAAATTTCATGCCTCTACTATAGTCAAAGCTAAATATATAAGGTATTAAACAAACAGAAAGGGTTGAAATTTAGCGATATAAAAAGTGTATTTTTTGAAAAACTAAGGTTACAAAGGACTGGCACTACTTACAAAACACGGCTTCAATTCACCCCCCCCCCCTGAGTTATCATTCCAGTATATTTATAATTCAACGAATGGACCTATTTCCGCTGAGATTTGCCGATAATGACTGTTTTTCCGAAAATTTCCCAATTTTCCCCTCCCCCTAAGATAGAGCGAGGAAAACGACGTGTGTATTTGGCATTAGGTAAGCATTTTTTTGATGAAAATAAAGATAAAAACCTAAAATTCATAACAGCGAGTCATCTGCGGTTGTCAGTTATTGGCTCCTACGACGATGATTTTTATAACTACAACGAAGGGAGCTATTTGTCGGCTACATATGAATGCAGATGTGCGTCGTTTTGTTACCAGCGTCGAACTTTTTTGCTCGATTGTACTCTTTAGTCTCAGTCTATACAATACGGTTCTCCACGGTTCACGAGAGAAAAGTTAGCTTATTCGTTATTACTTTTTTGCTTCTTTTCATGCAATGGGCAATTGTAGGATTTTTAAATGCTTTACAAAAATCTGTAAATGAATTTCATCTTAAATTTCAAAGACTCAAGTTTGATAAATGTAAACAAATAATGTTGTATACAAATCACTAAGTAAGCTTTTTGTGGTGTTCTGAAGTGGAACTGCATCAAATACTTGCAAAGTTGTGGTACATGTTAATTTTGTTGTATTGATGTATGAATTTGGCGAAATACCAATAATAATAATCAAAACACTTGTGCTTGCAATGGTGTTAATAATTCAATTGTGGTTTTAATACTTCTACCCTTCTTTTTCTCTTTGTTTTTTCTTTCCTATATTTGCAATGTAACTGCACAATTTGAATGATTAATACAGTTTTACCTCAATAATAAATTTCATAAGCAGTTGCTAGTTAATTTTTTTCTTTTGAGTATCCACATCAGGTGTTGTGTTAATACAAGAATGATGAAGTGCATGTAGATAAGTTGAGTAAGGTAATAAAACCAAATGACTTAAACACATTTTGTGCACTTTTATGCTAGAAGCTTAAAAGCTTTTTAGAAATTATAAATTTATGAAATTATTTTATCTCTATGCCATCCATCTCATGAAAAGAATTCAGAAGCACAAAATTGAAGAAAAACTTTGAAAACTACAAATTCCTTTGAAAGAATGTTTTATGCAGTGCGGTGTTTGAAATTAAAGGTAGATATGATCTTCGCACTTTGTTGGACAATTTAAGCAATTGTCTCATGAACCTGAATTATTCAGGTGACTCAACGGGATTCGAACCCATGACCTCTGCGGTGCCGGTGCAGTGCTCTGACCAACTGAGCTATGAAGTCACACAGTGGTGAGCAGGTAAATTTTGTTGGGTTCGTGTTTTCTCGTGAAAGGAATGTCATACGAAAGAATGTTTTATGCAGTGCGGTGTTTGAAATTAAATGTAGATATGATCTTGAATTTTTCAGGTTCATGAGACAATTGCTTAAATTGTCCAACAAAGTGCGAAGATCTTATCTACATTTAAAAGTTCTTTTCTTTAAAAAAAAGCAGGAAAGAATGCAAATGACAAATCTCCATTCTGTACTTTCATACGGAAATAAACTCAAACTGTTTCTTGAAGCAAAAACTGAAATAAAGATGAAATATATAGCACAATAACTTCAAAGGTTTCATCACTGAATCTTTAATGCTTCAGTATAGTGCATTGAATATTAGTAACATTCATACAACACTCTACTAAACAATTTTAATAAAGACATGACATGATTAAACCATTAAGTTATAAAAAACCCAATGGATTATACAGTTTGAAGCTTCACATCTATATTGAGTCATCAATCTCAGTACCAATGTTTACATTAACACAAACTTTATGGCCATCCCATCTTAGACGCTTTCTGGCGTCTAAGCTTGCTTTCTTTGTCGTCCTGGCTGTTTTTTACCGGTTCGTAAATAATTTTTCTTTCGTTTATTTTGCGTTTTGCTGTTTGCTTTACGAAGTTTGTTTACATTTGACTTTAAATTACGCGTTTTGGACCGTGGTCGATTACGGGAAAATAATGAACCGGCAAAAATGTTTCTGAGCCAATCAAAGTGCGCCATTTAGCCGGAAGTGACGTTTGCCATATACATAATTCAAGTGACGTTTGTGTCATAATTCAAGTGACGGAAGTGACGTTTGCCATATTCATATTCATATTCATATTCATATACATGATTTTAATAATATACATGAAAAAATTTCCTCAATTCTGTTGACTTTTAACTTCAGCGTGCGTTCAGCTGGCGAGTTTAATCGTCGATTTACCGGCTCGTATTTTTCAAATCCGTCGGATATTACTTTTCCCAACACCATAGTTTCCGCACACGCAGCTAGAACAAGGTACCTACTTTTAGCGGTGTTCGTATTTTTATCCAGAAACACTTTGCAAACGGTGAACTGTAAACTCGTTCGCGAAAGAAAATCTACTTAAAACGTACGCCAGCCGTCGTAATTGCTTTTTTGCAATAATTTAACTTTCCCGCTTTTGAAATGCTTTATTTTGATTGGCTCTTATATTACTTCTTTGTTTGACTAACCAATCAGGAGCAGCTTTGAAGTGAAATCAGCACTGGTGTTTCGCTTTTTTGCAATACCGTTTCGTTTTTGTGCAATACCTTTTCTGCACTGGTATTAAGGAAAAACTGCACTGCTCTTAACCAATCAGAATTGAGAAATTTTTTCATGTATATTATTAACAACGAAATATCATTCTATTAAGATAAGCTAAATATTTTTTAAAATTCTGTAACTTGAACGCAATATAGGAATGAATCATTCCCAATTGCAACTCTCAGTACTTTGTCATAGCTACAAAAATGAGTCATATTGACTTTTTGTTATCCCAACTATTTAATCAATGTCCGGAGCAAAATAGCAATAAACGGAAATATAAATTTGTATAACATAAAATAATATGTTTATATAAGAATATGCTTACTGATATGATGAAAATTACTTGTCATTTCTTGCGTGAATATAAGAATAACTAATCTTGTTGGTGACTTTTTGTAATCGCAACTTGTTACTAGTCTTCTGTTCCAATTATCATGCACTAATAATAGCAATTAGCCATATTGTTAAATGACTTTGCAATCCAAATATATAAAGAATGTTGCTTGCTTTTGCAATCGATTTCCGTAGTGCAAAGTGCTTACGCGCTGATGACGTTCACGTTCAAAAACATTTTCGCAACATATAAGTGTGGTAGTTTGTGACACATTTATGTCAAATTGACAAGCTAAGCTTTTCATCACTTTCACGAACTTGTTTCCTCTTGTCGCAATAGGTTCAAAACACTCCTATGTAATTTGTAACTATTCCTTAATTAATATGTTGACTTCCATCGTCTAATTTGTAACTATACACCTTAATTAGGCACTTCAAGTGAACAACAATTTTTTTTATGAAATGCCTTGAAATGCCTGATATATATATAGTGCTCTTTAAGAAATTATGAGCACTATATATATGATAACTTCCGTCATATTGTGTATATATTTTAAACATTTAAGTATTTATTCATCATTAAATCCGCTGAAGAGTGAGCAATAACGAAACAGGCTTGTCAGGATGAAACTGTACTTTTTGTGATTTTTTTTAATATTACTATAATGTGTATTATATATTAGTATATTTTTCCGCAGAATAGTATAAATATTTTAAGAACTAAACATTTTACATTACACCTGCCCTTTTAGAAATAAACACTTGGCCCTGAAGGTGCGAAATTTAACCAAAAAACAGACACATAAGGTAAATATTGCTGAACCAAGATAAAAAATGATATCGTGTAATAAAAATTAATGCCCAACATAAAGTTCTGATTAGAGCCATAGAAATAGACCAACAAAAAAAATTGTAAAATTGAATTTATTGTAACGTTTCGTCTTTACTGAAGACATCTTCAGACAAATAATAAAGTCAATTTTGGAGATTAGTAACGCCAGGTTGGAGTTAAAACTCCTTCAAGAAGAAACAAACGGGAAACACGCTCGTATACGCGTCCTCTCAGCACAACTAACACAAGCACAAGTGCCCATTGATATGGTGTATGTGGACCCTATAGTTATAATAAAACATTCATAAAAAGTAAGTCTAGTATTGGATTGCTCAAGGTAGAAAGGCAGATATCTAGTATATTGGATTGTTCAAGGTAGAAAGGCAGTTAAGCCGATCCTGAAGAAGTGTGTGATATGCACACGTCACAATTTTTACTTCTTTATTACTAACAGCTCTCTTGAGCGCTTTTTATTTTTATAGTAATATTGATCCTTGCTTTTGTTTAAAATTTATACTAAAAAACAAAAGAAAGCAACAAGACGAAGTGACCGAGTGATTAAAGTGATGGACTGCTAATCCAATGTGCTCTGCACACATGGGTTTGAATCCCATCTTTGTCGAAATAGTTGTTGATTAATATTCCGTTGTACTTAATAATAAAAATGTTTTTATTTAAAGTTAAATAAAAATAACTAAAGTTTTTTATTTTGAATTCAAACGAAAGATCAATCAATAGTTTGAACTTCATGTGAATGTCATCACAATTAAATAAAGTTTAAAGGAATTCAAATTGCAAAGATAATAATTAATGCAACTTTTTTAAATTTTATTTATTTAAATTAAAATTTATGTGAAAAATTTTAACTATTTTGTCAATAGAATGCATTTTGAGAACAGTAGGTAGAAGATATGAAAGTCCACCATTTAATGATTAAGTAAATACATACAGTAAATACAAATTGCAAATTACGCTTTAATTTATGTACTTCAAACAAAAGTGCCAAAATGCAATTAAAGAGAAATTTAGAAAAAATTTAAACTGTGTGTACTGACCTAAACCATTCTTTTTTAAAGATAGTAAAGTGTAAATATTTTCAAGCATTTTTTTCTTTAATTGATTTTGTAGTTGTCTCGAGATATGATTAGCCAAAATAACTCAGTTGGGAGAGTGTCAGACTGAAGATCTGAAGGTCCCTGGTTCAACCCATGATTTCTGCGTTGGTGCAAGATTAGCATTTTTTTCTTTACTTCTTTAGAATTGTGACCAGGGATATACCGGGCGGAAAGCGAAGTTTAAATTTAAATATCAAAGCCCAGCAAATTGCTTTTAAAAGAGCCATTTAATGCATAAAAAGAAATATTTATTTAAAAGTGTAAGGTTTCGTCTTGACTCTCAAGACGTCATCAAACAATATTGAATTATAATAGCTATTTACATAATATTAAATTACATGGTGGGATGAAAACGTGTTAGTAAATATTGGATAAGATGGTATGACGTGGGATAAGTAGAAACACGAAAGAAACAAAATAACAAACAAAACACAAACAATCATAAAGTATACAGACGTGAGGACGGACGAAATTAGATTAAAGCAACTGAAGGACAATGGAGTTTCCTTGGACGTTAAGAGATGATTTCATTTTGTTGATTAAGAGGCTTTCGTGAATAAGAAGTTCTTGTGAGTCTGAGATGAAGAATGTATTTTAAATCCTCGAAGGTGGCGGTGTGTCCTGTGGATTTAAGGTGTGATATTATGGAGGAATGACAGGGATGTTTAGAAGGTTTACCAGTCAAAGGGGTGATGCCCAAATGCTCTGAAATTCGAGTGTGTAGGTGGCTAGTGGTTTGACCCACGTACGATGCGGAGCAGCATCGACACTTAAAAGAACAGACAACATTCGATTTCAGAGTTTTGGGCACTTTGTCCTTGAAAGGAAACAGGCTGGAGAGGCGTTTGGTGGATCGAAAGAAGAATCGTATTTCACAGTGTGGGAAAGCGGCACAACAAAGGCGATTGATTTTGTAGTTATCTCGAGATATGATTAGCCGAAATAACTCAGTTGGGAGAGTGTCAGACTGAAGATCTGAAGGTCCCTGGTTCTAGGGGCGGATCTAGAGTATGTCAAATCCGTCGCGCGACTGATGTTTGAAATTCAAAAATTACCTATTCATATTAATTAAAAATTCATTAATTATTCTTACTTTATTATCGCATTTACTTCGTGATAAAAATCCAGCTTTATTTATTATTGAAAACTAATGACTAATGCAATGAATATCTCGTTGGTAACCAGATCAGTTGAATTTTAATTGACCTGAAATAACCGTCTGATAAGCGGGGTGGCTTGACTCTTTCGACTGATAAAGGAGTCTATGAACGCCAAAAACGCTTATTTCATTGGTCAATAGCCAGATCAGTGGACGATCTGGAATAATCTCGACCGATAAGCGGGGTGGCCGGACCTATAAGGGAGTCCTATAAGGGAATTGCTATCGTGTAATTGGTTTGTTTAAATTTTTGTCTTACTGTGATTGGTTTGACCGATTTCGACTGATAGCCAACTGAACTAACATAGCTCACTGTCGCTCACTGTCTGAATTCAATGTTTGATCGTTTCATAGTAATTTTCTAAAGCATGATAGAAACTAAACTACAATCAGATGGAATTTATGGAAATCTTTTACAAATTCATATATTGACATGAATACTGCTTTCCAAACTGGGAATTTTTTCAAGAGGGCGAAAAATTTATCGATGAATTGTAAATGCTTGGTAAAGACGATCTCGCTAGCGACATTTCAATCATTGATGTTCAAAAGCAAGCCAACATTGTTTTGAGTTTTATCAGCAGAAATTTACATCCAAAATCGTAAGTAAAGGACAACTGAAGTGTATGCATGAATGTAAAATATCAAAGTCAATTTATGCGAGTGTGTGATGCGATTTATGTCAATATGGCGTATGGTAAGCAGATTGATGCTTCTAAAATGGTTGTTGCCGAAGGACTTTTAGCTATGATTTCTTTAGTGCTTGGGGAATCGTGGCCGTTGTATGGCAGCGAAATCCTACATTCCTGCAAATGTATTTCAATGGACAAAAAATCTGTAGCCATAAGCCGCCATACTATCATTTACTTTATCATAAGCAAATGTTTGGGGCTTTTCAGTTTAAGATCATTGATCATTCAATTATTGGACAGTTATACTACATATTGTTTAAGATTTGAGAAGACTAACATTGATTACATGAGAAGCTGTTTACTATAACCTGTGATTTTGAGTCTTCTGATCCATGAAGCTTTTTATTTTGACAATTTGAGTGGAATGGTATTAAACCTGAGTATTTCACATACATGAAATGTTGTCCCATGTCACATATTGTCCCTTTTCTCACTGAACACCTCATGTAGAGATGTAAACGTGTGTTAATCTACAGCTCATACCAGGTTGTTTGCCATAAATTCCAAAGGGCTATTGATGTATGAAAAGCATTTTCTATAAAGTAAAAATGTCTTCCTATGTATGCAGATAGACCTTGAAATTTGGCAAAACAGCAAATTATTTTTCATGATCACTAGGTAATTTTTCTGATGATCAGTATAATTTCTAAACTAAATTATTTCAGATTTACATTTAAACGAGTTTTTATCATATGAAAAGATATTTATCGTAACCAGTAAGCATGACACATGAACCAATTTTAACATTCATGTAATTATATAATTAAAGACATGTTGGTTACATTCTGTTTGTATTTGATAATACAATGCTACTAGTGATTGCTATATAGCACACCTTACTTCTTTAATCAAATTGTATGAATAAACTGATTTTGAAAGAGTGAAAGGGGGAAAAAAGTTGTTTATTTGTTAAAAGTTCAAACCACATAATTATGAAAAACAAAATGTATGTTAATCTTCCTCCTCATTGTAATTATTGAAATTTTCTTAATAATTATAAGCAAAAATAATAAGATGGACTGATTTGCAATATAAATGTTTTTGTTTCTATAAATTCATGAAATTTTTAAAAACTGTAAAACATAGTTTACTCTGAACTATGTTAAAGAACTCAAGTAGTGTTAAGATGAAAAATCCTTGTAGTTATTATTTTGTCAAAAGAATGCATTTTGAGTCAGCAGGTAGAAGATTTGAAAGTCCACCATTCAATCATTAAGTAAATACATGTAGTAAATACTAATTGCAAATTATGCTTTAATTTATGTACTTCAAACAAAAGTGCCTAAATGCAATTAAAGAGAAATTATGACAAAATTTAAACTGTGTGTACTGACCAAAACGATTCATTTTTTACAGATAGTAAAGTGTAAATATTTCAAGCATTTTTTTCTTGGATTGATTTTGTAGTTATCTCAAGATATTATTAGCCGAAATAGCTCAGTCGGGAGAGCTTTAAACTGAAGATCTGAAGGTCCCTGGTTGAACCCCTGGTTTCGGCATTGTTGCAAGATTAGCCTTTTTTCTTTACTTCTTTAATCATACTGCACGAATAAACTGATTTTGAAAGAGTGAAAGGGGGGACTATTTTTTTATTTGATAAAAGTTTAAACGACATAATTATGACAAACAAAATGTATGTCAATCATTGCATTTATTGAAATTTTCTTAATATTTATAAGCAAAAATAATAAGATGGACTGTTTTACAATAAAACTTTTTTTCTATAAATTTATGAAATTTCTAAAAGTTTTAAAACTTAGTTTATTCTGGTCTATGTTAAAGAACTCAGTTGTATTGTGTTAAAACGAAAAATCCTTGTAATAAATATTTTGTCAAAACAATGCATTTTTAGAGCACTAGGTAGAAGATTTGAAAAACCACCTATCAAATATTAAGCATAAATTTGAGATCCATTGTTTGAATGTAAATTTAATGTTAACATTTGTGAAGTTTAAGTATTTATCTTTTCAAAATTTATAATAAAGTCTGCCAAAAGTAAAAATCAATTTAAATTTAATACATGTTTTAGTTATTAAGTATAATATCTGAGTTGTTAAGATGAAGACCTGCTCATTTAAATATACTTCCCAAATTTTACAAATGTTTAATACGTAACTAAAATCCATGAATACTTATTTTAATTTTTGTGTAATGATTTTCAATACACAAGAGTAGCGATTTTTAAACTTTTAAGAAAAAATCTTTTAAAAAATCACGTAAAAAACAGAATAATTTTGTTTAACATTAAAAAAGCAATGCCTTGTACAGCGAGCTGTGATGGCCGAGTGGTTAAGGCGTTGGACTCGAAATCCAATGGGGGTTCCCCGCGCAGGTTCAAATCCTGCTTGCAGCGAGTTAAAAAAGTCTTGCAATAGCTTTTGTTTCTGTTACAGTTATTTAGTTTCGTTAAGGACTCGTTTTATCATAATACTCTACAATGAGAATCTTTTATATTTGTGTTTGATTATATTGGGTTTTTTTATAGAATATGTGTATGTACAATTCGTTACATTATTTTAAAATTGATTTACTAAAATATAATAGAAATTTAAAGTAAAATAGTTGTTAAAAGGATTGGTTTCAAAGTTAAAAACGTAGAAAACATGAAACATTGTTATTAACACTAGTTTCAAAGCAGAAATCATAGACTTTTTGACAAAACTTTAATTATAATATAATTCATTGTAGGTGCAATATTGATAACTTCTAAACTTAAATTTGGTAATTACATGGGAACAAATGAAATGTTACTTGAAAAAATTTATTGAAAATTAAAGTTACAATTTATTAATATTAAAAATATAACAATAAATATTGCAAATTTTTACTTTTTTATCAGCAAAATGTCTCTTTTACTTTTTATATTTTTATAGTAATATTGATATTTTTGTTGTTTAAAGTTATATTAAGAAAAAACAAGAATGCACAAAACGAAGAGACCAGTGGTTAAGATAATGTACTGTTAGTCCATTGTGTCTGCACACGTGGGTTCTAATCCCATCTCTGTCGATATAATTGTTGATTCATATTGCGGATCCTAAATCTAACACCGTATCCTAACCCTCACCCTCACCCTAACCCTAATTCCGATACTAACCCTAACCCCGATACTAACCCTAACCCCCGATATTAAACCTAACCCCGATACTAACCCTAATCCCCGATACTAACCTTAACCCAGATCCTAAGGCAGACCCTAAGCATAAAAGCAGACCATAAAGCTAACCCTAAGGCAGAACCTATGGCAGGGCAAAGACAGGGCAGTAGGCAGGGCAGAGAGCATGGCAGGAGGCAGGGTGAAGGGCGGGACAGGAGGCAGGGAGGAGGGTAGGGCAGAGGGCAGGGCAGGACATAGGAAGGGAACAGGGCAGGAGGCAGAGAGAAGGGCAGGGAATGAGGCAGGAAATGGGGGCAGAAAATGGAAGGAAGGACAAATGCTCAGGGAAAAAAAAGATGAAATATAAGAAGGCAAAATGAAAATAAATGGCTCAGAGATGCCAGAGATGCTGGGGATACAAAATGGCAGGGAGAATGATGTCCAGGTCAGGGTCAGGTCCACAGATAGGGTCAGGTTTTAAGGTCAGGTTAGGTCAAAAAAATTAGGGTTAATGGTCAGGGTAGGGTTAAGGTTAGGGTTAGGTTAGGGTTAGGGTTGGGTTAGGGTTAGGGTTAGGTTAGGGTTAGGGTTAGGGTTAGGTTAGGGTTAGGGTTAGGGTTAGGGTTAGGGTTAGGTTAGGGTTAGGGTTAGGGTTAGGGTTAGGGTTAGGGTTA